CACTGATTCAATCATGATTTACAGTGGACTAGATGATATTGCGAAAGCAAAAGCAATGGCTGGAAAAGTGATTCAAGAGGTAGGATTCAGCTACGGGAGGTGCCTAGCTTGTTGGGAGCTATAAAACTTGTGGATATTTTTGGGCTTTCCTGTGCTCAAGACACGTGCTTCTTGTTAGCATTTCAGTATTTTATGTCTGTACTCCTTGATCAATACAAAGACTTGCGATATGTGAATTTGGACACCCTACTACAGTATAAAGTCTTTATAAAATGGTTGAGAAAAGAGGAAGCTGAATTTGTTCCTTGGTTTGCACTAGCTGCAGCTATAAATGACTTGAACATCTCTCTGTGTGTCTCTCTGTGTGTGTTTTTCTTGGCTAAAGTTTGCACGGGCCGTGATTTCTCTTACTTTGGCCTTAGGTTAACAAGAAATATAGGTGCTTGGAAATTGATCTTGATGGTCTGTACAAGAGAATGCTACTGCTTAAGAAAAAGAAATATGCAGCTGTCAAGGTGCAGTTCAAAGATGGCACGCCATATGAGGTATTTCATCCTTTTAAGGTTTACTTTTTTCCTGATTTCTTGGGAGGAAATCCTGTGCGATCTGTTGATGGTGCAGGTTATTGAACGTAAAGGTCTGGATATTGTTCGTCGTGATTGGAGCCTATTATCTAAAGAAATAGGAGATTTTTGCCTAGGTCAAATTTTGTCAGGAGGGTACGTATTCTTCCAACTTGCGTCCAATTCATATATTCATTTTGGCCAACTAGAAATTTGAGATGCAGGATTCACTCATTTATCTAGTGGAAATATGGTTCTCGCACTTACAGGTCATGTGAGGATGTTGTCGAATCAATTCACAGCTCTCTTTATAAGGTATGATTTGTTGTCTTAACATTAGTTTCTTGGATATGATGACCTATCACGCGATTTGAAAGTTTAAAAGAAGCTGCTTCTTGGAGCTCTGGGATTGCAAATCCCTGCTAGGATGGTGGGGATATTATTAAATGTATTTCCTCTGGAAAAGCATTAAGGTTTACTGGAGCCCTGCTTACAGTAGAGATTTGTACCCCTTGAAAATTTTAATTTGTTGTTTCAAAATAGAAGGTCCAGGTTCTCCTTGGAATAACATGTGAAAATTAAAACAGGTGCAAGAAGAGATGAGGAGTGGACAAGTGCCGTTAGAGAAATATATCATCACTAAGACATTGACTAAACCTCCTGAAGCCTATCCAGATGCCAAAAATCAACCGCATGTTCTTGTGAGTTCAATATGTTTGATTCTTAGTTGAAGCAGTCGCTCACCTCAAAACCTTCTTTTCTTGCTTTTTGTTGTGATTTAATACAATTTTAAGAATGCCTTTGTGGATCATTATTTAGGTGGCACAGAGATTGAAGCAAAAGGGCTACTCCACTGGGTGCTCTGTCGGTGATGCAATCCCCTACATTATTTGCTATGAGCAGGTTTGCCCTTTAGTTGCTGCTCAATCAGAAACCAGAAGCTGAAACGTTGAAAATGTATTATTTTGCGTCTGATATGCGATACTGATCATGCATGGTGCGGCCTCTTTTCTACGATTTTCCGCTCTAGCAGGGCAGTAATTCAAGCAGTGGAACAAGTGTTGCTCAACGTGCCAGACATCCTGAGGAACTAAAACAAGAACAAGGGAATTGGATGATTGATATTGATTATTACCTGTCACAACAGGTATCTTCTTGTAAAGCAAATCAAAGTTAGCCATTATTGCTGCTCACGGTACCTTGTTTGAATATTTTTCCGTTCCTTATCTTGCAGCTTCATCCCGTTGTTTCACGTCTCTGTGCATCAATTCAGGGAACGAGTCCAGAAAGACTGGCTGATTGTTTAGGGCTTGATGCATCAAAAGTAGAACCGCTTTCCTACTGTGTTTTAGATCTACATTTAGAGGCAATTAATGTTTTACCCCTGATTTCAATTGCATTACTTGATTGATGAGCTGTGAATGGTTTACAGTTTCAACACAAGTCAAGTGAAGCCTTCAATGGTTATCCCTCAAATTCACTCTTGTTTGCTGCTGATGACAAAGAGAGGTAGCCAAATTTTTTAGTTTAAAGCTGATGTACTATTATTGGTCACAAATTTCATGCATGTGCATAATTCCTGCCAATGGTTATTTGAATATTTGAATCTGAAGGCATTGATTTCTTGATGATAAATATTTAAGATGTTATCGATAAGCAGCAGACATTTCGAAACTAGCATTTTTTAAAGAGATGTAAACATGCTATCTTGGAATTTGATTTTTCCTTAGTCTAATTTCTAATATTTCTGATGGGCTGTAAAAAAAAAAAATTCTAATCTTTCAAACATTTTATATGATTCATCAATTATTGTGCTGTGATTTTTTCATAGTGGGAAGTTCCCTACAAGGGTGATTATTATTCATTAACGAATTAAATGTGATAAATCAAATTGCAGGTATCAAGGGTGTCAGCCGTTAGTTTTGTCATGTCCTAGCTGCTCTGATACTTTTGACTGTCCTCCTATCTCTAAATCTGTTGCGGAAGCGAAAAGCCGACAAGCTCAGGCATGGAGGAATCAGGCTATAATTTCTGGCGTAAGCTGCGCTGTCCTAAATGTCCAGAAGAAGATGGTGTCGGCAGACTTTCTCCGGCAATGATTGCCAATCAGGTTTTAACCGGTCTAAAATTTCAGTTTTATCCTTAGATATTTTGTTTTCCTGCATTTCAGGAAGGGAGTTTTTAAGTTTCAGATCATAAGCATATTTGTTTGTGGATCTGGCTTGCCGTAAGACTGTTCGCAGCATTGCTGCTAATACTTACATTTTATCTCAGGTCAAAAGGCAAGCAGATAAGTTCATTTCAATGTACTACAGAGGCTTGTTAATGGTAATCATCCTCTCCAATATCATCATGAAGTATTTGTCTGTAAAGTTAATAACGATCGTCGTAATTTTATTTTGCTTCCAGTGCGACGACGAAACCTGTAAGTATTCGACACGAAGTATCAACCTCCGGCTGGTTGGTGATTCTGAAAGAGGAACAGTTTGTCCAAATTATCCTCGCTGCAATGGGCGTCTTCTAAGACAGGTTTCACTCGCAAACGCATTGACCATTTGTCTGTTATTATCTGACGCATACTTGTAAAGGTTTTATTGTTCTGAAAGTTCGATTAACCTGAGTTTGTTGCTTCTCTAGTACACGGAGGCAGACTTGTATAAACAGCTCTCGTATTTTTGCCATGTGCTGGATACTGTTTCCTGGATAGAAAAGGTACTTCGAACATACTCCTTGAACTCGCAGTTTTGCTTCTCTTTTCAAGTCTGATAGCGCTCAATTTTATAATGTTGCTTGGGTTCGCAGATGGAGGTTAAATCTAGGATACCACTTGAGAAAGAGTTGTCGAAAATTAGGCCAATGATTGATCTGGCAGCATCAACGATACAGGAGATTCGGGATCGGTGCGCCTTTGGGTGGGTACAGATGCAGGACTTGGTCATCACTGTATGATTTTACAGCACCAATTTTGGCGGATTGATGGTAGTGATGTTTCACCTTCACTTGTAAGATCTATGCTAGCGAGCTCTTCCAAGAAATTTTGATAAACTGATGATATCATCATCGTTCGTGCGCGGTGTCATCGAGCTCGATTGAAGATGAGTAGGGGAAGCCGCCGGACTACAACTTTGTGGCATCACGGGTTGGTTTTTTTTTTTGGGGGATGCCTAAACATTTTGTGGCTTTGACATGTATATATTAGGAGTGGAAAAATAACTGAGAAACCTCAACAAATTCTTATACTTCTAATGGGTTATTTGAGTTCGTCCGAAAAAAACAAATTCGATCGCGACAAAAAGGGTCAGCCTAAAAGGTACCAAGGTAACAGCAAGTGCTTGTATATTGAATGAAAGGTACAACTTTTTCTGTGTATCTCATTATTCAATCATTATTAGGGCTTCAAGGCATGCCATTCTATATTCCTAGACTCCTAGTCATAGCAGGAACAGGCGCCTCCTCAAGCCACATGAAACGAAAAGGGACGCTAAATATTTTTGACGTTTGGGCCGACATTTTAAGCATGGACTTCACGCAAATAACCTCTTAAACTTTGCTGATTTATCGTCATGCGGGAGAGTCGTAGCCTTGTTTTCCTTGACCAGCAGGCTGCAGCGGGAGAGTCGAAGCTACTTTGAAGTTATATACTTGATTCGATTTTTAAAAAGTTTTTTTTGCCAACGAAATAAAAAATTAATTTATGGATAATAAATAAATAATTAAATTAAAATTAATTAAAAGTAATAAATAAATTAAAAATATATTTGTTTTCAAGTATGTTCTTATAATAAATGACAATAAATATGAAAAAAAAAAGAAAATATGTGATGAAGGATACTATGGTAAGGAGAGAGAATTAATAAAAAAAAAAAGACAAACGTTAAATTAAAACTTACAAAATAAATTACACCTTTTAAATTTAAAATTTATAAATAAGATCAGAATATTTCTTTACGCGCTATTTCTGAGTAATTCGTCGTTGATACTGCTAAAAAAAAAAGTTGAGGAGGGGCTTTAAGTGCGCTCCTCCGATTTGTTAAACTACTAACAGAGAGAAAGTGTCTAATTATAAGACGAAAGGAGGTTCAATTCTGCATCATACACTAGAGTCGTGGCGAACACTGAAACCCAAAAAGTGGGCGATAGAAACTAGAATCCGATCCCTTCCAAAGGAATTAAAAAAAGGTTTCAGTCTCGGGATCAAGTTCCAATGCCACCACGACGAAATAAACAAACAGTATTATCCGTAAGTCGAAATCATCAGAGACTTTTTAGGTAGTGTATATGTTCAGCAGTTCGTACAACAATCTGCATTGATGCCTGCAAAATTTCGTAGGCAAGTATTTAACATGAGACGGTTGGGATGGATTCTTTTTCCCGCGAGTGCACTGGCATGTGAGGGGCACATGATTCCCCCGCTTCTATGAGGAAACCCGACAGCTCAAAACAAGCGAAAGCCTCGCACGCTTCACAAACGAGGTTTCTCTGTCTTGATGTCGTCTTCGCATATACTTTCTCCCGCCTGTAATCTGGAGAAATGAAACGCTTATACCAACATGTAACACTTGGGGGCAGGCGTGATAACGATTATGATACAAAAAGCATGATTTCATAAATCATATTCCAAGAATTACCTCCGAAGCCGCGATGTCATAGTAACGTTGTTTACGCTATTTCTTAGGATCAATGCCAATTGATCTTTCCCCGCAGCTGTTTCAAAGCCCTTGTCTTTCTGCTCGGACGTTTGCATATCAAAGGTGTGTGATACTGTAAATCAAAAATTTGGATAATCAAGGCAAAAGAACAAAAATAAACTAAAGGTCGCAGAGTTGCAGAATTCTAAAACATGCACACCTTGATAACCACCTAAAGGATTGGAATCTGAATGGCTCACATTTAATTTCTGCTGCCGCAATATCCCATTGTTACGCATCTGCTTTGTAATTGAAACTAACATCACAAGTGAGCTCTTCAAATACGTATGTGTTACTCACACAATCAAGCTTACCTCGGAAGTTCTTTTCTGTGGAAAGGATCTTATATGCGGAAGAACTGGGGATTCTAGCCCGTAAGAAGTTTCTGGGTTAATTTTATACGATGGAGGAGGCACTAATCGTTGGTCCTGTGTGCTGAGTTTGTCAGGTAGACTGGATTTCGACTCATATTGCAAGGGGTTTTCTTGGGTCAAAGGCAGAGTAGTTGCCGTGTTTACAGGCAAAGACCTGTTTTCTTCACTGAACTCACACCTCATCTGACCAAATCGCTGAGCCTGCAAGTCTTCAGAAAAGCACATGGGATGCAAACTCAAACCATTTCTCATTGACAGCATCTGAAACGTTAATCATGAAAACAAATCAGAAACAAGGAGAGCAGAGCAGATATTTTTGTTCACATTGTAAGCGTCAAGGGTTGGTTCATGTTTTAAAAGCTCGCTTGGGAGTTTTAGAATGGGAATTTTTCAAAGCCGGCATCTAGCGAGTGTCACTTAAACAACGTTGCTACATTTTGATAGTCTCACATCTGATAGGAGCAGGGCGAAATGAGAGAAGGGAGAAGGTTCACTCAGGGATAGGGGGCCAGAATCCAAACACAATATACTTCAGCAACAGGAATAGAATCTTTCATCAACAATTAAACTAGGCAGCCCAAAAAGGAAAGGTTCTTTACTGATAAGATAGCCAGCAAAAATAGCTAACCCCAAATTACAGTCCCATCTTTAGAACCTAATTCTGCTATTAAAAGTCAATCCAATCAAATGCGTCATTATAAGCATATTGTGTTTAGATTCAAATAGGAATTTCATGATAACGTGCAATTTTACACAAGTAAGACAGGGCTAAAACTTACATATATCGGATAATAATGCAACTTAAATCGCACACCTGTACTTGGAGCTGAAGTTGTTTCAGGTATTCAATAGCTTCATCCAGCATCGAAGCCTTGTCTGTCTGCATCAGGCATAAACCAATTTACAACTGTCAGAACAAGGACTCAAAGTACAGTCATCAATAAAATTGAGTAAAGAAACTTATGGACCTTGTTTGAATTTGGAATCAGATTTTGCAATGCCTTCATTTTTTCGTTGATCCTGCTTCTCCTTCTCTGATCAGAAATCCCCCACCAGATTTAGTACAAAAGCAATAGGCACACATATAACCAATGGAACCCATGCAGGGAAATCAACAAAGCCAAGTCACTAACCTTTTCAGACAAATTATGAACTTCCGCAGCTCTGCTTCTCTTTGATGAACTCCGAGGAGGAACTGACTTTACCGGCTGCTGTTCCACCAATGCTTCGATCCCCTCCTACATTTAAAGCAAAGGTTTGCACAAAGATCCGGGTGCAGGAGTGATCAAATCAAAATGCCATTTTTCTATGTCCATACCCTCAGTTACCAAACAGAGACATCAGCGAAATTCAACACTACATCGTTCTTCAATATGTATATAAGTCGAGAAAATTAATCAGTGACATCAGCGTTAAGACCCATGCCAGACCTCTAATCTGACAAGGTAATATTAGGCATGCATCTGGAATATTGATAACACATGCATATGATTTATTATGATATCAAGCATATGTAGTACCAGAGCAAAATATATCACCTGCCGTTTTCTTTAATCTTGGCAAAGCGGCATATGAAAAAACCAGAAAGGAAGGAAGGCATTTGAACAAAAGCTTTAAAGTTTAAGACCAGAAGCATTACCTCACTCTCGCAATCATACTCGTCCAACTCATTCTCACTTACTCCGAGAGATGAAGGCATGTCTACAGCTGAACTGCCCTTCATATTGGCCAACGTACAGGTCCCCGGAGAGGAAAGAAAAGCATCGTTCGGAGCGCCTACTCCAATGGAGGAATCAGCGACGGAGATCCCACCATGGAGAAGTGATGATCGGTCGGAAGGGTGAGGATTCTCTAGCGTGGCTTGGGAACTGCAGAGTCCAGCCGTCGAGGTGTGGGCGTTTTTAGCCGTGTGGGTCACAAGCAGCGACGATGATGCTGACGAGGATGACGAACGAAGGAGAATCTGATGCAGTAAAAGAGAGATTTCGTCTTGAGGTGAAGATGAGGAAAGAGATGAGGTTGAAGACATGGGGAAATTGTGATTATCGGTATGATCATAGCTATACATATCTCCCATTCTTGTACAGAGGGCCGAATATTTCACAGAGCTTCTGCTTTTCTCTTCGAGGATGCTTTTGTTCCTCTTCAGAGTCGGGTGCAGAAGTTGTTGAGACGGGGATTAGCTTCTGCGAAATGCTGGCTTTGACATCATAAACCACAGTGAGTGCACTTTGAGAATATGGGGAATTGTGGGCGGGTTTCGTCTCAAAATTGAATGCAGCAGAGCCACGCGTGTGAAGGGCGAGTGGGGAGATTGAAATAGAAGTTAAACCTAAATGGTGACACGCCAAATGGTGAAGGGCAATGGCAAGGCAAGGAAGACGAAGAGGGAGAGGGAGGTCGCTTGCTGGGTTGAGCGGTTTCCAGTTGTGCAAAGCAGAGTGAAGCGTCAGGCAAGTAGAGTTATCATGGTCGCACAGGTCGCACGAGGGCCTCATCCAAGCTTTTTTTTTTTCCCCCCCCCCATATAACATTTGACCCTCTTCCCTCATTCGTACCATCCCCGCCTTTCTTTATTAGACCCGTACCCTTCCATTGATTCTCATGTCTTCGGTCTTTTCAATCGGCAGTCCCCACCATTTTATTGAAGTAATACACATTCTTTACTTCGACATTTTTATCAACAAGAGTGGGATAAATAGCGCGCAACATCTAATATAATATTATATCTCATTTTTAATATAATAATTTATTTAATTTTTATTTTGATTCTAAATATAAAAGTTTAATCCATTTTATCTCTCATATTTATTTATTTTTATTATAATTTTCATAATAATAATAATTTTAGTCAATATACTTGATTACTAAGGATATTTTAAGAAATACAACTTTATTTATTTCAAATAACTAACTTAACTAATTTTTTTAATCTACTTAAATTAATTAACTAACTTTTATATTAAGGATTGGAAGTAGAATGAAGGATGCATCCGATATCCTGATTTTAATAATGACGAGTGATATCATTTTTTTCAGAACCAAACAAGCACTCCATATAATCATGTACCTTCAATCTTAAATATAATATAGGAGTTAAAAAGATGTTTATTTTAATTTTAAATAGGGGACATTAATTCACTGTATTTTTTTAAATTTATAATTTTTACCTAAAACATTTTATTAATTGTATATGATAAAAGAGTTTTAAAGAAGAAATAGTTATAATATGTATGATTAAAAAGGTTATTTAAAGAAATTAACACAAGTTTATTATAAATAAATAATTTAATTATAAATTAATATTTACCTCTTACGAGCAGAGGTAATGTATCTGTCTTGAAAAGAGACGAGCAAGGGATCCGATTCAGGCACATCACTGTCGCGTCCGACCGAACGTCACCTTAAGCCGGGATAAAATAATGTTTAGTAATATCTTTAGCCAAGGCTTGTTAATTCAAGATCATATACGTGTCTGCTTCTGATTGGCTATGAGGATCTCGAATCCAAGCACATAATTTCTGTCCTGAGGAAGGGTCCACCGGAGTATCTGCGTCAATGTCACCGCACGTCACGCTCACCTGCCCAGAGGATAAACCTCCATACACGGCAAGCAAGCCACGCTTGCTGCCTTGCTCTCCCTCCCTCTTGCCCAACGGGTGGGGCCCACCCCCTTCCGGTACCGGACGATGATGCCTCGAGATACGTCTTCTGTTCTTTGCCCGATTAGATATGATTTGATTGGAAGGGGGAGGCAGACCCTTCAATATTTGTTCCCCGGCCTCCGATTACGTTGCGTTTCATCATAGCTTTTAATTAAATATCAAAATGCGACATTTGTAATCGGCGATGAAGATCCAACGGCGACGAGCACATGAGGACGGCCTCCTCTTTTTCCGTCCAACGTCTTCTTGTGCAGCTTTTTGACTCTTCTGGCTCCCACGAAAAGTTAAACTGTTAAGGGGGGAGCATAGTCGCAGCCTCGCAGGGAACTGTGCAAAGGAGCGTGCGGAACCGAGGGGGATTTAATAGCCAACCTATACCGGATTTAGAAAGGTTCTAAGCATACCCATATCTTACCCAATGTATTACATTTGAAGATTAGGTGGAAATATGCTAACCCATTAATGAGTATCGCCCGTTATTTTCTAAAGTAACATCAGTGCCTAAGCAAGTTTTGTGCTTTGTAGGAAGACAGCCGTTTCCGTAAACACCCGAGTTTACTCATGTTCTATCCATGTTCAACGAAATCAAGGACTTGAAACAGAGATCAGATCCATGCAGGAGTTTCTTTCTTCGTTTTTTTTCTCCCCAAATAGAAAAAGAAGAAAATAAACACATTCAGTTCATGAAATCACGGCCAAGGGCCCAAGACAGGCTAATCAAGGTCTATGACACAGCTAGTCCTGTCTGTACGCAGATGGGGCAGGTGTTCTTGATGCCCAGCCAGTTTTTGATACAATCGTAGTGAAACTTGTGGCGGCAATCTAGCACCCCCATGTCCTCCCCATCAGCGTAGTTCTCCTACAAATGATTTTAAGAGCATATATATTAAGAGATATGTGAGCGCGATGCTCCATGAGCAATTATAGAAGGTATGACAATAATTGGCAGGATGCAGGAGTGCACACTAGCAAGGGAATCGAATCAAAATTAAGCATCATCAGTGTCAATAATTATAAGGAGGAGAGACCAGCCAGGGAGCTCCCTTTACATTGGTGACAGATCAGAGATAACAGTAAAAACAAAAAAACAAAAACAAAAACAAAAAAAACATCAATTTCATGACCTCATCTTGGTCTCACTTGCGTGAATCAAGATAAGGCAGAACTCACCTGACATATGCAACATGGATCAACATTTTCTGGAGTGACCCCTGTGGGGGTTTGGAACTCTTCAAGCCTAAGGTTTGCCATAACATCTTCTTCACTCAATCCAGCTACAGTCTCCTGCAGCCCCAGATCACTATTTGCACATAAATATTTCCCCCAAGATACTGATAATGCTAAGGTCAAATTATTTATTTTAAACTTGGCAATATCAAGGAGTTTAACATCATTAGCAAGACCTCACTAAACAAGGAATTTATCTTTGCTTTTCAGGTTTACTAAAGTTTTACCTCATCCTGTTCATCGTCCTCTTCATTATTATTATCCGCAGGCAAATATAATAGAAGTGAATAATCAATGATCAGTAATTCCTGTGGAACCATTAGTAATTTCAGGTTAGAGGTTTATAACTGAAGAACAGGAAACCTGGAACGAAAATGAAGACTAATCAGCTCATCATTTATATTTTGTTTGCTTCTGTCCTACCCTTTGTTTTGTGCGTCCCCCAGGAATTCTTAATTGTAGGTCTTATGTGTTGGTCTCTTGATATTAGGGTCCAATGTTTTTGTCCCCCCCCCCCCAACAACAAAAAAGAAAAAGAAAAAGAAAAAGGAACCACAGTGTTCCACCATGATATGCAAGGGGAACCTTAATAAATTTTAGATGCAAAGAAAAAGAATCGAAACCAATAAACTCATAATACATATTTGTCAACGTGACAAAAGCCCCAAGGGAAATTCAAAGGCCGACCTAACGCAATAAAAGATGTTTATATGAGCATCCCCCATTGGTATCTACGAACTCTACTCACTTGGGTCAAGGTTATAGAGTTCTGAACTTTGAACGTCTCTAAGTCAGGGTCTAGGCATTTCTAAACAGTTACTATTACGGCTCTGGATTTGGGGGATGTTTAAGAATTTGAAGGCCTGGCTAAACTAGCATAGCACACAGGCCATTTCCCACAAATAAAATATGCATCCTTTCAGCGAGAACCAACCTGTGTCAGCACAGATACGCCATCACGCAGATGTAGCATGGTGTTTCGAACCTTTTGCGAAGGGAAACATAAAAGGCATTAGATTGGGCGAAAATTATATTAATGATCAAATCAATTATTAATCAATATAACCATAAAAAGACAAAACACTCGAAACTTCTGCACCATCCTAGGCTCATATATCTAGATAGTATCCCAATATTTGCTACATGAAAGTATTTTTGACGGTTTACACAGTGCTTATGCAGTATAAGGGTCGTTGATTTTCCATATTGCAGAAAAGGAATACACAATTATGACTCGCATGAGTTGAACATTCTTTTTCTTCCCTCTTAAGAAATCACTATTATTCATAAAAGACTTGCTTTCTAGTCCAAGTCAAAATTTCCATGAAACACCCTAAAGCAAAAAATACATACAGAGCCAGCATCCACACCACTGCAAAATATAGACCATCAGCATATTTTCATGAATGACGCTAACTGTAAAAAGTAAATTATCCTCGTTTGGCTAGAGGGTTAAGACATCAATGCCATTAATTGTTGCATGAATTTCCAAACTTCAGAGATATTAAGGAGTTGCAGGATAGAGCTTGAAGGGTTAAGACTTTATATAAAATGATAGGGTGTGAGCCTATGAGAGAGGCTTAAAATAAGCCTATGGAAGATTTACAGTATAAAAAAACTACAAAATATTTAAGAATAAGATATACTTTTAATTATTTAATTTTATACAAAGTTTTATTTTGGTCCATTAACTTTAAAACATATATTTTTAGTCTTTTCGCTTTAAAACTGTTAACAAGTAATAATGATATTGAGATCTTAAATACTGATAAAACATTCTCAAATGCTAACATATTAAGTTTAATTTTCAAAACAATCATTATTGTTACAAAAAAAATCATAATTTAAAACTAAAAATTTTATAGTTAGTGGAAAAAAATATATTTTTTAAAGTTAAAAGATCATTAAAACATTGTCTAAAATCAGAGAATTAAGTGTATACTTTAGCCAACATTTAATAAAAGAGAAAATAAATGCTGAAATATTATTTGAAATATTCCACCGACACCTGATAAGAAATTGGAGGAGGCTCTTCTACCCCATGGGAATATGGGATGCGCCGGACTCTTCTTTTGCCTTAACTAACAACAATAATGTAACACCTTGACAGTCAAAACTAGGTACAAGGCAGGACATCATCTTCAGCTTGAAGAATCATAGGAAATAAATCTACTTTCATCACAGAGACTCCAATCTGCCCGGCAAAACATAACCTAAACCACCTTTTTTGGTACAATCATTTTATGGCCCATCCCAAGAGATTCACCGCAGTTGTATCAGTTCTCAAGCCTTTTTCCGTTCATTCTATATTAAGAAAAAATTCTTGCCATCAAAACTACGAATTTGTTCAGCACCCCCTCCACATGTAAGTTTGAATGTTGCATGTCCACACATTAAAAACATATCAATTATTTTCTGCCAAGCAATCAAAGATAAATCATCCAATATTCCTCGTTTGACCTCAGAATAAAGCAAACATATATTAATATTTAAGCGGTCCTAACAATAAATTCACAATATACAAAAGTCGAAACCTCAAAAAAATGTTATTCATCAAAGCATATACCTGAGTTAACAGAATGTTTCTAGCTTCATCAGTAAAAGGAGGCCCAATATTGAGATAAGATTGATCCTCAGACCTTTGTGACGTTCTGAGCTGGTTCTGAAATCCAGCATTATTAATCACAATAGCCAGGTCCCTTTCTCGAGAGATTGCTGGAGGGTTTAAATCTAATAGGTTATTTCCACTTGGCACTGGGAAACCAATAGGTGCAGCTGCAGATTGGTTCCCAACTCCCAATAATGTTGGCATATGCTGTGCGAAAGCATTGAACCAAGGGACACCTGTAGGAGCATTCAACAAGTGACTATCTGAAAAAGGACCATAATGGGAAGGGGAAGCAAAATTTCCAAGAAAGTTTGCAGTTCCGTGGTCAAAACTCAAGTTTGCTAGATAAGGTGACTGAGCTCCCCATCCCGTTTGAGAACCAAACATGATATTTCTTGGAATGTTGTCAGAGTTTCCGCCTCCTGGCATAGTACAAAGAGGCGAAAATGGAGGTGCAACGCTTCTTGGCCCCATAACGTTAACCCAAGGGGCAGGCAGCAGGATCTCATGAAAATTAGGAAATTGCACAAATGGCTGCCCATAGGGAATTGCACCAACTGAAGCTTGTGGTTGGCTAATGACACGAGGATGATCTTGTCTGTGATACTGAGGTGTTTGTCTGGGAAAAAGAGCCTGAAAGTTCCATGCATGCCCCACTGACAAATTGGTGGATGGTACAAAGGCTAGTGGACTAGCATCTGTCTGATGATTGCTTTGAAAGCGTCCAATTTGTCTAGCATGACTGAAGCGTAGCATGTCATAAAATGGCCAGGTAATACCATGATCAATTGCAGCCTCAAATGAAAATAGAGAACTATTAGCAGAACCATGCCTAGCTTCATTTAATTGTTGCATGTTAGAAATTGGCATTATAGTCTCATGACCAAATTCAGCACCAAACTGTTGTTGGCGGATGTTTGCAGTACCAGACAAGGAGCTACTATGTTCAAGTTGTTACTGGTATTGACTTGGACTGTAGCAGCCTGCGATTCAGGGATCCTAGCTTGCGTAGCTGATCTAGAACTTTCACCTGTTAACAATTCTCGAGGAGCACGTTGAGGAGATCTGTTGGAGGACAAATAACTCATGTTAACTAAGCTGTTATCCACTCCTTGTTCATCTACTACGTAGGATCTTCCACTATCAATTGCCATTAAGTCAGATAAATTACTGTTACTCTGATTGTCTGGTGCATGTGGTTCAAATGGATGTAGACACAAACCTATGGACACATTCTGATTGGTGTAATGATCATTTTCCACATATTCTGCATTTAAATCTAGGTTATGATGGATAACACCTGCATCATGATCACTGCTTTGAACAACATTAAGATGCTCTTGATGAGGGAGAAAATTTGGCCCATTAACACTATTTGAGAAACTTTGAGTGCTTCCGGCACGAGAACTTGACCAACACACAACTCCCAGGGCTTCAGTCGATTCCCAACGGTTGGCCTGGGTTGGGATGCTTTCATTAGAACTGTATTGACCTAAACCTCCAGTAATAGTGAGAACACAGTTGAGGAAATGCCAGAAAATATATGATGAAGATATCCTTAATAATCCCAAAAAATCAGGTCCCTATCAAAAGATTATGGGATGAAGTAGGCAGAGTTACCTTGATGGCTCGTCATTGCCCATAAATTACCTCCTAGGAAAGTATACCAAAATGTAACACCAGATCACGTACTGTGGTTATCCGGCAAATTCATTCAGTCTGCAAAAGAACTAAGCAGTTGAATGAGGGACATAAAATAAAAAATACCTCTCCCTTCAAACTAAAATGATAATATCACTACTAGCCAATTGGGATTAATGTTCGATACCATATGCAGAACATATTCCATAAAAATTCAACAATGAAGCATAGCAGATAGTCAATTCAGTCATAACTGGTACATACAAATCAAATAGACACTAGAAGCATAGTGAGAAGATAGAAGTAAAATGGGTATGTATATATACTTGTTTGGAAGAGGTCGTGAAACCAAAGCAAGACAAATATAAGTTATAAAAATCACAAACAAACAATCTTTATCTATAATCAAAACTTGACACATAATAATGAAAAATATAAATAAGCTAATTTGCTAAGTCAATTATCAGAAGGAAAGGGAGTAAAGATACGATTTCACATAATTGAGCTGTAAAGCCAAAAATTGGGAAAGATTAAATTAATGCAAAGTAACGATAAAATTTTTGAATGGTAAAATGAAATCAAATAGCCATCTTCCATATGATAATCATAAATATTCGCACATGATACATGCAATACAATAAACTGACGAGACCGGATAATCAGCTATCCAACCCTAAAGCCCATATTTAAACAGATTGACACACGAGCTGGTAAAAAGATGGACAGTATTCTGTTTTGACACTTGGAATCTAACAACAAGAAACATAATGTCTCAGCTATAACAAAACAACATAGAAGAAATCTGTACTAAATATTACCACCCACACCCCCGACGATAAACTCCACAGAAGAGCACGACATACAATGATTAAATTTCAGAAACAATCTGATAGAAATACAGTAATACAATTAAGCAGTAAGATTAATGATCATTCAAGGGGGGATACGCAATCACTTCATGCAAGAAACAATAAATAAATGTGGCTTTTTTTTTCACACTTCTCAGGCAAAGATTGTTTTTGGAACACTCAAAATTGAGATTTCAAACCAAAGTCGTGATAACCATTTGATTAGCTCTCCATCAGTCTGAACCCCGAACTAAAGCCATGAAGCATATAAAGGAGAACATAACCCTGACATTGTTAATCATGAAATCTGTCGTGCTCATATGGTTGGGCTACAATTATCCCAAACATAAACTACGCTGAAAACTGAGACCGGGATACCCAACTAACAAGTTGAAGAAGAATATAAAATCCGAAGACAAGATACACAACCAGTGTAAAAACTTTGATGATTCCCCAAACTCCCAAGAACGTAGAACATCTATTCATAGAAGAAGATAGAGGTCGTGAGATACCTGAAACCCACCAATCAATAAAATTGTAAAAGTAAGACGAAGAATTGAGTGTTTACCCAGTAGAGAAAAGGAATCACTAGTAGGGTATCTCGAAGGTGACAGTTTCCTCGACGGTCTTACTTAGTCTCCTGTGTCGAACACTTTCAGCTTCCCTGCGAAGTTTGAACAGTCCGAAGGCAAAGATGGGATCTTTTATGGATCAAACTGAAGCGCTGTGTTGGTAAAACTGTTCGGATTGGCATTGAGTTCCTATGCCAAAATCTGTTCGATGAAAGAGTTTCATAATGGCATAAGAAAACCAAGAACCCAGCTAATAAGGCAATGGGGTCATGGCTGGCTTCTACCAAAAGGGTTCGTAACGCTGCTAGGAGCCTCAATGCAGGACGCCCCGTGGCATGAATTCCCGATTTTCTGCATGGAGGCAGTTTCTCCCTCGTTTTTTCCACCTCGTTGCATCTCAAGCCTGCTTTTACTGCTTCCAGAGCCTTCCTTTGATCCCTTCTGTTTTTGTCCCTTTTCTGTGTCATCGCCAGCTATGCTCGCTGGAATGGGAAGTCGGAAACTCCCGCCCTCGCTTTGCACGTTCAGTCTTCAGCACCCGCTATTTTATTACTTTCTTTTTTTTATTTTTTTTTGAGCAAACACCATGCAAACTTCTTTCTCAGCTTTTTTTACGTATCTATGAATCCTTCGTTTTTTATGGCAAAAACAATCGTTCATTTTCTTTACAAATCAGTCAATATATCAATACAATATGCGTAACAAAACATATATGTATAATAAAGCGTACTGTTTTCGAAAATTGATGGCAAATTTAGCTTAAAAGTTAAAACTCTATAATAGTCTATAATAAATTAATAATTATAGGCAGGCGGGTGGCGGGAAGGTAAGAAAAGATCCAGCCAATTTTTAGATATTTTATCAATATTACAAGAATCTAGCAAATATTTGTGTCAAAGAAAGAATATCCAGCAGATGTAGGAAGGATTTTGCAAGAGAATGCCCTTAATTAGTGGGTGTATTTGGTCTTAAGCTGTCGTCATTGTAGAATTTTTTTTACTGTCATCTAATCTTTCAAATTTATGCTTTTAATGCATAGAGATTCAAAGCGAAAACCTCAGGAATTGCGAACTTGGATAGCTAGTTAACGTATTTCCTCTTTAGTGAAAGTGAACGCACCTTGTAAACAAATAAACAATTCATTCCTTATATCGGTGATGGGCATGCAGGAACCAGTTCCTGGGCATGCATGCATTATAAATACACAATCAGCAATCAATAATAAACTAAATACGTGAGCTGTCCGAGTTTAATCACATTTCAATTTAATTTATTACTGTGCTTGATATACACAATACCTGTTGCAGAGGGGATAAGGGAGGTCCTTAAACTCATTCCCCATACTTAAAAATAATTAACGTTTTTAAAACTTTAAAACTAAAATAATTAACGCTTTTCAAATGTTAAAACTAGTACTTCATTACTACTTAGATAGTAAATTTTTTTAGTTAATTATGGAAGAATGAACAGGTTTTCCAAGAATCCTGCACTTCCAAGACTGCTTCATAAAGGTTTACTATTGCAAACCCATCGACTGAAACATGAAAGAAGAGGACCGTTTCGCAGCACAGTGATTTAACCACGGATCGATTTAATCTCACACCACAGATTTATAATCTTACAGATAAACTAAGAAATTTTTAGCCACAATTTACCAAGGTAGTAGTAGCACATAAGGAATCAATGCCTTGTTGAAATAATTTCATATTTACAAAGATTTCGAAGTGACGATCATTTAAGAAGTATAAAGAAGGTGGAAGGAAGCCAATGATGAGATACTTATTTAATTATTATGTTGAGTTGAGAGTTTATTAGGAGAGCGAAGTAAATGTAATAAAGTCACCAAATAAGATGAACCATAAAAAACACTAACGGCGACCTAAATTCATTGCATGCCTGCCGACAAACTGCAGATCAGTTCGTCGTCCTCAAATCATTCACATTTTTTGGGCCTGATATCACATTCACCCAATCACCCCTTCACATCCTACGGAAGTTCTGTGGGCTTTTTAACGGGCTGGGCCTTCTGGTACTCGATTTGTCTGAGTTAGGAGCTTTTTTTCTATTAAAAAAAATGGAAATGACTTGGGTCGGAGAGCTTATTAAGATTAGGAGATGACTCAAAACTCAAAAACACTTACAGATATACTTACAAATTATTTATTAATAAGATCCTCATATTGATAATGAGATTAATAGGTGCACTGAATTTCAGCAAATTAAGCGCTTTCTGTTTTTTTCACATCAAATTAAATGGTTTCCATTCATGCATGCTGGAAAAAAAAATTAACGAAAAAAAATATGTCGTGTTTGAGATTTATACTTTGAATAATTATTTATGTTTTTAATAGCTTGTTGGGAGACAAAAACACCCCTTGTATAATATAAAACGGTGAAGCACTACAAATTCTGGGGAGTGTAGCTCCAAAAAGATTTTGTCTAATTTTTCTAATCATAACTCACGTACATATTATACTTTACATAGAACAGAAGATTTTAACTCACAATCTTACGCTTAAATAAAAATGACAATTATGCTGTTAGATTAAAAATGTTTTGTTAAATAACAATGAAGCCATGCGATATTAAATAAAAACTAAAGTGATGATTCAACGCATTTGCACAAAATGTAAAATAAGCCCGCATAATTTACTTATTATGAAAAGTTTGGCTTCCTAAATTTTTTTAATGCTTGATGGTAATATTAATATATACGTTTGCAATAATCTAGAAACAAGAAGATATTAAAATATGTACAAATTAGTTATTTGCCCCCTGAAAATCTGAGTCTATGAATTCATATGTATCGCCTAAAGTAAAAGGAAAAACAAAAAGTCCACAATCCAGCGTCAATAGAAGGTTGCTTCATTACTTACAAGAGCCCTTTCCAATGACGTGGCATCTGGTGACACAATGACGAAACATGAGGACACTTCTTCACATAGCGCGCCTGTTCACGGCTGCTTACTAGGCCGAATAACATGAAAGAAGCAGCCATTTCACGGCATTAAAAATTCCAGGCTCTCTTGTAAGGAAAAGGAAGAAAAGCTTCTGGCTTTGATACGCAGAAATGGAGCAACTGCAAGATGCCCAGATTGATCAGTTACCCATTGACTTGTTGGCTCACATATTTCTCTTCTTTACTTCCTTCACTGATTTGGCCCAGTAAGTTTTTTCTGTCTTCTTATGTTCGCCACGCCTATGCTTATCTAGTTCCTCATTCTCCTCTTAATGTTATCGATTGCGGGAAAATTACAAGGGCCAGTATCGTGTGCAAGAAATGGAAGCGAGGGGTAAGGGAATCCCTGGCTCACAGAAGAAATTTGAGCTTTGCCGGTTGGAAAATGGATGATGACACCATCGCTCGCCTCGTTTGCCATGCCTACAACCTTAGAGAACTCGACATGTGTGTATCTGTCTACATTTCTTCATTACATAATACTCGGTTATAATTTTCCTGCCAAGTTTTATTTGATAGTTTTTTCTTAGACGTTATTTTACATCGCTGCATTGTTTTTTGGATACCAAATATGCTTTTTAGTATTTTCTGAAAAGCAAAGCAATGAGTTTTATTGTTTCGGAGATGATTAACAAATTTTGGATTCAAAAAATGACATTGTTTGAGCAACTGAATTGACCATTTAACGGTCCTCCCGCTATTTCAAGGTCAAGGAGAAATGTTATCTGGAAAAAGTTGATAACATGTTTGTTCGATTGATGGACGGTGAGAAAATTATGGTTTCATTTGAAACAATCATCAGAAGCTTGTGTCCGGTGGCCCAAAATCCTAAGCTAGAGCAACATCTCACTTTTGATATGAATCTCCACCACTCCTTATTGTGTCCATTTGTAATGGATTAACAATGTTTCACTCTTCAACTCCTTCTGCATAAGTCATACCTTAATTGCATTTTTTGACAAAGAAACGAAAGAATTTTGAAATTCTCTGACATTTTGTTGGTCATCTGTTTTTCAGTCTAACCTGTCAATTAGAAACCCTTGGGCCTTGGGGTGTTATGCATCTCAGTAATCAAACTAAGAAGCTACCTGATCAGTAAATGGATGCACATTCAGTACACTTCTCTCAATGAGTACATGATGAAGATTTTCTTAGTTTCGTGAAAGTTGTCAACTTCACAATCTAGCTAATTAGTCTTAAGCGTCTGGCTCCGTTGTTCTGAGTAAACTGGTAATACAATATGGCAATTGAATTGATTTTCATCACTTTTCGGTGTTGTCCATTATGAACTTAAGAATGGACTTGGGCGGCTAAACAATGACCGGACAGTCCTGTCACATACCACATTCGCAGTCAATAGCTCTCTCTAATGGACTAGCTAGCGAAGCCATATCTTTGACGTTTGCTTTTTAATTTGTGGAGGCTGGTGGTTGTAACTACATGGTAGCTTTGTTTCCAGGACATTAATTTTTGATATGATGATAAATCATATATGATTTAAAGTGAGGCCACACTCTGACTCTGCTAGATACAGAGATGAACAAATTATGTTACACTCACAGCTTTATTTTAAACCTTTGATCAATGGATGAGACATCGAAGGGTGGGATTGACTAATAAAAACTAAAATCTGTTTTTTTTTAAAAAAAGTCACTGCTGACATTTTGATCCATTTTTCACCAGGTGGGAGCAGATAACTTGTCATACTGTATGCTATTAGCATGCAATACATAAAGTGTATTATATTAAAATTTTCTTGTGCTTTCAGCCCAAGGAGCCGATGGGGTTGCCAAATCACTGATAGTGGACTGCTCAAGATATCTTTAGCAAACTGCGTTGGCAATCTCACATCCATATCTTTGTGGGGTTTAACAGGGATCACAGATGAAGGTGTTGTTCAACTGGTAATATACAGTTTTACGTTTTTCGAGCTTAGATTTCAAGGACGGTGCGTTTAAGCTATGTTTTTTGTTATTTATAACCTGAGTATATGCACAGTCTCAGAAAAATGATATTGACTTCAAGAACCAAAAAAACAAAATGGAGAGAAACTTTGAGTTAAAAGATAATGGTTTTATGAAACATTTTTTGAATGTTAGGCGTCAGTTCTGCTAGATTGGAACCAATGGTATGCAGTTAAATGCAACTTTTAATCAAAACTGGATTGGGTTGGATTCACATAGTTTCCTGGCGCTTGCCAGGTTGGTGAATTTTTAGCTTGGACCTTTCAGCATTTTCTGAAGACTAGCTAATGCCTTTTTTCCCCATGATTCTAACAGATATCGAGAACTAAATCCTTAGAACATCTGAATGTTGGTGGAACAATTATCACGGACGAAACATTGTTTGCTATCGCCAGAAGTTGTCCAAAGTTGGAGGTAAATTATGCTGTATAGAAAGTGAACTCTAGGTTTTGTTGCCTCGGCAAGAGTCAGAAGTTGCCCTCTTTTCATGTTATCCCCTCCCAATAATTCATCCGTTGCTTGAGCCTGACCACGTAAAGAGGATGACGTCTGATATTTCTATTTTTCATGATTATTTACCGTTTATTTCAGTCCATTGTACTGTGGGGCTGCCGTCATGTTACCGAGAGTGGGCTTGTGGTATTAGTTGATGAGTGTCGGAAGCTCAAATCGATGAATGTATGGGGAACAGGTGTTCCTGAACACTGTCTCAGCAGCTTGCTTATCAGATGTCCAACTCTTCAGATAAAAGTTTGAGAACTGATCTGGGCCGCTTCTACGCTCTCCGTTTCAGGGACACTTTTCTTGTATTCTTGAATTCCTCTGCCAAGAAAACCGAGCATATGTGTGTGTTCCAATCTCATATCTTGCACAGGAATTATCCTCTCGTAATTCTATTATTTTTCCTCCTCTTTCAATGTGTTGGCACAATGATTCTCTCAATTTTTTTTTCTGTGGGTATAATAATAGGAATTCACCAGAATTTAGAACAATTTTTTTATCATTATAAATATTAAAATTTTAATTTGTGAATTGCTTCCTATTAAACTATTACTATGGCGGAGACCAAGATTAATGGCAGATTAAGTGAGGTTACGGAAAAGAGAAACTCGAAAGTGAAGCAAAGGATATATAATTCCATTTCATAAATGAAAAATGAACGTTGGCTTCAAAGGAAGTTTTGGTTGTTTGGGGTTATAAAAAATTGGAGAATATGTAGAGACTAAGAAAGGCCACGAAGAACAATAGAAGCTACTCGAAAGTTTGGATTTTGAGGCGTGCCATTACTGAGTGCATTGAAAAGATGGTTCGTGATAGGTTATGAGTTCTAGGACAATTGAAACCCAGAGAGATAAGTTGGCGGTGAGATTGTGTAAAACCATAGCGCTGTGCTCCTGATATTTAAGGTGAGCACTGATAAATAATTGCATGATCTTAATTTGGGCCATATCAGAGTGCACGCTATTATCGCAACGGATGATTTTTGAAACCTGCAACCTCCGGCCACATTGTTTGGTGGGTTGCCCGAAAATGACCCTATTGTCGTTTCAGAGCAAACATGGTTTTAGCCCCTCCAAGCCACACAGAGAACAGAACAGAGGAATTCAACACTGACGGCCACAGTTGAAGCATGAGTCCACGACTACCTCGAGCACATTTTCCGATTATCACAAAATATGTTTTACTCCCTGTCCCATAACATAATTACATTCATTTCGATCATCAAATCTCCATGAAGCTCTCATTTAATATGTAAAACTCGTACAAGTTCCTCTGCTAAACCTAGAGGCCCATGTTCTAAATTCGTTATAAGGCTTTTAAGACTTGTTTGTATCGACTTCCGACTTCAAGGAAAATGGAAGACCCCATTTATCGGAGAGGAAAGAAACTAGAAACAAGTTTGTTAGGATATTAGCATAACAATTTGACAATGACCGGAAGCTACCCATCCTAAACTTATATTTTCTGTCGTTTTCACAAATGATGCCTGGGTATTGAACCTGAAACATAACAGGAAGAAACATGACAAATATTAGCATAAATAAGTTGTTGGCACATGATTAAAATGGGGTACGCGGGAGACAGCAAAATTGTAAATTTCGTGCGGTGATGATTAAGCACATCGTCAAAAGGAGCAACAGATATATGATTCAATTTTCAAACACACAATATTTAGAGAGAGATGCATTGATTAAAATGGCAGAAACAAATCTCGAATAACTACAATCATCATAAAATTATATTAATCTACAAGTGAACTAGATCTCTTTCAATGCAAAAGCCTTCAATCGTTCAATTATATTAAGTTGAATCACAAGCTTCCCGTAAGTTAACGAATTCCCGACCTCACTTGTAGCATCTTAACATACTCACTCGAGCTGCATTATGGTAATTATGGGAAACTTAACATCTAAATCATCTAATCAGAACTTGGTCAAAAACACCAGACATGATGCATATGCAAATATCAAATCATAATCAGTATCAGACAACTTTCTTTAGAACCACTCCATTTCAGATTCATGGAATTGATGTGCCTAAAGACAAATAAGAGAAAGAAGCGAATGTGTTGCTAAGAGTAAAACATCCAGAAACCAAACTATATTCCAACCATAAAACGTACCTAAAATACTTCCAACTCGAGGAACAATTCACTCTCTTCTCATCAATGCATTCCTTAGATGACGGCACAAGATCCATTTATATAGCTTCGTCAATCCCAAATTTCTGTCTCATGAAATTTCACAGATGAAGCACGATAGCAGCAAACATACTAACATTCTAGAAGATACTTGAAAAATGCCTCTGATATGATATACAATAATACTGATATCATAGTAGCAGCAAAACTGCTACAGGTGGGAAGAAAAACAAGAGTAGCATATGATTTGGAGAATGGGCCGGGGAAGCAGATCTCGTAAACTGAACAGATCCAGTAAAGCTCCCAAAGCTTCCAGAAGTATTGGTCATTTGACTTGCACTGGGTACCGCAATGTTCTTGCAGGTACCAAAAGGCACCCCAGCCTGCAAATTCCCAATAACGATGTGACTAACAAGCTATGCTTTCTTTCACGAAAGATATACAAGTAGAAACTGGCAAGATAAAAGCCATCCACATCTAGGATGTGTCCACCAAGAGATGCAGTTTACGAAGCAAATTGTTAATATAGACAAGAAGGGAAATTTTCAAGACAAAGAAGCAGGTTCAAAACAAAAAGATTCAGATCAGAGCATGACCGACTACTAAATAAAGCAACGAAGACAAACCTGGCAAGCTGCGATGGTACTGCACCCACATAATGCGTGGCCGTTCATTTTATCCACAACATCAAAAACACCGCCCCCATCACTTCTCTGCATGAAATTACACTCAATGTTAAAGCAAAAATGCAAGGTCTTGGTTATGCATAAACGAGGACGCACCAAGTTAAAACCGTAAATAAATAGGAATACCATATAAAAATTAACGGCTATAAAGTTCGGCAGCATGTTTCCTGCATTTTTGTAACAAGTATTCACCATCGCCGCAAGTGGAGCAGAATGCTCTTTGCATGAATCAGCTTCAACTGGATAGGTTGGAAAGTAATTCTGCAAGAAAAGTGATGCGCTTCTAGAATGTAATGGCTTTGATTCTTTTCTATGCGAGCAAGATCCCTGTTGAACTCCAGGATCTCCAGCTGAAAAAAGGACACATAATATTATGAATATTTTATTTCAGTCGTTCATAACCATATGCCTGTCACTATGATATTGTACTTACGCTCATTTTCGACCATGTAATTCCACTGATAAGCTATTCCTTCTTCAGCTTCCTTTGAAGCAATGGAAGTGAAAACAAGAAGACGGTAATTTGCTTGAACCATCTCCGTTATAGTGGGCCAATCTTCATCCTTTTTCGGCATCTTAGACACAGGAAACCAATATTTATCCAGTCCCGCTCTGGTAAATAAATTAGTCAATCCTTTTGGAGAATGGACGTAGTCTTCAATTATTATGGTGATAATCTCTGTTGGGTTTTCTGTCAAGAATGCTTCGACTTCGTTCAAAGTATTTACTGCAGGTTGCTGAGTATATTTCAATGGACATATTAAAAGACGCCCCATGAAAGTGCAATCATAAAAGTACATTTAGATGGTAAGGAAAAAAAACGTAGGAACATGGGTTAGAGTACAAATGCGGTGAAAGTGAAGCACTGTCCCCGGAAGGAATGGCAAAGCCAGATGTCGTTCTCGAAGTCGTACATATCCAGCATAAGTCCCCTCACTCCATTCTACATCATATCCATCAAAACACATGAATAAGATTCCCTGATGAAATGATTGCATTAAAAAGATACGAAAGGTTAATAGGATTTTGTAATCTTGAGTAGTTGTCAGGGACCGAGAGAAAGGAAAGAAGATCATTCTCAGTCGTTCATCTTGAAGCCGAATGAGAATCCAACCCGACCCAAAAAGGAACAGAGGAAAAAAGTAAGAAACAAGCAACGGACAAGAACAAAATCGACAAGAAATATTTGTGATGTTAACCCCGTCTCTTCCTCTCCGGAATCTCAGAATAGGGAAAGAAGAACGCAAAGGCATACTCTCAATTGGTTGGTCACAGTGTCTTCTTGATTGTAAAATGTTAGCCTCTGCACGCCAGGCAAGGATGGTGCATCAACGATGCTGAATGAATTATGGGTCATTATCCACGTATACTTGTTGAAGGGCAATCCGTTAATCTGCATATGAAAAAAGTAAAGTTAAACGAAAGTTCCCACCATCGACCGGCAAATTCCCAAGACAAAAGAAAGAAGTTAGACTGCAAATTCAGAGTGTATCAGACTCTAATTTCTAGCTGCAGAAGTAAAGAAGCTTACGATCGATGATGGAATGGTGGCTAGGCCTCTGGTACAGATAGGCTGCGTCCTGCCCAAAGCAGGGCAGTTGCCACAGTAGAGACCTGGCCCGCAATCCGTGGACGAGGAGCATGATTCCAGAAGCTGTGAATTCTGGTGAAATTCAGCTCAAACTGGGGAAAAACGACAAAAGGAAAAAGAAGGGAGAGAGCACGGATCCCTTGATAGAAAAGAAGAGAGAGAACCTGACAATTGCCATTAGAGCAGGCGGAGGAAAAGGCAATGAAGAGAGAGAGGAGAGATAGAAAGAGGAAGCCAATGAGAGGAGGTCTGCATTTTGCACCGTACATGAAGAAAGTGTGCAGAAGGAAAGCGGATGCCTACGCAGACGGTGGAAGCCACCCGGCGCGGAGAGGGGAGAAGATAGTGGAAGCCAATGCGGGAAGAGAATGTCGATCAATCATAGTTTTGGCATCGGCCGCGGCCTTTATCGCCTTTAATTTTCTCTTATTTTTAGGCAACAGCTACTTTCGCTGTCACAGTCTCACTTCAATTCTAAAGTTACCATTCTATTTTCTTCAATGAAAAACCAAAACTTTCACCATATATTTGTCCGTTCTTTTTTTTTTTTTACCAGAACTATATATTTGTCTGTTGTCATGCAAGTATGGATATGACAGTGATCTTTAAGTTAAGACTTGTAATTAGTTGCAGAATAATTTTTTCATTATTATAAAGTTCATCCCAATAAAATGAAGCTCGGCAAGGCGTACAATAGGGTTTCTTACATGCTACGTTACTTTTCTGAAATTAAAAATTAATGCAATTTTAGATCAAATTTTATTACCCGCTGTTGTTATTTACATATATCAAACACACAAGTTCTGAGTCTTGAGAATTACGGTAATCTAAAGATTTCATTTGTGCCCAATTTGGTATGATCCATGAGTTTTAATATTTCGAACAAAAAAATGAGTTTAATACGAATAATTAGTATAGGAAAAGGAAATAAAATTGTTGGCAAAAAAAGGGGAAATGAAACAAAGTGAAGAGAGGAAAATGAATGGAATGGAACTAGTATTTTTAAAAGTATGCATGTTATATTAGGAAAAATAAAATAGAACATTAATGTATTGGTTGTTAAACTGAAGTTAAATAGACAATTAAACCCGTGTTAATGACCCTTCTGTCTTCTTCGTGGAAAGCAGGTTTGTCCATGACCATGGATGAAACCCATATACCTATCGGATGCTCAAATTTCTGTTGGCTGAGCAGCGAAACTGTATGCATGAGAGTCCGAAACTACTGCAAAGCAAAGCACTCGTCCATTCACCCACCGCCTCCATTACAACAAAGCAAATCAACTGCCCAGCAATCAGGGTCACAATAGTTTCTTCCTTTCCAGTTTTTGGCCGGGCCGGGCAGGGCGGGGCGGGGCGGGGCGGGGCCCAAACAAGAAGGACACTCAACATTACTTTTTGGTTAAAGTGCTCCGCTCTCTCCCCCCTCTCTTCCTATCTTTGCCTTCCATGTGGGGTATCGCCCTGCAATGCTCACTCCAATGGAAATGCTTCTTCACACACTTGATATTAAAAATGGAAATGAGAACGCCAGAGAATGCACTTGGCGGTTAAACTTGGGAAATGGGGACGAAACTCGGTATTGTGATTCGGGCAGTAAGCATCACATGGGTTAGGTTAGCGAGTTCAGTAAGCATAAATGTGAAAATGAATTGTTTATAAAATTACCTACGCCAGATACAATGGCATCGCCCCTGCATAAACAGCATTGCTTTCCGCTATCATCGATTAGATTGCTTCCTCTACCTGTGAAAGAATAACAAAAGAATTAAATATTGACTTTTTGCCAAAAATCCTCACGGTTAAGCAAGCTTCTTCGCCCGACCACTTGAAGGAGCGCCGTCATCTTTTCTGGACCGAGGTGCCTCGGGCTCATAACGATAATCATAAAAAAGTTCCTCCCCACCACGGATCCTTTCCTTGGCCAAAATCCCTACTCTGTGATCTGTGCAATGTGAAGCCCCACGAACACACACAACCCCAGCAGCAAGTCCTTTCTTTCCCAGAAGAAGAATAATATTGTAGGACTCGAAAGATCTGCGCCTGACGCATTTGCAATGTTTCCCATCTCTTACGTTATAACAATACAACTCTGAGGATGAGTGATTTGATGGCTGCTTCGTAATAATGGTATCTGTTTCTCTAATTTCACAAGCTTACAATCTTTTTCCTAGTTATTTCTATTTGGATGTATATATGAAGGGATCGTCTTATGGACTCTCTTGTATAGCATTCGTAATCTTCACTGCAGACTCTTACAGATATACGTCTCACTGTATCTGTGTATCCTTCATATATTTTTGTCGTAATCATCTCCTATTCAAAATTTATGTATGCTCCTTTTTTCCTTTCATTTTTGTCTAAAGTACTGAAATAGCAGGGGAGTTGAACTTGCTATGTAAGACTTGATTTTCTTCATGCTTTGTATATATACTGATCGGCAAGCTTTATATTAATCCTTGCGGCAAACTTCTGATGTGATTTTGATTATGATTTATCATTTTTACGTTTTAAAAATCTTCCCGCACGTCCATGTTGCTTCCATTATACGGATCATGTTCTCAACAACGTGCTTTATCTACTTATCCATGTTACATGCACTCATCAGGACAGGGTCGACAATGGATTGAAAATATATATTTTCAAGAGACTGGCTCTGTTGATTATTGCACCGACAAGAATACTTTCGTGTTTGGCTTCTTAGATATGCTGCTATGTGCAGCGATGAACATACTACCCGTACTGAGCTGTCCATAGGTGTTTTCATGCAAGTTTTTCCAATAACATTTTAATAGTCTGATAACAACGTTGTTTTTCTGATTATACATGTACCAGTAAGTTGGTTATTATTACTATAATCTTCTTGTGTGATATAAGTGCAGATTTTGTTTCATTCTTTAACTAAACATCCAGGGAGTTTTATTTTAACTCACATAGGCCTCCTGGGTTTCATTTAATTATGAGCCACATTATAACGTAACTTGAGCGAGTTCCGTAATATTATATGGTCTGCCAGACGACTTTATGCGTTTAACCTTTAATATGCATAAGCTACATTTAGTAGACTACAGAGAGAGGGCCCTCGTCCGAGATGATGTGAAGCAAAATTGCCTGTAGAATATGATATGGAGGGTGTAGATATATATATAAGCAAAAACTTACTGCTGCTTCTCACAATATGCCTGAGGGTCAGGGATCCCCCTTAATGCTACTGCTCATTCACTCGCATATATGTTACTCCTCCTATTCTTAATATAAGACCTAATTTGAGAGTTAATGTTGGTTCCATATGTAAGACCTATTTCACATGTTTATCAATATTTTTTTTCAAATTAACCCCACTGATATTCCCTTAACAATAATCGAATAGGAGAGGAGGAAGAAAATTAAGAAAGATTATCAGGGTATTTTAGAAATAACATATTATTTTAACTGATTTAACTAACATCCTTAATCCACTCAAATTAATTAATGAAAAATTATAATGAGATCCCATCCAAGAGAATTAATTTAATGATTTCAAGAGATTTTTTTGTATTCAATTCTCTTATGTAGGACTTTATTGTCATTTTCCCATTCATTGATTGATTAGATCTTAAGAGGAGTATATTACTTTGCATGTAATTTTAGAACACGTTGCGGTTGATTAAGCACTTAAGCATTCTCCAGTCCTATTGGCAGTTTCTGAAATATGATAGAAATTTTGACTGATGACAGCAGTCTAGCAAGACTTCGTGCAGAGAAATATGTTAGATCATAACACTATATGTAGAACAACAAATGAAAACTTGAAAAGCAATAATGTTAAGAAAAGCGTTTTTTAATGTCTGCTAATTAAATGCGTCACCTTCTCTGGAGTTTTGAACTTTTTTGGATGCAGAACTTGTCGCTGTTGTGCGTGTGATATTAGTTGTTGAGAGATTAATAATTGCAGGCCCTACCGGGTGAAATGAGTACACTTACAAGGTGACAAATTCATCAAATGGCGTAACTTCCGTTAAGATATGGTGATCTTTTAAGCTTTATTCCATGCAATAAGCCTCCTGCTTTTACCGGATTGACCGGTGATACATTTTTCTTTTGATTCCTTTTATAACTTAAAAAAAAAATCGAACAAATTATATCGTCACTTCACTCGTTTGCAGGAAAGGAGAATGACGGTTGACTTCCAAAAGATCATTTTATTATTAGTTAGATTTCTGATGATATTTTTTTCCTGAAAAAAATGAGTTCGAAATATCATTCCGAATAATTACAAATTTGAAAGTCTCACATACAAATAAGATACTCCACCTATCCTTAATATAAAACCTATTTAACTAATTTAATTATACTGAGAAAGTTGGATAAGTTAGTTAATTATAAGAAATATGACATGTTTTTTTTAAAATACCATAATCATCTTCCTTAATATCTCATATCTCTTTTCTACTTGATTATAGTTGAAGGAGTATTCATAAGTATAATTTAGAAAAAGTTGATAAATATGATAATATGTCTTATATTTATGATCAAATTAACTCAATAATTAGGTCATATATTAAGGATCGGAGGAGTATTTACGTTCCCAACTAACACTCAGTCTGCAACTGAAATTCTGTCTGTAATTGTTTAAATTTATATCTATAACTCCCTGTTTAAATTTAACGTTTTATGTGAATCTCATGAAATTATTTTTTTTCCCTGTCCATTCTTCAATTTTTGAGATGTCAAGAGTTAAGTTAGAAAAATGACACATGCAAGTTGGAGACATCACAAGAGTAAATGAAAAAAAAAAAAACTTAATTGAAGTGCCCTTGCAAATATTGCTTCTGAGATCTTCAGTATAACTTTCAAGGGTTTTCAACTTGATTGAGAAAATGGGTATTTTCAATTACGGTAAAGGCTTTTTTCAACATGGGCCTTCAAGTTTTTGAGGTCCAAAAAAACACAGGCCTTCACGTTTTGAGGTTTGAGCCCTATTATCTGATGAAGTAGTTGAAAACAGGATTAATATAACCAAGGAAAAATTCCAGTATATTGTGGATAGAGTTAGATCTAAATTGACTTCTTGGAAAGCTGAATGTTTATCAACAGCAGGGAGGATCACCTTGGCAAAATCAGTGTTGAACACTATTCCTTTATACCCAATGCAAGTTGTGAAAATTCCAGCTAGCGTTTGCAATGAAATTGAAACCATTCAACGCAACTTCATTTGGGGAAACACGCAAGAATGCAGAAAATTTCACCCACTTAGTTGGGAGCGTATTGTACAACCAAAGAACTATGGGGGTCTTGGTCTGAAAAGGCTTTCCTCTATGAATAAAGCCTTCAGGGCAAAATTAGCCTGGCATTTGGTGGCTGGTTCGGATAGATTGTGGGCTCAAGTTCTTTAACAAAAATATATGATTAGGAGTGATGACAATCTCCTGAATGTAGAGCGGGGTGATTCTAGTCTTTGGAAGTTCATTTGTCAACAAACAGACATCGTTGACCAAGGTACAAGATGGCAAATTCGCAATGGTCAGTTTGTAAGCTTCTTCAATCATTGCTGGTTATTTAAAGATTCAAAAATTAAAGATCATTGTCTTAGAGTGCTTACTCCAGAAGAGGAAGAAAGTACAGTTGCTGATTGGGTAGCACATGGCGCTTGGGATTTCACTAGACTTAGCTCTATTGTTGATAAAGAGGTTTTAAAGCAACTAATGGTAATCCTTCCCCCGATGACAGAAGCTGGTAATGACATCATGCTTTGGAATGCCCATAGTCATGGTAACTTTACTATTAAAAGCACTTACTATATGATTGAACCGCCACCCAATAGTCTGTATAGCTCAACTTACAAAAATATTTGAAAATGGAGAGGAGCTGAAAGAATTAGAGTCTTTTTATGGACTTCTTTTCATAACAGACTCCCTACTAATGAATGGAGAAGCAAATGGTCACAAACTTCACCTTTGTGCTCCCTTTGCAATGCTACAATAGAGAATGTGATGCATATTCTGAGAGATTGCACTTATGCTAGACAGTTGTGGGCATGTTTCTTGAACCCGCTTCATTATACTCAATTCTTTGCTGCTTCTAGTAGAGATTGGTTTGCCATGAATCTCAAAAAAGACTTAGGAATTAACTCATCTATTCCTTGGAGTCTTTTATGGGGTGTTACCGTTTGGATGCCATGGAGATGGAGGAATAGTTTTATCTTTGAGGCTGACTTTAAAAAACCAGACAACCCAGCTGCTGTTATCATGAGTTGTTGGAGGAAATTTGTGCAAGATACTGATATTTCCTCAACGCGTGCATCTTATCCACAAAGAGCCTCATCAAAATGGATACCCCCTCAACATGGTTGGTTAAAGCTGAATGTAGACGGTGCTGTTTCAGCAACTAGGAGCAAAGCTGGATGTGGTGGAATTATTAGAAATCATGATGGGTCATGGATTGTGGGGTTTACTCAAACTCTTGGAAACTGTACTATCCTTGATGGGGAAGAATGGGCCATGTTAAGAGGTTTGAGATTGGCTTGGGAATGTGGATTTAAGAAAATAATTCTGGAATCAGACTCAAAGATTCTAGTAGAGATGGTTCAAACCAAGGATAACTTTTATAGCAGTAGTCTTACTCTTTTCCAGATATGGAACATGCTTGACTACTCATGGGAGGTGCAGGTGACTCATGTTCTTCGGGAACAAAACCAGATGGCTGATGCTTTAGCCAAACAAGGACTTTCTTTTAACTTTGTTTTACATTCCTGTCCTAGTCATTTAGAAACTCTGTTATCAAGTGATTGTATGGGACCCGTTCCCTTCTGAGTTTATTAATTTATTCTCGGGCTCAGCCCTCATTCATTACCAAAAAAAAAAAATATAAACTTCAGTCATTCAAATTTATTTTTTATTTTGATTTTAGTCCCTCGAACTTTAAATCATAAGCTTTGATCATTTATTTTTTTATTTTAAACATCAATCCCTGAGGTAATCTAAGAAAAACTTAAACCAGTTTACTCCTTGAATGATTAAAACTTATTGATATGGTTTAAAATTTGAGGAACTAAAATCAAAATAAAAACAAATCTTAGGGTTCAAATATTATGTTAACTCTTGAAAATACATCCAAATAACAAAGCCTCTGTAGTGATTTTCTTTCCCAACCCTGAGCACGTTTCACGAGGTTTCCTATAAATTAATTTGATCTCTTCAATATTTCTGTTATTCCATATTTTATTTTAATAGATCTAAATGTTACATGAATGCGGACTTTAAAAATTTTAAAGTTATTATGTCTTCGTAAATTTAACTAGAAAAAAGTATCGAGTTGTTTATATAAATATAGATACAGATAAAGACTTGAATGAACGCAAAATATATTAAAAAATAACTGACATCAATCTCTCACAAGAGTTTTAAATTATAATATAATAAATGTTAAAAAAATATCACGAGACATTTTATTGTATCTATTGAAGTTTTTTAGGTTTTGTTTTATTAATTTAGTCATGAGACATTTATAGTATCAAAACTAGTTAAAAGTCACTTTTATTTTGATAGTATTCGTGAACAGATTATGAGCATCCGAAATGGTTTTTTGTTCAACATGATTTTGAAAGTGTTAAAATATGAACAACGTCATCGTTTTTGTTAAAAACTTTAACGGTCATGGTTCAGCATTACTTATTCTTTTAACACTTTTGAAGTGATATTAAATTCAAAAAAAAAAAACCTTTGAATCCTCGTAATCCCTTCACAAATGTTTCCGAAACAAAAAAAACAAAACTAAGTCAGCTTAGAGAGAGAACTAACCCCATACGCTCTTGCTCCATTCCTAAGATAAGGCAGACAAACGTCTAACAAGCCAGAGCTATTGAGTAATCTTGTTTTATATTAAACCTATTTGAAATAGTTTATAAATAAATTTTTAATTACAATTTATAAAATATGATATAAGTATATGAAAAAATTTTTATCTTAATTTATATAAAATATATTTATAAGTAATTTTTGAACATGTCACGCGCAATTCCCAACTCAACGTCAGCATGTTTGGAATCTGTACGGACATCAAGCTACAACTGATGTTGTTTTTATTAGCCTGAAGCATATCAATCAAGTTCTTCGTATCAGATTCGATTCAAGGATTTATAATTAATATAAGATCTAATTAATTATTTAAAAAAATTTTAAAAAATAATTAAATTAGTTATTGTAGCAAATAAATGTTACATTTCATAAAATACCTTTATTAATTATATATGTTGTTTGAATTAATTATTGATAATAACATCTTAACATATATAATTATTATAAGCATTATTTGAAGGTAAAATAAACAAATATTAAAGATAAAATAAATTGAAGTATTGTATTTAATATTAAATTAAATGTGGAACTGCCTCATATATTAAAGATAGAAATAGAGGGCAGTAGCTTTCTTATCTTGAACCAAAACTCCCAAATCAGTCTTAATTCTTTGAACAGCTCATTCATCAGCTTCAAAAGTAAGCGTTTGAAGTAACCCAACTATATATCCAGTTCCTCTTACGATCTCTGATTGCATCAGCGCCACATTCTGCCTGGATCGGAGTTTGCAAGCAGTCGCTTATAAATTACTACTTTCTGTCTTTAATATAATATTTTGTTTGATTTTTATTTTAGTCTTAAATATAAAACTCAAACCTATTTTGTTTTTTATATTTATCCTTTTTTTTAAAGATAATCCTTCTAATAATAATAGTTTTAGTAAATAATTAATAAGGATATTTTAAAAAAAACAACACATATTTATTATAAATAAATAATTTAATTTATTTTTTAATCTATTCAAATTAGTCAATTAGCTTTTATATCTAGGATAAGAGATAGTAATATGTTTGAGAGCGAAAGTGACAATATAATTGTCTTGCAATCATTTTTTTCACTGTAAGAAAAAAGGCTTTTAATTATAGTTATTAAGAGTTTTTCACGACAGTTTTGGAAGCGAAGTGGATACAGTCGATATTGAAAGTTAAAGAAAACATGATAGTCATGTAAAAAACCGTCGTGGAAAGTTAACATGACGTGCGGTCAGGAATCCTCGGGTTTTCAATGTTCTATAATTTAATAATTTTATTGAGCTCATGACATTCAGCGTAGAATTGGTAACATGGATGAATCCACGAGTTGCAGGTTAGCTTGTGAAAAGTTGAATCTTCGGTGGGTCGGCTTGAAAAAACTCAGATGAGATGGTTTTTAGCCAATCTTTACCCGTCAAAGTGGGCTAGTGGGTTGGTCTGCCAATATTTATTTATTTATTTTTATTTTATTTTTATTTTTTTCTTATACAATATCTAAAAATAATAATAAATTTTTTGTTTTTTTAATATTTAATTAAAAGTACCAAATAAATTATATAAATATTTTTTAAAAATTTTTTTAGATATGATATATATAATATATAATAATATAATTATAATAAAAATAAAATTAAAGATCCCACCAAAAACAATTTAACACACCACCACCAAATGATCACGAAAAATGCTATATACAGCAATACTCCTGTGAGTTGTAATCACCCCACTTCCCAGCAACTGCAGCCATATAGCTTTGTTCGACATTTTCCCGACTAAACTATACTTGTCATGGCAAGCCAGATCCGGGTCATCTCAACCAGCAACGTGCAAACTGTAGCGGCTCGAAGCGGCGATCCAACTCCAAAGATCGAGTTGACTCCATGGGATCTTCAGCTCCTCCTGGTGGACCCCATTCAGAAAGGGCTTCTTTTCCGCAAACCCAGAGCTAGCATGGATTCGGTAATCCACCGCCTGAAAGCCTCTCTTTCATCCACCCTGGACTTCTTCCCGCCCCTCGCCGGCCGTCTCACCTTTGACGAATACGACGACGGCACCTGCTCCGTTTTTGTTCTCTGCAACAACTCCGGAGCATTATTTGTCCACGCCGCCGCAGATGATTTCACGGTCTCAGATATTCTTCAACCCACCTACACTCCTCGCATTGTCCATTCCTTCTTCCCGCTTAACGGAGTAAGGAACTACAAGGGGACGAGCAAGCCACTGCTAGGCGTGCAAGTCACAGAGCTAAGAGACGGCGTGTTCATCGGGTGCACTGTCAACCACGTCGTCGCGGACGGCACGTCGTTTTGGCATTTCTTCAATTCCTGGTCTGAAATCTCACGTGGTTCGAGCGAGTTATCCAAGCCTCCCGCGCTCGAGCGTTGGTTCATCGACGGCATTAATCGCCCTATACGCATTCGTCTCGCCGAGGCGAAGGAGAAGATGAAGTTTGATGGGCACCTCAATTCGCAGCTCCGACAAGAGAGGGTGTTCCATTTTTCAAGTGAAAAAGTAGCCGAGCTGAAAGCAAAAGCTAATGCGATGGCATGTTCCAATATGATATCTTCTCTGCAAGCAACACTGACTCATCTTTGGCGTGCTATAGTTCGGAACCAGGGTACTGACCCAGAAGAAGAGGTCAACTACAGATTGCTGATAGGTATAAGGCCGAGGATGAGTCCGCCATTGCCTCAGAACTATTTTGGAAACGCGTTGCAGGATGGTACTGTGAGCATGAAAGCAGAGGAACTGCTATCCCAAGATGGTCTCGGTAAGGCTGCTTTGGAGATGAACAAGATGGTTGCTTTGCACACCGAAGAGAAGCTCGTGAGCCACGTAAGGTCTTGGATGAAAAACCCTAGGCTGCTCACAGAGCATGGGGTGGCTGGGAATGCATTGGCTACGAGTAGTTCGCCGAGATTTGATGTGTACGGTAATGACTTTGGATGGGGAAAGCCGGTAGCGGTCCGAAGCGGCGCCGGGAACAAAAGGTACGGGAAAATCACTGTGTTCGCCGGAGCTGAGAACGGCAGCATTGATATGGAGGTTTCCCTTTCTTATGAAATTTTGGAGGCCATGGCAAAGGACTCCGAGTTCATGGATGCTGTCTCCGCTGCTTCCTATGATTAATTAATCATTAGAAGACTAATTAACGCTCGTTTATATTTTCATCCTTTCGCTTGAATGCTCTGTGTTTCTTTCGACTAGGCAAGCAATCGAAGTTATTGTCCTGTTCTGGGAGATATCCTTCAATAAAAATAAAATTATATGTTAGCAAATGATACAATTATAATCATATATATGGGTAATAATTTTTATTAAATTAAAAGTCATTATTTAGGCTATTGTCCTATACGTACTCAATGAACATTATAAAATAGAATTATATCGAAATAGACCAAAGTTGTTTTATTTTCAATAAATAATAATGAAATTGTCAAATGTCATCAACAATAATCTGTTTTTTAATGGCAGAAAATAGTGTGTTTTTATGAAAACATAGGTCATTTTTAAACAAAAGGATTCCTTCTTTTGGTGGGGCGACGTGGAGAAGCATTCATCACTACACACACACATGTAGGTAAAGATGTCAAGGTTACATTGCCTTCACTATTTTTTACCTGAAATGTTATGTTCTTATTATTTCTCAAAATAAAAAAAAATGAAAAATACCTCATCATGGTTTTTTGGTTTAATTTCATTTTGTTGTGTTTTGGCTGATCAATTTCTTTTGGTGTGCTTGTGAATTGTAAGGACAGGTTTAGTTAAATTTATCCGTTCGCCTATCAAGTGTTGTATTCTCTCTCCCTCTTTCTTTTATTTCTTCCTTTCTGGACCTGAATGTTGCACCTTTTTTAAAAAATTTAAAATTGACTAGCAGTGTGGGTGCGGCACCCCCCGCCGTGCCCTCGCCCCTTCCATGCAAACTCATATTCGACCACAGTTAATTCATATATGTTTATTTTCCTATCATATACAGTGTCGACACGTGGGAGGAAATGACTTAAAACGTGGAAGTGAGGCGGGCGAGGAGAGGAACTGGTCCAGATCCACTGTCTGGTCGCCATTGACCGTGTATGTGGAGCGTGTCCCTCACACATTTGTGTGCGTGAGTTTTCTTGAAAATTTTTGAAGACTTATTTTATAATTATTTTTTTAAAAATTAAATAATTTGTTGATGTTTAAAAAATTATTTAATTTAGTTATCTCAATTATTTATATTGAAAATTAATTCTTTAATAGAGAGCTCTCTTAATATCAACTATTGATGGGAAGAGTTTTGAAAAAATTTATAATTTTAGCAGGTAAAATAGTTGAAATAAGCTTATTTACTAATTTTTATGTCAATAAGTAGAGGGAGTATTATTTGTCACTGTTAGATTGAGGTCGATAGCGTCGGGCGTGGAATAATCAAGTTGGCAGATGATATTATCCTCAGGAATATAATTGTGCCATCAACACCTCAGAAATATCGAAAAAGACTATTTCCACAACGGGCTTTCCTGTAACCCTAACTCGCCTAGAGGAGACGATTCTGCATCACACGTTTTTAGTTTTTACAATAATCTTTCTTTCCTTCCTTTGATGAATAGGACACTTGATTATCAGTTAAATAACATAACATAGTTTATGGAAGTTAAAACTGAAAAAAAAAAAAGGGCATCAAGCTGTTCTTTTTTCTTTATTTCTTTTAATATATAACGTGTGGAAGTAATTCTTAATAGCACAAGTTAAATTCAATAATTAGTATGTACAAAATCATCGTTATGTATAAAAGAGACCATCATGTTATATAGCATAATTTAATATCTCCTGTATGTCCTAAATATAGAAGTTAGATAGGAGATTTGTTTTGATTATAAATATAACATCTTAATCAATTTTGACTCTTAAATTTATAATTTTTAAAAATATTCTATTGATTATAGTAGGGAATTTCTATTTAGTAGATGGCTACAATAGATATGATAAGAAATGATATTATATAGAAAATTAACACACGTTTATTATAAATAATTAATTTAAGTAAATTTTTTAATATTCATAAATAAGTTGTTTAACTTTTATATTGACAAGAAAATATATAACAAAACGAGGTTGGATTTAATAAAAAAGATTGATTTCTCACAATTTGGTAAATTAATATTTAAATTTTTGCCGAGAAAAATGTTCAGCCTGACGTGACTGCTTTTAAAAATGTCTGTGCACACCAATCAAAACAAGAAAGTATATTTGAACAAACGCCAACCTTGGCAGGTTGAGACATTGATTTTGCATTTAGTGAGATAGTGTATACAAATACTAGTAATTTAATATTGATTGCTTTGTGCAACGAAGAGAAACTCGTGAGCCACGTGTAAAGTAATGGATGCAAAAACCTAGGCTGCTTACAGGGGATCGGATGGCTGGGAATGCATTTGGTTACGAGGAGGGCGTGGGGATCTGATGCGTACGATGATGAACAATGAGTTTGGATGGAGAAGGCCGGGAGCGGCGTCGGGAACAAAACGTAGGGGGAACTTACTGTGTTCGCCGGAGCTGAAAAACGACAGCATTGATGTGGAAGCTTCCCTTTCTTAGTTAGTGGATGCTGTCCTCGCGTCGTTGCTTCTTAGGATTAATTAATCATTGCTAGAATTAATTAAAGCTCCTTTATTTTCATCCTTCGTTTGAATGGCCATATATGCCAGCAGTAATCGAAGTCATCGTGCTGTCCTTGAAGATAATCCTTTAATTAAAATCAGTGATGTGTGTTTCGTCGTGAAAAATATGATGTTGCGCCATCCATATCTGAGCAATATTCAAATAAAATTTATTATTATTAATGTTTATTTTTCGATCAAATACAATAATGTAGACGCGTACGTAGGAGGAAAGGGACTGGCCAGCGGTAGGTATCCGTCACACTTTTTTTTTTTTGGTGGCTCTTCTGGAAAGATGCATCGCGCGTATTAGGATCATAAATATGTATGCACATCAATGGAGGTGTCGTGGCTGTCTTTTGTTAATATTTGTCGGTGTTCGATATGATATATGTACGGTACGTAACGTCTGAATCGAACTAATTGGCTGGTGATATTATCCTCAGGAATCGTACCAGCAGCCTGGGGAGATCGAAAACGACTATTTCCCGACGGGCGCGCACACAGTATTTCACAACCCCAGGTTACAGAGAGAAAACGATTCTACATTACGCGTTTGTTTTTTTCTCTTTCTTTCTTTTTATTTCACCAATAACCATTGTGTGTGTGTGTGTGAATGACCGTGCGGTGTACAGGAGCGCGAAATTCTCAGCAACACAAACTAAAATTGATGATAAAAAATGGCATAAGTTGAAATTTGTCGTGGATGTATATGTATGAAATGACTTGAGACCATAATTTTAAATATATATATAGCATGATTTAAAATTTAAGTAAAGAGATATTCTTTTGGTCTTATTTATAAGGCACTTCCAACTTGTTTTACACATACTAAGAAAAACTTCAAACTTCATTAACTCTCATTTAAAATTTAATAACTTTTTAATTTTATCCTTATTTAATATATATTATACTTCATGTAAATAAAATCAACATAATAATAATTGAGGAATAAAATTATACATTTTATAAAAAATTTCTTTCAGTACCCTATAAATATGATAAAAAATATATTTTCTCTCTGCCCTATAAATAGGACTAAAGGAGTACATATATGTACTATGGGCTTCCTTTTAGATTATGGAACCATTAAGTGCTTGTTTAATTTGGGATTACAATTATGATTTTTAAAAGCACTTATTCATGTAAATCAATACAAAGCTCTTTTCATATTCATCTCATATTTCGTAAATTACAGTTAAAAAGTTGTCTTTGAAAGATTCTGCTGCTATTTCAAATAAGCCCTAAGTAACACAAAAGATTATTTATTATATAGGATTAGCCAAACTCATATATATGAGATTGGAGAATACCACAAATTGGGAAATACCATGAGAAAAAGTGATATTCCCCAATCCCACTTCTAATCTATAAGTTTGTCTAATCCAATATAATAAGTAATTACTTATACTAAATACTATTTTAATAAATTTTTTCAATTGCAATCATAATTCTTGTCTCTTATTTTTCATACTTCCGACCAAATGCCACCGCAGTGTATGCTAAAATATCAACCATTTTTCTTCGACATGTATCTATCTCAAGTCATCGCTGCCCAACCTCCATATTTTGGTTTTTGGGCAACGCGCTTTATACAAGAGGGAAGACAAATAAAAATTAGAAGGCAGAAAAATGTAGAGAGAACAAAAATAATGTGAGATGCAGGTAACCCTACGCAAGAAAGAACTCCAATAGTGGGAGATTTTGAATTCCAGGGGATTTAAATTTTTAAAAAGCCTATTCGGGTTAAAAATGCACGATACCAGTTTTATACACTAAAAAAGAAATGAAAAAAAAACTCTCCCCTTTCTTTCCATTCTACTGATAATTTGAGGAGCATAAATGCGAGTTGTTTAGAATTATTCGTATATTCCGTGCATATATATACAGACAGGAGAAAGGCAGGAAGCATTTAGGCTTTAGCAGAGGAAAATGGGTAAGCGACACGGTGAGAGGAGAAGTCTTGTCTGATCTGGGAAGTAGGAACATGGCGGCCGAAGGTGCTTGAAGCGCTGTGGCCAGGAGTGCGTGTGTGATGGTTTTCTCGAAAGATGCAGGGCATCTTCTGAGATCATATGTATCTATCCATCATTAATTAATTGTTCGTGTCGTGGCTGTCTTTTGTTAATGTTTGTCGGATTTATTCGATGGAGATGTGTACTGTTTGCCGTGAAATAATCAAATTGGCTGATGATATTGCCATCGCGCGCGAAGTGTGGCCACAAGACAGAATGATCGGAAATGACCAATTTCCAGACATGCCCCACGATGGATCGCAGTGACCCTAGTTCCCAAGAGGAAACGATTCTACAGCATCCGTGTCTGCAATCATCTCTTATTTCTTTCTTGCGTTGATCAGGACACTTCATTATGATGAATTAGATGTCACAATACTACAGTTTATAAAAAACAAAACTATGTATATGAAGCCCTTGCCATCTTTCCGTCCTTCTTTCTTTTTATTTCATTAATGCGAGTCTTGTTCTCCCGAGGGCATGTCAAACTCGTAATGTGCTGCAATATAATTTTTATATTTGCCTAGCCAATCGGGAGCTCCAGGCTTGGTTTAGATAAAGGGAAAAACCGAGAGAAAAATATTTCATTAAAAAAAACATAAAAATTTGAGATTTTTTTTTATAGGAATTTTTTTTGCCCCATCCCATCCAAAATAGAAATAAAATTTGTGCTAGTTGAGGCGTCCACGTTTCGTGCGTGCTCATCATCTTGATTATCCTGTGCTCGGCATTGAACAGTATAGTGAGGGACCTTTATCCTTTTTTTGTTTTTGTTTTTATTTTTTCTTTTTCACTGCAAAGAAAATTATATGTATTTGAATTTTTTTAGTTAAGGTTGATCTAGTATTCTGAAATGCTTTTTTAGATATATTTAGTATTTTAAAGTATTTTATGGTATCTTGAAATATTTAAAAATTCAGTATCTTAAAGTATTTTGTCGTTGATCCAGAGTCTTAAAATATTTTTTCATATGCGTTCATTATTTTAAAATATTTTGTGTCTGGACTTACCTAGTATTCTAAAGCCTTTTATGAATTAGCTAGGACCCTGAAATATGTTTTCAGTATTTCAAAATATTTTGTGATGCAATATTACAAAATAAAAAATATTTTAAGACATTAAATGCACATAAAAAATATTTTAGGGTAGTAGATGAGTCATAAAACTGAAAAATCAAATGCTCACTCCTACCTACAAGCTGCCCAGGCTCACCAACGCTTGTGCTTTGTTGGATGCATAAGAAGTCATATCCTTTAACTGTCTTCCACAACCAACGACACTGAATCTAATAGAATAAGTTAGTTTCTCACAACATAATAAATTAATATTCAAATTTTTAATAAGAGAAGTGTTCACATTTAGTGTTTCATAATAATACCTCTAACTGAAGGATATTTATGCGTGCCCGAACAAAAAAATTATCTTCCGCGTGTCACCTTCTTTTGTGGCAAAATCGTCTTCTCCAGCGGCTTCGATTTTCAGTCATCCGAGAGGCCGGGATGTGTTGGTTCCAACTTCAAATTCTTGGGCTCTTCCCTGACATTGTTTTCCCACTTTGCATTGCGTCTGGTGAATTTTGAAAGCGGGATGCTTTCCTCTTCTTTCACACACAAGCTTATAGAAACCAACCCTAACATCATAACATGTATAAAAGCACATCTGAAAATTTCAAAAGAGCACAACATGCCAATATTCGTTAATTTAAAGTTTTAAATAAAAGTATGTTAACTTTTCCCGTTTTACTACCACATAGATGAGCGTGGGGCTCACTTGTTATGGTCATTTTTCAATCTGAGTGAATATTATAATGCGAGGCTTGCATTCAGAGTACCTTTTGCACTCGAGTTAATAACCAAGTCGAACTCCTCTGGTTTAGGTAGGGGTGAGTATTCAGTTTTTCAGTTCGGTTATCGGTGATAACCGAATAAACCGAATAAACCGTTTAGGTGGAAAAATGACAAATTTTTTCTTTTTTAATTTCACTTTTCTTTAAAACCACCAGCGCGACCGCCCCTGCATCGTACCATTATCTCTACCTTTGGGCTTTATATTTCGTTCACACATTTAAATTTTTATATAATCATTTAAAGGCCAAATCCAAGCTACTATGAAATTTTATGTTAATTACATTTTGTAAATGATTCTAAAATTATGATTATGATTTTACAAAATTCAATAATGATTTTAATCTTTATGTATTATTTGCTGATAAAAAATTTAATAGTTACATGAAAATAATAGAAATATCACCGTAAAATTAAGTGCTCAGTTTTTCAGGACAGCTCCGCCTCCACTCCAACTCTAAGACCCACATAAAGTTAAAAAAAAAAAAAATCATAAATAATTAATAAAATCATTTAGTCCATCACCAGATTCTGGTCTCACGTGGCCACGTCGATGTAATTATGAAAAGTTTTCGCACTCTCTTTCTATTCTAAATATAAGAACTAGTTTATTTATTTAAATAAATTAAAAAAATAAATTAAGTTAATTATTTGTAATAAATATATATTATTTTTCTTAAAATATTCTTACTTCTAAAGTGTATTAGTTAAAACTATAATTATCACAAAGACTATCTTGAAAAAAATACATAAATATGAAAGATAAAATGGACTGATATATTATATTTAGTATCAAAATAAAAGTTAAACGAGTTTTTATATTAAGGATTGGAGTTAGCATTTATTTAATTAAATAACAAAAGATTATTAATTACAGCATTAAAATTAATATATAACCTATTTAATTATTATCATAATCAAAATATCATGACCCTATATTAGAGGATCCGTTATAATAATGAGAAAGGATAGGAGACCCAATTCAAGGATCCACCGCACGAGGCTGGGGGTAGTGGCCTAGTGGGAGCATCTGGGCGTGGGAGCCCACGTGCCCTGTAGCACCAGCGGATATATCAGTTCTCTGCGGTCACCGTAGCCACGCCGCTGTTTGTGAATCTTTGTCCTTTCACTATTGACCCTGCAAGTGCAATACGCTTATATAGTCTGGTTCTGCTTCAAGACAACGAATGAAAAACAAACGCCATGACCCAAATCCAAGTAATCTCCACAAGTTTGGTTCAAGCTCGAAGCGACAATGGCGATCTCATTCGAGAAATGGAGTTAACTCCATGGGATCTCCAACTTCTTCCAATCGAAACCATCCAAAAAGGACTTCTTTTTCACAAGCCTATAGCCAAAGACACTCGCAGTTACATCCAACGCCTGAAAGACACCCTTTCCTCCGCTCTAGACTTGTTCGTTCCCCTTGCTGGACGTCTCACCAACGTTGAACATGGCGATAATGCAGTCTCTGTTTCCATTTCCTGCAATAACGCCGGTGCCCTGTTTGTCCACGCCATCGCCTCTAACGTTGCTCTTTCTGATATTCTCGATCCCATCTACGTTCCTCGTATTGTGCACTCCTTTTTTCCACTGAACGGATCTAAAAATTACGAAGGCAGTTCTGAGCCGTTGTTAGCCGTTCAGGTTACAGAGCTAGTCGACGGCGTCTTCATCGGATGCTCAATCAATCATTCCGTTGTGGATGGCAGATCGTTTTGGCATTTCTTCAACTCTTGGGCCGAGATCTCTCGGGGTTTGGACAGAGTATCCAAGCTCCCTGCTCTTGAACGCTGGTTTCCTGAGGGGATTCGACACCCTATTCGCTTTCCTTTTATAAAGGAAAAGCAACAATCTGATGAGCCGCCGCCAGAGAGGGTGTTTCACTTCACAAGGGAAAACATTGCTCAACTGAAAGCAAAAGCCAACGCAGAGGTTAGCACCAACAAGATATCATCACTGCAGGCGCTTTTAAGTCATGTTTGGCGGTCCGTGATCCGCAACCAACGTCTCGATCCAAATGAAGATGTCAAATTCTTGCTATTAATAGGTGCCAGGCCCAGAATATCGCACCCACCATTACCTGATAGTTATTTTGGAAATGCTTTGCATGTTGGTAAAATAGCCATGAAAGCAGGGGAATTGATTGAGGAAGGGCTTGGCAATGCTGCTCTGGAAATGAACAAGATGGTTTCTTTACACACAGAAGAGAAGCTTAAGGGCTTCTATGAGTCCTGGATTCAGAGCCCAGAGCTTTTTAGATACAGTGGCATGAAAAGTAACTCATTGGCCACAAGCAGTTCCCCGAGGTTCGACATTTACGGAAATGACTTCGGCTGGGGGAAGCCGGTGGCTGTCCGAAGTGGCTCTGCAAATAAAGCTAACGGAAAGCTTACTGTTTTTGCTGGAGCTGAAGAAGGCAGTATTGACGTTGAACTTTGCCTGCCTTTCCAGATTTTAGAGGACCTGGCAAACGACCCTGATTTCACGTCTTTTGCTTCTATCTAATGGACATCTTCAAGGCTACGATCACAAGTTCAGTTTAAGGGTTCTTTTCGTAGGCATAATCTTGTGTGAGGAAGGGCTTGGCGATTTCTGTGCGTTAGTGCGAAGACAATTGATCCTTCGCTAATGATTAATGTTTTCTCTATTTTCAGTCGGAGTTGCGATCGAGTAATAAAACATTGAACTCGATAATTCGCCTAAGCTGCGATTCTATCTATCTTCATTTTTCTCCAACGCTGAGTGCCTGTGTGGTAGGATCTGAAATACGTCTCTTGCTTCACACAAGTTCCTTCTCCCTCGGTTCCTCAAATCTCAGTCATGCTATACACCCGCACGTTTTTGTTTTGGCCTTAAGCTAAAAGTATAAATAAGTAGAGTACAAATCTGAGGCAGACAAGGGAAGGAAACAAAATGAGCAAGTTTCCGATACGGTTGAGAAGACATTGAATCCTTCATGGCACAGACATGTGCCAGCCAACACGTAATAAAAAGGAAGGTTCTGAGGAATTACACCAACGCTATAAGAGTGAGGTTGGTGAAATAGCCAATGATGAGAGGCGAGCTTAAGGCCGAACGCAGAGCTTCAAATGTAGCCTGTAATGAACCTTGTCCTCAATATCGTTGCTGCCGCTCGTGCAAGGCAAGACATCGCAGTGATTGAAAAGATACTCACCAGTGATTTGGCACCATGCCATGGGCTCCCAATTTTTGAAATGGCAGTAGCAATTTTCCATTCGGTTCTTTCAGAATGAGAATAACACACTAGGGAACGTAGTCCTCTTCCAACCTCCATGCCATTCGATGATCTAAAATTGCTTGAGTTTCTGTGGCAGATCAACATGAGAGAGGATTCTATTCACTTGCTAAAGTTTAATGTTATTTTAAAACTACCAGAATTATTAAGTATTACATACTATCTCCGCTATTTAATATAAAAGTTATTTGACTAATTTGAATAGATTAAGAAAACTAGTTAAGTTAATTATTTGTAATAAATAAGTATTATTTTTTTTAAAATATCTTTGCTAATCAAGTATATTAGTTAAAAATACCATTATTATAATGACTATCTTGCAAAAAATGAATAAATATAATAGACAAAATGGATTATGATCTTATGTTGAAGACCAAAATAAGTGTCATATGAGCTTTTATATTAAGTATCGGAGGCAGTAACAAATAAGTTAATAAATTTAGAGTGTTAAAGTTTGATCTAAATACTTTTGTTTAAAAAAAAACATATTATAAGTTTAACTTTTCCGACTTTTTTTTACTGCAGTTTAGAACTATTAAAATCAAATTTCAATGGCTTAATTTTTTTTTATTTGACCTTTAGCAGTTTTTTTTGATAAAATATTGATTTAATCAAATAACTAGGATGAGGAATGGAATACATCAAGTCCAGTTAAAGTTTAGAAATTAAATTACAATTGTAAAAACTATGTTGTATTTAAATAAAGTTTAGGGATTGAGTTATAATTGAATAAATAAAGGGATCAAAAATTAATTTTCTCTTTTTAATATTTTTCCATTATCGTCTATATCCAATATCTTCAAAAAAAAAAAGGAAAAGAGAAAGCAATACCATCTCTTGTAATCTCTCCTGCAATACTCCCCGGGCTCATCTCTCTCTCTCTTTCTTCCCATATGCAAAGGAAGAAAAATGGAAGAAGACCCGGAATGAGTAAAATAGAACTTTCTCTCGATTATGGGCTGCAAGGCATGTTTTGATATTCATTGAATGATTTTCCCCAAAAATATATTGCCACGGGCTAGATTTTGTTAGGCCTTTAAACGTCGAGCCCGGGACATGTTTATGGGCCCGATTCAGTTGTGGCTGAGATCTTTTTGGGATAAATCTAGGAAAAGGAAAAAGAGATAATTTTGCCCCCAGAAAAAAGAAAACATGGCGATGAAAGTCATAGGCGAGAATGAGCATGTGATGCGTATTGGACCCAAAACTAAAGGCGCAAAAAAGGATGAGGATCGGCGGCGGAGTGGTGTACGGGGGTCCACGCGCCAACGCTCTGCCACTCCTTCTTAGCCACGGTAGAGCTAGTGTTCGCTGCTATTCCTCTTCCTCTACTCCTGGTAATGTGATCCTTCACTCATTTGCGTTTGTGCTGAAATCGCTCTTTTGCTTACTTGCCAGTGTATATTGTAGATTTTTTAACGCCCACGGCCTCCTTGGTTCATAGATATGGTTCTCTCGATTTCCGGAATTAGACCATTTGAGGGGTTGTTTTACTATAAAGAGTTTTTTTTTATTGGAATTCTTTGTCAACATTTGCAGACCATGTAGCATTCGTCAAGGACATAGCTGCCACTCAGCCTCCTGAGCATTTGTCTCAATTGTTGAATGTTTTGAAAGCCAAAGGTAGCTCAATTCTCTTCCTTTCATTCTCCAAATGTAAACATTATTGGTGGAGGATTATCAAAATCCTTGTGATATTGATTGCTTTCCATTGCTTCTCCCTTCGCACCACTTGTCTAATTCATCGTAGCTTTCTCTGCTGTGCGTTTCAAGTGACATTCATTTTCTCGGCTGCCTTCCCTTTCGGCAGTGACAAAAATATCAAGTAACATCCGTCTTTTTTAAATTTCTGGTTTTGTTCAAAATGTATAAGCGTCACCGAGAATGCGGCTTCTTTTTTGTGTATACCGACCAGAACGAAATGCTTACTTTGAAAATGTGGATCTGTTCTGCCATTTTTTTCCTAAAAAAAATTTAGCTTTCAATCCATACATTCTATCTTTCCAGGAAATATTGCAGTAATGCGCACCTTGCTTTGCTTAGTTTAGCTAGCTTTCGAAGGTTATTCTTCCGCTAGGAACTTGACTATTATAAGGATCGCACTTTTTTCGGATGACATTATCAATTTGTAATGGTACACTGCTGAAATAGTTTCTAGAATCTGTATGCCATCAGGTGCTTGAAAATGTGACTCAATATTGTCTATCAAATAAGGCCATGTACGCAAGGCTGAATTATTTCTTTTGTAGTCCATTTAATTAGAGTAGTTCTCTTACTCCTTGCTATATAACAGGTGAAACTATCGTTTTTCCTGGAGCTAAGCAGGGGTTGATTCCCCTTGCCATACCACTAACAAAAAGCAGCTCAGGTATGGGCTTGAGATTGCATATTTACAGGCCGTGTTTGGTATGCGAACAATGTAGTTTGCTGAGTATTTAATAACTTACATACAAATTTTTTAAATAAGAGATATATGAAAAACCAGTATTTATTTAGGAGCCCAAAACACATTGCAAGATTTTCACGTTACTTTCCCTCAAATATTCTGTAATATGTATTCAAGTGCCTGGGAAACTAACATTCTCATTTACCGAATGCATCCTTGGAGAAATCTTCAACTTAAATATTTTATGTAATTCTTTTCCTCATAGGTGCTGTAACTGCACTGCTGCGGTGGCCCACAGCTCCACCTGGGTAAAAAGTCCTAATATTGACCTTTTTTTCTTTGCTTAATCTGTTGATGTTTTATGATGTTTTCCAATTCTAAATATTTGCAGGATGGAAATGCCAGTTGTGGATGTTAACAAACATGGAGTCAAGCTGTTAGCGAAGAGTGTAAGTGGAGCAAGATTGGATTTTTAATTCGCAAACATGGCTCCTTTGCAGCTAATTCACAGTGATGTTGTTAATAGGACACTTCATCTTGCTCATATTTCTTTAAAGCGGCCTGATGCTAAATGCTTATTTCATTCACACATACACACACAACACAAATAGGTAGACCAATATATTCACAGAATATTGGTGGAAGAAGATGCGAAAAACAGTCAAGAGAGAAATGATGAGCTTTTTATTGTGTCAGCTGATGCTGGGAAGAAACTTTATCAAAAGGGTGGCTTTGCAGAGTCCAAAATTTCTAATTTAGACATCTATCTTTTAAAAGAGGTACAAAAGAAATTTCTTGAACTGCCTTGTTAACGTTCATGACAAATTATTACAAGAATCTGATTTGTTTTTAGGTTGGTCTGTTCCCAGATATCATAGAACGCAAAGTGATGCGACATTTTGAGGAGGGTGATCAAGTAACGTTCTCTTGTTTTCATAATTCCAAAAGCATGAATCATTTGGTTCACTTGTTGATCATTTAGTGCTCTAATGAAAGGTTTCAGCTTTAGTAACGGGGGAGTTTTATACTAAGAAGGAGCATTTTCCTGGATTTGCTCGACCTTTTGTTTTCAATGCAGAGGTCTTGTTGAGGTTTGTAGTAATATTTTCTACCATGTATGGGCGGTCTAAAATTGATACCGGGCTCTGTTTTCATAGGGGCCGCCCTTTTTGTTTCATTGACAGGGTTGGGCGTAATGTAGAAGCTAAAGATGCTGCCAGAGGAGCTTTGAAATCCCCATGGTGGACTTTAGGCTGCAAATATGAGGTACAAATCTTCTGATCTTTGGTGTGATAGTGAGGTTGATTCCTCCTCTTCCTCCTACTCCATTTGTGATATGGCTTGTGCTGGAATTTGTCTGTGCTCAGGACGTCGCTAAGATTGCACAGTGGGATGATGAGCAAATTGAGTACATTAAAGAGAAGGTGACTGAGGAGGGAAGGCAAGAAGATATTAAGAAGGGGAAGGCACCCGCACAGGTTCTGTGGATGATATTTAGTTTAATCATTAATTATTAACTGGACGACTCCTCTACATTTCAAAGAGTTTGGGAAATAAATCTTGCCTTTTATGACTTGTACATGATGTAAATTATTAGTAAGTTTTATCGCTGATATTGATACCGATAAATTAACATTGTCATTTAGTCATGACAATGGTGCCTGCTGAATTCTTCTCATTTGTAAATTTTAAATTATTTGCAGGTTGTATTAGATGAAGCTGCTTTTTTGATGGATTTAGCTTCTATTGAGGGGACGTGGGATGACTACTTGGAGCGAATTGCAGAATGTTACGAGGAGGCAGGACTCAATGATATTGCAAGATTTATTCTTCATAGAGATTAACTATTCTTGATTTCGGTAGATGTTGCTTCTAAACGTAGGACGCTGTTCCTTCCTTGCTATATGGACATTTCAGTGCTTCGCATGAAATTTTGTAAAAATATAATTTATAGTAAATTACATAAATAATTTATTCCAAACTAGATTATAAGGAAAATAAAACCAGAGGTACCATTGATATAAATCAAATGGAGGAAGCTTGACAAGTTTGAATGTGCACTCGTTTTATTGCAAAATTCGACTGCGCACGTCGTTATGTTGTTCCCTGATTCAGCGTTTATTTTATCATGCCCCTCGTCTTCATATGATTCGCCTAATAATAATATTAATAATAAAGAAAACTTGTGTTGAATCTGGAAATTTATTCAAAAACAAAGGAAAAAACCCGGTGAAAACAAGATAAATCGGAAATGGGCAAAGAGCTGGCGCGCGCGCAGACACAGAGAGAGAGAGAGAGAGAGAGAACTTATTACCCTGGAGGCAGCACCGAAAAACCCATATTCGAACATACTCGAGGGGAGTTCCAAGCCTAACTATAATTGCACTGACCTTACCTGGCTTTTGAGAAAGATAGATAAACTCTCAGATTTATGCAAAAATAAAAATTTAAATTTTTAACAAAACACCCTCCACTTAGAACTATTTATTTTAAAAAATATACATTTAGATTAATGATAGCATTCCAGTTAAAAATTTAAAATTAGAGTATACTGTATAATAACTATATATTTTAAAAATATATATAGACACTTTAAAAATAAAGAACATAATTTTCACAAAATTCAAGAGAACTTAACGTAATTTAATCAATAAAAATTATTGCAAAGTCCCTTGATACTGAACAATACTGCGGTTTATTAAGTGAGAACAATTAAGTGGCAAGAGGACCGGATATTTTCTTGTTTGCACCTATTTTCCTTCTACACAATAGCTTTTTCCACAAGCTTCCTCCTCCCCGTTTCTTGGCAGGAACGATGGCCAAAGATTTCTGTCCAGCAGTGTCATCTTGATCTTTCGTTCCATCCAAAACTAGGATTTTTTCTAGTGGTTCGACAACCGCAGTAGAAATGTTATTGCTATCTCCAGCTTTTGGATATTTATTAACATTGACTTTAGTGTGATCTTCAGCAAGCATCTGATCGAGTAGAGAAGCCCGTTGTTTCACACTTGCGTCCTTCGGAGGGGCGGGGCTTGATCCGACATCGACAGTACTGGAGGTCGTGTTGGTAATTGCATTACCGCGGGGGGCAATGACCTTGTCAAAAAGGGATGCATCTTTCGGATCAGACAGTGCCTTCAGTTGCTTGCCAAGGTTAAGGATGGTTTCTTGGCACTCAGCCAACTTTTCTGAAGCCGCTGTTATCTCCCAGTCCTGCAGAATTGATCAGCATATTTCAGCCCAATTCCAACATTTTATATAACATGCACAGAAGCCGTGAGCGAATTAGTGTTGTTAAATTAATAATGAATAACAATCAATCATACAGTATGCTAACAAATAAAAAGGTCTTTGCTTTTCCTGACTTTTATCTATTGTTCCGGAAAAAAAAAATCTGTTCATTTAATTTTGTTCGGCCAAACTTCATTTCCTATTTGCATGGTTTAAATATATATATTTTTTTAAACACATCCTTTGCTCGCAAATCTGAGAAGAACAGGTGTAAAAATTGGAAAATAAATAGTGTTTATAAAGAAATTTATAGATTAACGAAGTAACTTGCACATCATGCTTCAATCAGGGATCTACTCTTAATATAGCAAGCAAGTCATTCAACCAAACAAAGATATGCGCCTTTGACTCTAAATTGTTTATGCTTCTACAATATATTCCCCTTTCTCAAATGTCAGACAGTAACTAGCGATCTGACGAAAAGAAAATCGAATAAGATGAGGTCACTTACAGTTCGCAATGGCTTCTCTTTCTGATTAACATTATGATTGGAGGGCTCCTTTTTCATGCTGAGAAGAATAATTTGATGAGTCACAATCTTCAAAGAAGCAAGTAAAAGCCAATGTTCGAGAGCATATTGCACCGAAACAAACGTATAAAAATTGTCAATACCTTTCAAGTAGAAGCTGTAATTCAAGACATCTGCCCTCTAATTCTTCACAACAATGGTTTTTGTTCTCCAATTCCATTTCCAATGCCAAAACCTTATGACGAGCCTCTTTTATTTCATTTTCTGTAAGGTGGGCATCAATACTTGCATTTATCAGTTCGTGATTTTGTGTTTGCCCTGGAAGTTCTCCATTGGAATTTTTTATGGTTTGTAATTCTGACGAAGTAATTTTATCTGACTCCGGAAGTTGACTCCTCGAGGATATAGTCCTATTAGCAGCTGGTTGAAGTCTGTCTTCAGCTGTTTCCTTTCTAATTTCAGCGCAAATCACTTTATCCTTAGTATCTTCAGTTTCGTCTTTATCATATTGTAGCTGTTTGGTCTCAAGCTCATGGCCATTGACATTAGATACAGCTGGAAAACATGGCAACTGTTCTTGAGGAAGAAGCAACCTATCTGCCTCTGCAACATGACTCATCATCCCAATCTCCGCTTCAATTTCACTTTGCGTTTCCTCCCAATCAAATTGTTTTTTAATGGCATCCTTCATGCTAGAAACATCCTGAATTGAAAAGCAGTGATTGATAATCCAATCCAAAGCTGTTGTTAGTTCTCTAGCAAATTTTTCATGATCGGCCTTGCCATTCAGTAAATCATAACAAGCTTGGAGAAACCGGCGTAAGACATTATTTAGTTCAGATGTTTTCCACTGGAAAACACGCACCATGTAGCCTGCTGGCATTCCTAGGTTCTTGTATGAAACGACATTCCCATCTCTGCTGCATATGGGATCAGAATTATCATATTCTTCTGCAGGCTTGTTGATCCCTTCAATGATCTCAATAATCTTGCCTATAGATTTACTCATATCTGTTTGTTGTTTCCTTCTCTTTATTGGTGACATGACAGCATCAGTTACTCCAGAGGATGGATTTAGCAACAAAGAATCATCTGAAGGGATGCAGTGACTGAAATGGGGAGAATTTGATGCGACAATATGTCCTGATCCTTTGCTTGAATCAGGCTCATCAAGGTCTGCGTAATTCAGATGACTTATCCCCACTTTGATATCCTCAAGTATATCATCAGGATTTCTATGCGTGATGTGGCTTTGTTCTGAGATTACTTTAAGTACACCCTGAAGCCAGTGAGGAATTTGACCATTTGATATGTCATTGGAATTGGATGATTCAGACACAGGAACGATCTCCTTGCTCACTACTGGAGATGTAATCTCAATCAGCCCAGTGTCTAAGGAGCCATTAATTCCATTAGCTGCTTCTGAAGAAGCATGTGAAATTTCAGGGGCTTTTTCGACAGAGACCACTGCTAATTTTTCCATTTCAGCAAAGTCATCCATAAGATTTATGTCTGAAGATCCAATACTTTTGCTTGACTTAAATTCCTTTTGCTTTCCACTTTTGAACTGCTCCAGTTCTGAAATCAAAGCAGAAGCCCAGGATTCAGCACAACTAGCCTTATCATCACTCCCAATGTCAGATATTGACGCCACAGAAAATTCATGTGATGCGAGACTAGTGGGCTGCTCCCCAGTCACTTGACCTTTTGATGGTTCTTCAAGCTGTGATTCAACCTGCGACAGTTTGAAAGCTGTTCGAGCAAGCATGGTTCTTGAGAATTGGAGTTCATTTGTTTTCCTATTAAGGGTTTCTCGTAAAGTCTTGTTTTCTTCTTCCATAGAACATAGCTGCTCATTCAATATATTGATTCTTTTCATGGTAGTTTCAGAAGAATTGTCAACTGAAGAGTCATCAATGAAACTGATTGAGTTTGACCTTTTTCGCCTCATTTCAGCTGAGTCCCTACCCAACATTTCTACTTCATTCTTCATTTTCACTAGGGCAGCAGGACCTGGTAATCGTTTGCGAACCAGGACGCGCAACCTCTGACATTCTGACTCTAACTTGGCAATCTTCTTTGCACTCTCCAGGTGCTGCTTGTGAGATGCATCAGCTGAGCGACGATTGAATTCTCTCTCCTCATTTCGAATCTCAACCTCCTTTTCAAGCACCCGAACTTCATACCTCAGTGAGATGTTGTCTTTCTCTGTGGATTCTAATCTAGCCATGAGTGCACTATAATCTGCCTCAGCTTGGGTCAATTGTCTTTTAAGACCTTCAATCAAAATTTGGTCATCAAGAACAGCTTTGCTAAGATGAGCATTTTCAGCCCCAGCTTTTGCAAGCTTTTTAGTGGCCTCTGACAGCTGCTCCTCAAAAACCATACGTGCTTTTTCAAATTCTTTTGAAGCCTTCGTCACAGCATCATGAATCCTTTTCTCCTGTTCTTCACGTACAAAACGTAATTGCTGCATGCATTCTTTCAGTGCTCCATCCAAATGTGTCATTCTTTCTTCATAAAATAGTTTCTGCTGCAAGGCTTCCTCACGATCTTGCTTTAGAGACAAAGTTTCAGATTCAGCTTTCTCCCAACCTTCAGATGAAGCTTTTATCAGAAACTAGTAAAAGATACTCTCGAAAACTTGATGCATAATTGGAAAATTTGCAGCCCCAAGTTACAAGGGGTATGGGAAGGATAGAAACAGAGAGTTGTGGACAAATTACCCGCCACTGCTTCCTGTGCTATTTTTGTTTGCTTCTTTACCAGTTCATCTTTACCCTTACAGTCAGAGAGAGCCGAAGCAAGCTTGTCATTCAGAATTTTCAGTTCAATCTCCAATTCTTCTTTATCAGCTAGAAGCTCCTTAAACTAACATGCAGAGATAAAACAAGGTAAAATAACAACTATTTGAATACAGTATTAGAAAAACGATTGTAATATTATTTGGAATGAATTATGGTTCTCAAGTGATTAGGTGCGGCCAGAATTATTCTGCCGATTTTATGACTAAATCTAATTCAGTGTAAGGGGTCCAGTCCAGGGCGGGGGGGAAAAAAACTACAGATAGTTTTGGGCCAATTGATAGCAATCTTAAAGATGCTTTTATACTTCAAAAGAGTAGGATATTAGCAGCTTAAAGTCAATCATACGTCATAAATTTATGGCATTCTATGAACAAGAAAAATACCGTGATCGCTTAGAATATTTGATGATATAATGAGTCAATACCTCTTCATTTTCTTTCACGGTGAGATTGGCTTTGTCACTTGCACTGGTTGTCTTCTCTGAGGACTTTTTCCTCCAGAGCCACGCCTTGTGATCCATAACGGCCAGGGAGACCTCGGATGAATATAAGCCTGCCCAGGGGCCAGGGGAAGGTGTATGAATAAGCATAACTTGCAGGATGAGTTGATAATAAAACTGAACCAAAATAACGACTATAAGATGTTCCACCATACCAAACTGTTAAAATTTCTATCAATCCACAAAATATTTGCATGCAACTAATAAAGAAGCAACAAAATGTATATCTTTATGGCACAAAAAAAAGGGTGTGTTAGCAGACTTAATCACAGAGGGCTACGAAGCAGCAAAGGGAATTTCTAAGCCTGGTTGTTCTTGAAGAGCCACTGCAGCTCAATGCAGGGCGTTATTTTCTCTCGCCTATGACCATCAAGAAGAAGGTTCAGCTTATGCATGAATGCCCATGGAGAAAAGAGAAGGGGTTCCAAGGCCAAGAGATTCAGTTCCGCGTCGCCTGAAAAATTCACCCAAAAAAAAAAAAAAAACAGAGACAATGCTTAAAATAAGAAACAGAAGCAATGAGAAAGTACGGTATGGTGTTTGATCTCTTAACGAAGGAATATTGCAGGTAAATGAATCGAGTGGAAATGTGAAGCGTACCGGGCACCACAATTACCATCACCAAAGCTTTTCGAGCAGCGTGTGTTTGGTAGGCGATAAAAGAAAAAGGGTAGAAAGATGGGAAAGTAAAGTGAAGTGTCCGAGCTAAGAGAAAAGGACAGAGAGTGAGGGAGTGTGAGATGTTGATTTCCGGGCGAGGACGGGAAAATGGATCTGGTACCTGGGAAGGCAAAGTGTCGGCTTGGGATGAATCTGACTGAAACGCGAGTGCGAACACGCGCGTGGTCGTTGACGAGATTGACAGCATTCAGTTAGGTTTTGGCGGTGATTTTTTTCTTTCATCGCACGGACCGGAAGAGCGGAGGTCTATGTCTCGATTCTGAACCGTCACGCGCCCAATGGTATTTCAGCGGCGCCATGTGGGGGTGAGTGATGGGAATTTTTTTTTAACCTGCTCTTTTTTAAATACTTTGATCTTGGATATTATTTTCAAGGATTTACTAACCATGCATGATATTGTTAATAAGAATACTTAATGAGTGTTATTTTTTTGGTATTAAAATAATGAAGGATTTTACTTTGACCCTATAGTTGCATGAGAAAAATTAGGTAGAAAAGACAAATATTTGATATTTTTCTCTTTGAATGAGATCTCAATTTTAAGGATAATATTTAGAAGATTTCGTTCCTAATATTCTTTCTCCCTATCCTTTTTTTTTCCCAACGCAAACAGCTCGATTCTTGAGGATTTTTTAACAGAACTTTATTTAAAAACAATTTTAAAATAAGCACTAATAAGTGCTGAAATTTATAAGTGCGGATATTTAGAGGGAAGTCTTGTTGAATTAATTAAATTAAACATTGAACTTTTCTGTTTTCACGGGAGAATGTTTTAAATTATTGTTCAAATATATATAGTTAATAAGGACATCAATTAGATAAAAATACAAGTAGTTTTTGAGGTGTTTTATATTATCCAAATATTAATACATAAAGGTATTAATTGGGGGACCTGTCCATGTGCTGGGAAGAAGACTTGAGGCAACTCGCTGTGTGTAGCGATCCAACGAAGGTTTAAAGTCCAATCATGTATGCGCTGGTGCAACAATTGGAGCTCATTTACGCAAAGGAAATCCATTACACAAGACCACGGCGCCTCATCATCTTGGATCGGAACCGCTCTTCATCACTGGGAATAAGATGAAGACCTTGCTTTTAGTGAATATTTGGTATATGAACGAAAATGGAAGGAAAGAGAGAGATGAGTTCAGTCTAAAAAATAGGATAAGGGGGATAATAAAATTTTAATAAAAAAGAATAAGAAAAAAATAATTAAAAAGTTTTAATTTCACTTCTCTCCTTGCTCTCATATCAAACAGACCCTCGACCCTTGAGCTTGTTCATTACCCAGTTTTTATTCAAAAACTACATATTGCGATTGCTCCTTTATGCGCTATGGTGTCCGAGTTAGCAGCAACCATGTATCCTTTTCCTCTCAGGCCTAAGAGCAAGGCTGACCTTTTTTTTCCTCTCTCTCTCTATCCTTTGTTAGGTAATGCCTCATTTTAAACTTAAAAAGTTCCACCACTGAATGCTGGGAATGAGATTCTTAAAAACACTTTTGATTTAAATATATGGTGTTTATCATCAACCATTACGTACATATGATGTTTGAAAAAGAGAAGGTAGTGGGTGTTGAGTAACATAGAACAAAAGATATATATGCAAGCTTAAAATGATCGATTAACTAATAATTTATTGAGGGGTCACATTAGCTTGGAATGAAGAAAGAAAAACTGACTGATTTGCTAGTTAGCAACAACAAAAAAACAACTGGTTTCTAGTTAGAATGGCTCGTCAACAGAAATCCAAGTGCAAAGAAAGCGATTTAGGCTTGAGTACTACTCTTAGCATCCTTCTCTAAACTTTCGTAGCCTTCACTTTAACAATAATGACGAGTTTGATGACGAGTCGTTCAGTTGAGCGGTTTGCATTATATCAATTCATTGTAATTAATTAATTAGCTTATTATGCAGCAAATCTCAGTTTCTTTTGGAACACAGATTATTATTAGCCCGGGGGTGGGTGATGTTCATAGTCAGCACTTGGCTCTATTATTTGCTTCTTTAGTTGGGGCTGGATAAAGTTGCTCTCGTGCGTTATGGAAAAAATAAAAGGGAAAATTTTGGAGGGGAACATTGGATTCCATGCCACCTGTGATTGCATGGCGTGGTTGTGCTACTAAATTAAATTCAATGTGGGAACTGGGGTCTCTCAGTTTGTGGTACTATTCTGAATCTCTGATAATGTGACCACCTACCGTCCAATTCAGTTAAATAATGATCATATAATAATATCCTGTTAGCCCCAATGTGTGTTTATTTTTCTGCAGGTGGCCCCAGTCTTCCCACTTATTCTCTCCTTCTCTCAGTTTCTTTTTCCTGTTCTTGCTTTTCGTCTACTCCATTCACCAAAATGGCCTTGCAACTCGTTTCTGTAATTTGAACCATACGATTCATTAAGACAAAAAAAAAAAAAGAGGAGAGATTTTATGGCATCACTGCTTCCATTATCTGCTGGGGTGATAGGCAAATAGCTTTTAACATTTATCTCAAACACTCAATCAGTTTTAGTTTTGCTTTGCAGATATAGTTCTTGTTGATTTTTTTCACGAACAAATTTAAATATTCTTGTGAGCACAGAGCTCAGTTATGTTTCTTCCATACCCCCGGGCGCCCCTGCCGTGGACCAGGCACGTGGCATATTGGGTTTGCAAGTTTTGGCTGGACAACATCTTTGGGTGTTTTTCTGATTTTCTGGAGGTCTGAAAATATAATTGCAGTGCCTGTATGCGAAAGTTACGAAGTATCTTAACATCTTCACTGTATGATCTGTCCCTGATGTGTATATTCTATACGTTGGTAACTCCATAAATGCCGAAATATTCGGCCAAAACATAAAAAGATTCCAAGAAATGGTTTTCTTGTGAACGAAGGACACTTAGATTAAGTAATCATTAATTCTTATTTTAGTCAAATAATCCTCCATTAATTAACCGTTGCTGCGGCAGAAAAATTTAATAGCTGCCACATTTCATAGAAGAACAGATACTCGGGATTGGGGGGAAATTATTAATCTCAAAATATATATATTTTTGCCAGAAATCTCAACAATATCGAGGATGCGCTCGTTCTTCATTTGGACGGATCTTCCTTCATTCACTACCGAGAAAAGTAAATATCCGATTTGATTTTCATTTTTTTTTTCGGCCTGACATTCTGAGAATGGTTTCCCCTGGTCTCCGAAAAAAGAAAAGCACGTTCGGTGCATGTAACACATTCTCACGATCAAGCCGGCCACCTATTTACGGGCTCATGGTGTTTTTGGATCCTGTTGGGTGGAGGTGGCCTAAAATCACAATTCATGAAGCCCACGGACTGCTTGTATTTATGCAAACGATATTCACCAAGTCCATGGGCCACTAATTTGAGTGGGGCCTATACTGGAAGCGGATATTCATCGCTGGAGCTTCAACCAGGCGACCTCCGGGGCTATCATAGAAATCTCTGGTTCTTTGTTTGGAGGAGCAGGAGCAGGAGATGGCTAAACCAAAGCAGCAGAAGCCATCCAAGAAACAACCACGTCCACATGTATGCTTCTATGTAGTATTCTTGTGTTTGATTCACTCCTCAGGACTTAAAGTACGCATAATCATTAACATACGGAGATTCATACTCGTGTTTTCCTGCGTTTGTTTGATTCACTCTTTAAGATTTGAAATATTCATAATCATTAATATGTCGATATTTCCAATCCATCATTCGTACTTGGGAATTTCAGAGCTTCACAGTATCATAATGTCTTACTTAGGATAGGCCACCGTTAGTTGAGAGCATGTGTGGTTGAGGCATTTGAATTTGTATTCCAGCATTTGGTTCACCATTCTATAATGTGTAGTAATTGATGCTGTGGTGCAGTTAATTTACCTTCAACTGGAGGTTAAAACTAAATAATTATGATCAAGTGGGTATAGAATATCCTAAAGCAGCCTCTGAGATTGCGTCAGCTATGTATTTTCGGCATATCTTCAAGCCTTTCTGTTGTTTACCCCTACTTGAGTTTAGAATTCTCCATAGGCGATAACTGACAAGCAGGAGCCGTACACATTATTGGATCAGAGTGAAAGAACTAATGAGGAAATCAATTGTAATATGGTTCCTGTTCAGGCCAAACAAAACACTTAAAAATTCTTGTTATTCTGAATATTGATGATTCCATATTAATGATATGAAGGGTTATGAAAAGTAGCATAACTTTGCTTTGTTGCGAGCGAAGGGAATATGACTCCACACCCTTGCTGCATGGATTCGGGAAAACAAACTTTGTACTACCTTTCCGGTGCTTCCTACTATACTTAACAAGTAACGGATAACACTCAACAAAAAACGGTAAAGAGGACAACTGGCAATGGCATAACGGCTTAATTATTCTCCCAAACATTCTCAATCATGGACTGCATAATTCTCTGGCTCGCTGTGCAAGTGGTAATCTTGAGTTAAAGATGGTAATTTTCCTCTTCAACCCTTCAGGACTCACCACGGCCTCATTCTGATTCCCTATTGCTGTTTCTTCCATATTGGGCTCATTGGACTATTGTGCGACCTTTGCTCTGTTCTGAGCCTACTCTTCCCGGACTTATCGGACTGCCCAAGTTCTTCTTGCATCATATCAATAGCATGGTGTCTTAATGCTGAACAAGTTGTTTCTGGAAGGCAAATTGAATCTGCCATCTCTGACTTTCTATACGTGGGAGGTTAGCCTGCACCTCTAGAAAAGTTACAACTGCCAGTTGATGACTTTAAAGTAAAATTTAGCTGTTTTTCGAAGTAAAAATATTGGAAACCATAGAATAATGAACCTTCGCAACCAATGTGGTCTGTACTAAATCCAAATGTTATGCTCTAGGGATAAGTGATGTTATTTTATATGCTGGCAGTGAGTAAACCCCTATTCTGTTGGATGGCAGATCAAGAAGCAAGGGAAACAAGTTGATGTTTCCCAGTTACGCTCTCAGCTGGATATGTTGGGCCTTCGGATTATTGAAGTGACTGCTGATGGTAATTGTTTCTTCAGGTTAGCCCCTATGTCTCACTTTTATTTGCGTTCGCCATCCATGACATGTGATATGTGAAAATACTTGAGGAAGTTTCCGTGCTTTATTACATACTAGGTATTTTCATTTGTTCCCAAAGCATCAACTTTCATGACATCTACTCTTGTGAAACTGAGTTAGATAGAGCCCTAAGATCTTGGCCTTGTCAGATGGGATCTTGCTTCTATCTCAATTAGTATGTCACTGTAATACTTGTTATCTATTAATGTCTGTGTATACCGATGGTTGAAGAACAATTGATCGCATCTTGTGGATCTTTCTTATGTAGAGCCCTTGCTGATCAATTGGAAGGTAATGAGGAGGAGCATCAAAAGTATCGGAGCATGGTAGTAAAACATATTATGGTATGTTGTTTATGAAAAAGAAAAGAAGCATTACGATTCTTTCATAGCCTTTTTGGAGCCAATATTTTAATGATTACTCTTGTAGAATCTTGTTTCAATGTTGTTTATTTGATAAATTTGATGCGCATGAACTATGAAATTCATAGCTGGCATATTTGATGTCATCAATCCATTTCCCCTCTTCTTTGTTATGCTATTCTTCATAACAGTACGATAAATGAAAGCCATTACTTGAAATGCATACCCCCCCCCCCCAAAAAAAAAAAAAAAACCCCTCTGGGCCCCCCCCCACACAGAGTCACATGAAGAAGGATGATCAATTGGGGAACATGAAAGATTGAGTAAGAAACTTCATGCAGTAAATAACCTGATTGTTTAAAACTAAGCTAGTAAGGAAAGATGGTAGAACACTAGAATGAAAGTGATGCAAAATAAATGTTGATTATGATATTATATTAGACAGTTATAGGTTCAGTTGTTAGGTGATTATTGCTGATGGCTTGAAGAACGCAAGGGTTGTGGTTTTCCAACTTACTGCAAGCCTGCTTTTCTAAGTGGTAGTTATTTTAATTTATATAACAATTGATTAAGGCCATTTTAGTGTGTTTGTGAATTGTTGTGCGTGCCAAAAAAAACATCAAGCTGCAAGACATCGTTCTAATTGCTATATAGATTTACTTGACAGAGCATCGCTTGCTAATTTTCTTCTTCTAGCTTGAAAGCTTCCTTTCTCACGTCAGTTATCTCTCTTTTCTGATTGAAACCCTCTTGTCATAATCTGGTTTTGAAGCTGTAATTAACAGGACAACCGGGACATATTTGAGCCCTTTATTGAGGATGAGGTCCCATTTGAGGAATACTGCCAATCCATGCAAAATGATGGCACATGGGCTGGACATATGGAATTGCAGGCAGCTTCTCTCGTAACACACAGTAATATATGCATTCACCGGGTTGGTAGTAGTAATAACTAATGCTTCCTAATGATATTCCCCATCTCATTTTTACTTATGTTCATACTGATTATTGGTTTAGTCATTCATATTTTAACTGGAATGAAATTCCATGGTGGAGGATTGCACCTTATATCATGTTTTCCATGCAATTTCTTCATGTGTTCATTATTGTGAAGACAAACATGTGTAGCGACACATACACGAGGAGACAGGCTCCTCTAAGATGTTGGATAGTTTCTGTATATTGTTATCTGGTAATTCACACGTTCATTGGTTTTCTGGAAACAGAACATGTCTCCTCGTTGGTACATTAGAAATTTCAATGGCTGTGGAGCTCGTATGATCCATTTGTAAGTATTATTGAACATACAGTTTTGTAACTGCATTTGCTTACATAATTGTGCAATTTGTGCTGCAACCTATTCTTGAAAAATACTTTAGTTCAGACAGCTGTTTTTAGTGTTCAACTAGTTACCTTTTGTTCCTTCTTCAAATCCATATATATTATTAAATAAGTAATAGCAGCACAATACTGATGACTTGCATCTGTGGTATGACGAATGATAATTAGTCCTGGGCATATGAAGCAACTTGTAACTGATATATATATATATATATATCATTGGAGCTATTTATTAGAAAAATTGACAAAAGCAAGCTACAAACACCCATTCCTTGTCTCTTGATGAAAAATTCCATTGATGATTTTAACAAGGACTGGATTCTATTGTTATTTAAGCCTTATTTTATTGCAGACACTCTTGATTCGATTTGCTTAATAAGTAACTAATGGTATCCTATCAAGTAAACTATGCCATTTTGTTGGTTTAGGGGAATACAACATTGTCTACTATCAAGTAAACTATTTGTGCTTGTAACTATGTTTCGGAGCATCCTTGTCAATAGCTTGTCTGTCTGGGAACAATTTTTTGATTTCTATGTTGTAACCTATACAAAATTTTACTCATCTGGCATATGAATTTTGATGGTGTAAGTATCCTTTTCCAGGTCTTATCATGATGGAGAACACTATAATAGTGTGCGGTTAAAGAATGATCCTGGTGATGGGCCTGCAAGGCCAATTGTGATCAAGGTCTAGAATGGAATCCTGTCTCCCAACTCCTAAGTTAAAATTTCATTTTGCATTACCCTAAAATCTGTGCACAGTAAAATTTTTAGCTGTATTAGCTACTGCCTGATCAATTCTAGTTTGTGAAAGGCTGATGCTGATCTTTCAGCAACATCACATCAAGCAAAAGTCACGGCCAACAAGTCTCACAGGCAAGGTGGCGGGGAAACCTTTCAGTCAGGGTCCATAAAGCTTGTCATGGTAGGGAGTGGATGTGAAAGTGCTGCAAAAGTGGAACAGGTGATGAAGTGCGCATTCTCTCTTACTGTCTCCGTTCATGTTTATGCTTCTTGGGTTCCATGACTAAGATTTCAGTTCAGGGAGATATCTTGCCTGTTGGTACTTTTTGAGAAAGTGACGTTGCATGCAACTTTCAGGTGTATTTAAAATATGTCTTCTTGATGACAGATTCTGAAACAAGTGAACGGAGATGTTGATGCCGCAATAGAGTTCTTAATAGCAGAACGAGGAACAGAAGAGAGCTCTACAAAGTCTGATTCCCCTCCCAGCCTGACTGATGCTTCTGGTAATGGCCAATCAGTGAGTTTTGCATTTTCTATTTTGTTTAAAGGACTTGACATTTGACAAGCATTAGTTTCTGTTTAAAATAATGTTTTCCCCAGTAACCTATGGTTTGGTATATTTCAGGCATACCTTTGTTTATTCATTACTATTTAACATGAGCAATTATGAGCATCATTTCCACTCTAATATTCTCCAAGTTCCCATCTTCCTCCCTCACCTAGAGAAAATAATAAAGGAAAATTACTTTTTGACTTTATGCTAATTTTTTCCTTTAATTTCTGAGGATGTCCAGTCAGCGATGAAAATAAGAAAAAAGAAGAAACAATAGGGGCTACCCCCACCAATGATGAGTCCAAGAATAACTCCACAAAGATCAATGGCGACAACAGATTGCAAAGAAATGATAAGGTTTCTTTTTCTTACTCACTCTCCCCAAAGGAGTTATATAAATGTGCTATGCGTGCACTCCATTCTGATATCTTGATTTCTTTTACACTATCCTTGTTTTTTCCCTGCTGTTTTGGTATGCAGAAGATTCCTAGAAACAAGGTCTGCCCTTGCGGGTCAAAAAAGAAATACAAAGCTTGTTGTGGTACAGCCTTGGGGAGACAATCTGCTAAGTTAGTTGTGTATGTATCTTAGACTGTTCTGTAGTCCTTTTCATCTATGCAGATTTTGTTTCCTTGGAGTTTTTCAAATAGCTCATTTCAAGAGTTTGCTTCTCCTTCGTTGAATTTTATGTTGGTTAATATGCTTTGGCCGACTTTGAGAATGTAATTTTGAAGGGTTGCACAATAAATTGTTTTGTGTTGAATATGTTATTATTGTATCAGCAACCAAGCGGCCGACACTAGGAAGGGTAGGAAAGAAAAGAAGCAGGGAAAGAAAGGTGTTCCTGCTAGAGATGATGTGATACACGAATATGATGATGGAGGGACGCTAGACATGGGTGCGCTTTGTATTTGACATGCATTCCAAATGTAAGACTTTGTATTTTTGTCTACAGTGAATTTCTAGCTTTTCATGAATTTGATTCGTGCTATCTTGTTGCCATTTAAACTTTGCTTCCCCAGAAGGAGAGAAACTCCTGATGAGTCAGTAGCATCTGGTTGTAATCTCTAGCTCTTGTTCACCTGTGGCCATTTCTCTTCACTGATTGATCTCTATTTCTGTTAATTTCTTCCTATTGTTTCTTCTAGGAGATGCCTTATTACAATTCATCCTTCCCTATGGCCTATTCATTGTCAGGAAGCGAAGGAGGGATTCTTACCTACCCTTATAATATAAGCTTAGCTCTTTATTTTTATGATGCTACACGATTCAATTGCTATTTTTTTTAATCGGTTAGCAAGATGCCAGTCAAAGGGAGATCAACAAATCCTTGAGTGCAATTATGTTTTTAGGCACAGTTGATAATAGTTGCTTTTCATCTTGCAGGTTCTTCTTACAGATGATATCAATCTACGCTATCATCTCCTTCATATCTGAGATCTCCCAATATCCGCCGGTGCCTTCCTACACTTGATCGTTTTACTGATTACTGATTATTTGAATCAAATGTGCACTTGTGTCTGTAGCATGTATATTACGAAAAGAATAGATGGCCGGGCTCCCCTTTCGTTCTGGTAGAAGCGAAGAGCAAGATAGGAAAAGGGATGAAAACAGGGGAAACATGTTATATAATCGTTTTTTTTAAAAATTTTTTTTTTTTGTAAAAGTGGATAGTTTTAGGTGCCTCGGAGGGTCAGCGTGGTTTTCTTGCCGTTGTTGAAGCAAGGTTTGGGAAATATGAAGAAAGGCTTTCCGAATTACATTATGAATTGGATCCGATATGATGTTAAACGTAGCGGCCCAATCTGTAAAAGGTCTTAGAAAAGAAATTTCATTATATGATATATATATATATATATATCTAGCTAAAAGGATTTTGGCGGACTCAAGATCATATTTAACATGAGCGAAACAAGATTCGAGAAAAGGAGCATAAAAAACTCTCCATTTTAATTGCATGGTACACAATAGGAATTAGTGCTTCCTTTCAGAGTAAGGGAAGCATGAAAATATCTATCCCTCCATTTTCATGAAAAATCGCAAGGCATCTAAGGCTTAAAGTTATTTAAAACAAATATCCAAAACATTTATTCACGAGTGAGGTAAATATTTGATTTGTAATCAACTGCCTGGATGTATGTTTTTTGATACATTTTTTCTTAATACACTGTTTGGATGTATGTTGACTAAACTGAAAATGTATTTGGTTTGTAATAAAATATCAATTAAGTGGATCGGCCTCACCTGGAAATTATAATGTAGAACTTTAAGGAGAGAGTCTCAGGTAACAGGGAACTTGTGTTTGCTTGTCAGGACACGCCTTAATGAGAAACAAAACCAAAAAGGAGAAAGGATCGAATATAAACTATCCCTATCCTGCTTTTGACCCGGAAAAAAAAAAAAAAAAAAACTACCCCTAGCCTAACTTTATCAGGAAGCACAATTTTTTTACAAGGTTAAGAAAGTACCTTATTGCCAAAAAAAACACCGTTATACAACAGGTACTCCGAGTTCTGTTTAGAAGAAATGGACTCGCCCATCTAATTAGCGGACTTAGAGAATTGCCTTGAAAAGTACACCATGCTCCTAAAACAGTTCTCTCCTCTCTCTTTTTTTTTGGCCCAGTGTGTGAAACAGAAATGAGAAAACACGCAACAGGTATTCTTTCTAGGCTTCACTCCTTTAAAAGGAAGAGAGTGTTACGTTCTGGTTTAGACGCGTAGGCTAAATTTGCATTGAAAGAGTTCCTTCATACCAATTTTAGTTGGCGGCCTAAACACCTAGGGCATCTATGTTCAGGTATCAGTGTTCTTCCATTCTTCAAAATTGCAATAAAAGGCATAGAATCAATATCAGCTCTGATTACACAGTACTCAGTAGTGTTCCATAGAAGCAAGAGAACAGAATTCTCACACAAAATGATTTTTTGAGTTACTTATCCATGACCATCACGCTTTAGCCTGGCAAAGAGAAGATATGGCATGCAATGACATCAGCTATGACTTGTGAGGTAGGTGAGGAAGAGCTTGCGTTAAACTCCAAACTTGTTCCAATAAAAGAAAGAACAGTGCACCCCAAAAGTCCATCGAATTCAGCAAACCCACGCAAATAAGAAAAGAACCCATCAAGACATTTCAAACCATTCCAATTTTTGCTTCTTATGGGACCAAGTAGGTTTCGCCGTTTCGGCCACCCTCTATTCTTTCGGTGCTCATTAGGACCAGAGCATCATCTAGGCATCGTCCCTCTTTTTGGACAAAACAATCAGTTGGAAAATTGAGGAAAAGTCATTCATTTCCCTGTATTAGACATTCGTAGACCTCTCTGATTGACGCACCAGGAAAATATCGACTATCTTAGAGATTAGGCGTCTTTGACAAGCATCACCAAAAATAGTGTTTTTCCTGTTAATTGGTCTCTATTCCTCCATCATATTTATTGGCAAAATTAAAGGTTTCATAAGAGTCGTTGGCCATCAAAAGAAATGATTTATGAGCCTCCATTAAGGTAACGAGGCCTTCGATTTTTCCTTTTTCTATCTTAGGAAAAAGCACTTGCGTGAACTCTCCTCCGTGCTCAGGCAGCATGCATGTGTAATGAACTTCATATCAATGTAGTCATATATGACCGTTTAACATCGTTCAAGGAAAGTGAAAGCTGAAATGAACCCGCAACGATCTGACATCGCGTTTGGAGGAACCTTTTGAGTATTGTTATTATATGTGATTGACATTAATCTTCGCTGCTAGTTAATTTGGTCCAGATCTATCAGGCTGCAAATTAATAGTGAGATGGGACCTTTTAATTTTTGCTTTCTCTTCTGGATGACTGCTTAACTAGAGTACCTCTAAACGAGTAATATCAAGTCTTCACGTTAAGTGATTAAGGTTTCTCTGTTAAGCGCTTGCTTGTTACTCCGTCAGTTTTTCAGATTTTACTTGCTTGATTTCCTGAAGCTAAGCCAATAAAGAAGGAATTTGCTTGACAAGTAGGTGAAGAAATCTTCAGTCTTGACAAATGAGGAACAAAGTTATTCTTCTCGTTAACGACCATACTTAGTTTATAACCTTGATCTAGACGTCAAGGACACAACGCACGGCAAAATTAGTGGAAAGATTAACATAAATAACGGAACAAGCTTTCTTCCCCCGTTCTCTTCTTTTCTTCTTGTGTGTGGTGTGGTATTTTATATATATATATATATGCAAGTTATCCCTGAAAGGGATATATAGAGTTGTGTCCTTTTCTCTTTTCCAATTTATAACTCTTGTCGTGCTCACCAAAATTACTCTAACAATATCAGTCCCATTACGCAAAACTTTTTCGGATCACGTCTTAAATTCTCACGCTAATTATTAGAGCGGATGCCATGAGAAAAATATAATTATGGGGAAGAGAAGGTAGGTCTCACATCAAAAGCATTGATTAATTTGCCGGGTAGCTTTCCGTAATGATACCACCTTAAGGGAAACGACTGGCTAAAGATAATTGTCTTGTCTAAAACCACTTTTATGAGACTTTCACCTAAAGCCATCCTCTATCTTTTCGTACTGTGCCCATGTTGTCTCAGTGACATCTCCTGTGGGATGGCAGATTAAGAGTGGAGTTTACTGTTGGCTCTCATTAAAAACAATAAAGAAAGAGAGAGTTGGGTGATCATTGGGGAAAACAAAAAATCTTTATTGGCTGTGTCGAGGACAACAAACAGACGCATGCCTTTGGAGCAACGACTGATGAACTATATTGATGTGACAAATATTCTTCTCTATTTGCCCACACACGTCTTTAAACAATTTCGGTACTGTTTGCCGACACTTCACCACCAAGTGGGTACCTAAACACAAACACATATATAAGCTTTTGTTATTTCGTTTTTGTGACAACATATATGCTCATTTTGTTACTGTAACTTTTTTTTCCCCTTTTTATAGAATGGGAAAATTGTAACAAAATAGTCGTAAATCTAATATGTATATGTATATCATACTTTTTATATTTAATATAAAAACTAGTTTAATATTTAATTTTGTTTTAAATATAAGATTCCAATCTATTTTATTTTTCATATTTATTCTTTTTTTCAAGATAGTCCTTGTAGTAGTTATATATGTATTAAATATTTTATTAAATAATAGTTCTAATTAATACACATAATTAACAATAGTATTTTAGAGAAAACAACATGTATCTATTACAAATAACTAACTTAACTAGTTTGTTTAATCTACTCAAATTAGCCAACTAATTTTTATATTAAAAATAAGAGTTAGTATCTGATAAGGTACCCTGGCTGCCCAAGACAAACTGCTCGATTGTTTCTCACATGTAACGAAGAGAGGAAATATCTGAGGATATGTTATAAATGTTTGGTTGTATAATTCGGCATTAGAATGGGATTAATCTATGAGTTAAGTGGAGAACTAACAACGTGAAAGCGTGTGTGTGTGTGTGTGGAGTCCACCATGTTTGAGATTCATATGGAAGCAAGGCCACTTTGTAGGAAACAGACTATAAAAACGAAAGAGGGTTCACACAGGAAAAAGCGCGCGCCGCACACACATCCTATCTGTACGTAACTGGGTACCATGCATCCTATATAGATACCTTTCCTTCTGGGAGCTATGGCACCACCCCGTGACGCAAACCCTATTCATTGCCACGTTAATCCCCTTCGAGATATTATCTCCTTCTTACATACCATTATATTCATACTCTTTCGTCTCACTTTCATTAACCAGTGCCTTGCACAAGTTTTCACCTGCACTCGTTTTATTTTCTTCAAGTTTTTTCCTTTTTAATGTGATGACTTAAGGGTTTCCTGTGTTTGATTTCAAATCCGGTGTGTTTCTCACTTTTGGATTCGTAGCAATAGTAGGAATTGCGTAGCCATGTCAAAACTTTCTACTTTGTCTTTAGAATTACGTTTTTCTAACTACAAAAACTATTAGAGACAGTTTTCAATTCCATTTGTTGAGCATTCCAAATGCCCCCAAACTTCGTCGTCGAACCTGAATTTGTTTCCATGTGCATAAAAGACTTACCCGATCAGTAGCATAACTTAAAACAACAGCTAATGCAACCAGAAACAGAGATGGCAGGATTGACGTGTGGAATGGATCGTCTGATGTGGACAAAATTAACAAAGTGGAAATTAAGGAAAAGCACCTGGAATCAGCAAACTGATAATGCCTCCGTAGAAATGAACAAAACAACGTTTGCCAACGCCGAAATCGCAGACAAGCAAACGGTGGAAAACAACAGTGAGCGATAAAAATGTAAATTAATAACGTGGAGGCAAAAGGTGGGGGACCATCCAAAGGGGCTTAGCTTCTAGAGTTCTAGGTGTTGCGCTCGTAAGGGAGAGTGCCCCACCCATTTGTGGTCCAGCGTCTTAACGTAGGGCCAAAGGAATAAATGATCTTTCCCCATTACTTTATGATAACCCACCCAACTTCTTTATGAAGTTTGCAGATTCATGGACCATATTCTTTTGCAACTCTCATATATAATTCAATTCCCATCAAATTAACTTCCAGCATTGATCGCAGATTTGCCAACCTCTCGATGATTTCCTTTTTAAGTAGATTCATGGGAGCATATATATGTATACAAATGGCTCTGGGATTAAAAAACAGAAGAGAGAATATGTGCGCGCGCGCGCGCGCACACACGCATATCTAGATCTATGGTATAAGCTGATGACGACTGGCTTTCCTGTTAAAAATTGAAGGATAGATAAGCGTACGGCAGCTAGAGAGTAGAAGGAGGGAAACGAATTACATAATGGGATGTTGCATGTGAAACCTATTTCCTATTGTGAAGTTAACGAAAAGAAGAGTAATATAAAGGAGGAGGAAGGCAATGGGATTCCAGAAAGGGAAAGTGAAAAGGAAGTGAGAGGGAGAAAGCAGAGGAGTACGTAGCTTGTGTGAGTGAATGGTGAAAGGGATGCAACAAGAGACCAAACAGGTAAGGCTAACCTTTAATTATGGTCCTGGCTCACATGAAATAAAGTCCGCAAGTTTGTATTTCTCTAATTTTTGTCAATTTTCTCAAGAGTTCAAGGGTTGAGGTCGAGAGCCTGCATAGGTGCTTCAAAATTTTTTCAAGTTTTTTCATAGGATAATACATAAATAAATGTCTGAAGTAATAAATTAAGTTCCAGAATCCAAAATAATAAATAATATAAATATAAGTTTTAAATCTTACATATCATTACCCAGAAGTAAAATATTCGACCTCCGAAAATTGGCCCGCTTATTGGAGGAGGTGGGGCTGGGTTAAACTTCCCCAATATTACTACTATATCAATATCAAAACAATTAGAATTATCATTTTAAATAATTACGATGTCATTTTTCAAGTTTGTGAATATCATAACAATCAAATTGATTCGAATTTTGTGTAAAATTTTGGCATTTATTGAGGTTTCTATTTTTGTTTAATTTTTTTGAAAAATTCATTTATGGAGACATTTATAAATGTATTTGCGTGTTTTTTTTAATTTATTCAATGATATTTAAAGTTTTTAGTTTTAAATCATTGTTTTCTGTTAGTTTTTTAATTGAAAATTGATATAAGAAGTTTTTTTTAACCAAATATATAAGAAGTTTAGATTAAATGAAAATTGTAATTTACAACAAAAAATAAATGAGTTTTTTTTTTTTGAAGGCTTATTACGAGGGAGCCGGAAAACCTTCTTATAAAGTAAAAACCTAAAATTTTTAAAACTCACCCCTTAAAAAAATTGAACTAGAAATAAGTAATTCGACAAATCCTGGTACATTACCTGCTCTTCTTTTGTTTCTATTCGGAATGTGCATAGCTTATATGGAACCGGGCTAATCATGCATCCACTTGACAATTTGGTCTAGTTCGATTCTAACCTAAGGTTAGGCTGGACAAGGTCAGATTTGCCGAAGTGTCTAAACTGGTTCAAGTATTCCAAGACCTATTTTTTGTTTTTTTTTATGAGCTACAAGATTTTAATTTGATAAACACAATTAAAATAATTGTACCAAAAAAATGATAATAAAGAATACTTATAATCATATAAAAATCATCACAAAACATTGAAACTCAATTGTAACTTTGCAAGAATCTCCAATATTATTCAACAATAATAAAAAGCAAAGCAACATCCAAATTACAGAATATAAAAAAAAAAAATTCATGTAATCACTTAGGCTGAAAGCTGGTTTAAGCCAACTAGCCAGTTTGATCTTGTCTGATCTAATTTCATTGCAAAGCTTATATGCATTGGATGAGACCAGCTTAGTCGGACGGAATTCGGATCACGAGTTTTTGCAATTGTGGTTCATATATGCACTATACATCCCCACAACAACTTCTCAATTATCATATTAATTATTAAAAGATTGGAACCCGGCGCCAATCACACGCGCGACCCAACCTCCTTATTTGTTTTATAAATTCAAAATAAACGAGTTAAAGGTGTAGAGCCACGATCAAATCGCAACCGTTGAGGAAATCCCATAAACGGAAACACTCATTGGAACAAAAGGTGGTCTCCACCCAAACCTTTTCCTTATTCATCTTCTGCTTTACTCCCTTTTTCTTACCCTTGTCTTACTCTTTGCATATATACCCCCCACCATCCCCTGTTTTCTGATTTCTCCCCCTCCCCCCCCCCCTCTTTCCCTTTGTCTCCATACAATGTTCATCCAGTCACTCTTCATTGCTCATAATTTCATTTCACTATACCTTTTCACTTTTTTTTATCACTTTCAAGTTTCAACATGCACTTCATTATTCACCGGGCGTATTCACAGAAACTAAGAAACGAGCTGTTGACCTATAAATAGCACAAACTGTTACAAATTATTATACATTATATATATATGGATATGGATTATATACAGCAAAAAAATTTGTCTCTTTTGAAATGGTTAAAATATCGACAGATTGAATTGCTTATCCTGGCGTTTTCTTTCTTTTGGTCTGTAATAACCTCCGGCCGTTAAATCACAGGGAGGGAGGGAGGGAGGGAGGTGTGTCATGTAGATGCGATGCAGAGAAGAGAAAGGAAAGGAGATCTAAGGGGAAGAAGAGGTAGGGCCTGAAGCTAGTGAAAGACACGGCCACTTTGTACTGCTCTCTCCCTCTCTCTCACCAATTACGTTTACCACTTTTGTTCTCTTCTTCCCTTTACGTAAAATCAAGGCCCTTGGCATTTTCTGTTTGGACCACTTTCTTGTTAACCTACCATATCCTTCCTGGCTTTCCCTGCTTCCCCACACAAACATGATCATCACAGAAATCCAATAGCCTATTTCCCCCACACTTCACAGCAGGCTCTTCATTTAGGCAAGGGAAGTAGGATTGGGTCGGTAATTTTCCCTTCTCCGTATGGCATGAATTAAAAATGGTAGGCAAAAAGACGAGGGTGTTGCCCACATTATAAATGTCTGACTCTGATCTGAAAAAAGCATGAAAATTTCATGGAATGAGGATGGCCGAGTTTGTGCCTGCTTTTCTAAAAATATCTAGAGTGACGCTGGTGATGATGGAAGCACTCGTGCTATTTCATTCACTTCACCTAACTACAACCACATCCCAAATGGGTGGGATTATTATTATTATATTCATATGAGTGTAATTATGCAGCTAACAGGATAACACACTTCATTAAATACCGGGTCTCATACATTACCAGGTCAGAACCTGTTCCCTCCCACGCTCACAAAGCATATCCCCCGATGAACCAATTACTCTCTCTTCTTCCATAAAGGCAAATCCCATAAATAATCAAACCCTCACTCCCCATCATCCCTTTTAGGAACCAGGGCCCCAGCTTCTTTTTTTTCCTCTTATTTTTATAAATCACATGCAGTACTGGCATACCCTAGCATTATGATATTTTATCGAGAGATCTAAACACGATTTGCCCCTTGGTGATTAAAAAGTGATTGATTATAGTGGTGAGCGAGGGAGGGAGGCATTAGAGCTTTATGGCTTGGTGCTTGTGTGTCAGTCACTCGCACCCAATGAATGGGTGTCCTTTTGAAGCTTTAGGAGAACAATGATAGGTCCCTCTCGTCATAATAGCTTTGTCTGACTGCTTATGTCCGAGAGAACTGATTCAAAGGACACCGTTGATGGAGACTATACATCACCACCCCCGTGATATTTCCGAGAGACTTTAGGAAAATATAGTAAATTACTCAGCTTTTCTCTCTCTGTGAAGTCTGAATATATATATATAGTATATTTTCTTTCAGTCTACGCTACCGCAACAGCTATCTCCACATTTCTTCAAGCCACCACTTGTCGCCTTGTTTTGTCAAATTTAACAACGCCCGGCATCTTCCACCTAAGCCAGAGGCCACAAAATAACAGCAGACGGAGCTTCACAGTCTACGCGAATGCAATTTAAGAAAAGAATATGTGGCGTCATAAATACCATAGAACGTAGAAAACCAACGAATCATGAGTTTTTACTCAGAAACAAGAATATCTAGTTAAAGATTTCGTCGGTTTGTTAGTTTGACCAAAACCCCAGCTGCCGTTTCCCAATTTGGAGCGTCTTTTTCAATCCCCTTTGTTTCACCCTCAATTATAAAACCTATTGAGGTCTGTTCCTGCATGAAGCACACTACATAAAGCAAGAATCTAAGCTCTAAATCTGCAACCATTTTTTTTTTTTTACACGCTCAAATCCCAGTGTGTAATTTAAATGGGTATGCCCAAGGAAAAAGAAGATAAAGATTATTAGAATTTGGAAATAGGGATTAATTAAAATGGCTATGCAGAAAAAAGATCCTAAATTGTGGGTCATTTGGGTCTCATGAGTGTGTGGAACCCATTTTTCTGCAGCCATCCTTGGGAAAGTCTATTAATCTGCGTTGGGAATCCTGATGATGCTGCAGCAGTTGCCATATAATGAGCTTGATGAAGAGGAGGCGGCGGCCCCGATTGCTGGTGATGATTCTCGCTCATCGACAGTGAAAGATCACTCCCTATCCGCCCTTCGTTGCTGCTGCTTGGAAACTGCATTTCCCACAGTTTTCTTTTAAGAGCCAACAATCAGAGAAATGTAATGTGCAAATTATCGATCCTTTAATTAAATCAGGAAAAAGTAGGTCACCCACATGAAAGCTTGGTGGCTGAAGATGCGATGGAACAAAACTGTGGAGCATTTGAGGCTCTCTCGATGTCCTGTAGGCGCCAAATCTTTGCATTTCTCTAGGTGCTGCAGAATGAAGCTGAGTTTGACCATCCGGCAGTGTCAACTACAAACAACATTAAGAGGGGAAAAAGCATTGAATTCAAATGGTTCGATTAGTAAAAGTCAGATGTTAAAATCTTACACCAACCTTAGGCCTCATTAATCCTCCATTGTTTCTCCAACTAGATTCGGATGCCATGTGGTGATGATCAGTTCCAGCGTTCGGGGCATCGTTGCCCACTGCTTGACTATGGGCTTGCTTTGAGCTCGAATTGCCCAAACTTAAATCCAGATTGTGATCCGCAGCGTTGCCAGAGGATTCTGCCCAACGATGTGATGCATATTTTATTATCAACAATGAAATCTAAATACTGAAGTGAATAACTTTGGTTCGGTTCCTAGTTATGGATTACCAGAATTAAGCTCATTGTCGTAGATGCTGGGATCAAAATTAGTGACGGCCTCTTTGCCATTACATTTTATTGCTGCTTTGTCATAAGCCCTATGGGAGTTACCCGAAAAAGAATGAAAATTTCAAAACCCTAACGCTTGGCAGATATCGGAAGATGAAAAAATTGACACCGTATTGGGAGCAGAAGATACCTCGCAGCTTCAATCTCCGTGTCAAACAAACCAAGATAAACGTACCTGGCGAATAAATTTAATGGCGTTAATAGTTATGGGGCAAGGATACACAAAAACAAGGAGAAGCCAGAAACATAAGCATGTATATATACTTTTTGCCAAGAAATTGGCCCATTCGAGCCTCCCATCTTCCACACTTGTGCAAAGTTACGCCTCTATATTTGGAGCTTCCCCTGGGGAACCCAGTGCTTTGCCGACGAAGTACGTGCACAAACTCTTCCTTTGTTAGATTGCTCATCTATGGCATTCAGCCGAAGCAACCAGACCAAAAAACTTAAAATATAATTATATAAAACACTGTAGAAGATAAGATCAGCTCCGTCAGTTCATGAATCCCTCTTTCTCTCATCATTACCTGCTTCAAGTCTTCTTCGTAGTCTTCAATGTTGAAGTTGATGTCCGCCTCTACTCCCCGGAACTTAATAGCCGCTCTATCATATGCACTGCTCAGAGAAGTAATGGGCAAATGTATTCTTATTTCAATCTTAAATTTTCCAGAATGAATTTTATATCTTATTGTCTCCCAAGATATAGAAGAGTAATATTACAAGCTTTGGTAAAGAAGAGAGAGCAAGTGCTCACCGAGCAGCTGCATGTGCCGTGTCAAATCCACCTACACAAATTTACCCAGACAAAAACCATCTCATCGTCAGTTATCACACCCCGTATTTTTCTCCCCCAATCCAGACATCAAAAGTAATATTTTTTTAAGCCGCTCAGAACAACAAGTCAAGGAAGCTTTTTTATAAAAATAAAAATAAAAATAAATAAATGATCGTAGAAATGGCCCAATATATATAGTCTTACCCAGATACACTTGTTTTCCACAATCCCTGCGAAAAAACCAAAAGAATCAAAATTTGATTGGATGGCAGATGAGTGAAAAACAAAGATCAACAAAATGGTTTCTGGCGCCACATTTTATGGAATGGAGAGGACTAACCATATATGCGACTCCCATCGACCTGTTCTTCTGTAAAAGGTGACTCCCCTATACTGAGAGCTCCTCGACCTTGGTCCTCGCCGACTTTTTTTCATCGGCTGCGACGCCACTTCCGCGGATTTTCCTCCGCCACCACCAGCACCGCCGACTGCTTCTGGCTGACAGAATCTTACGCCCACCCAGTGGGCCCGAGGGAAGGCCGCGCTCCCTCCGCCTGATGAGACGGCCGCCGCCTCCTCCTCCACCGGGAAAAACTGCCGGGTCACGGGTGGGTCACTATCCATGGACTCGTCCTGGTTCACGCAGAACCCAAATATCTTACTGCTTTTCTTCTTCAATGTTTTGCTCCTCTCACCGTCGTCTTCTTCCGATCCGTCCTCGATTACCACAGCAGATGAGCTAGAATTCGACACAGATCCGACCCTTTTCCCTTTGCACTCGTCTCCGTCCATGGATGTCTTCAAGGAAGAACCACCTTCGGATTCCTCGTCCTTTCTCCAATCGGGCGAGTCATTCAGATCCCACATTCTTCTTCGGGTAAAGATTTCAGCTTCTGAGCCAGCAACGAAACTACACAGGCACTAACGATGAGAATCGAGCAGGGAGCTCAGATTTCTGATTCCCGCTCCCCCATCATCAAACAAAGAAAAGGAGAGAACTTTTTTTCTTCGGAAATAGAAAATTAAGCAGTTTGCGTGTCTTGTTCCGCCTTCTGCGAGCCTGCTGCTGTGAGTGAATAAAATAATGGAGATGCTCGATAATTGAGAATCGAGAGGAGCAAAATTAAACCTAGGACGGGTAAGAGAGGGAGTAAAAAAGAGGTTGGTGTAGCGAAAAGGTAGTAAAGGAGGAGACGTTCGAAGATCTTTGTTTACTCCCCTAGCTGCCCAATACAGCATAGACGAGGCCAGTTTCTGCGAGCTGAGCCGAAAGCATCTCACCTTCTCCTTAACACCATCATCCTCTCTCTCTCTAGCCACTGGCCTCTGTTTTCTTTTCAATGACTCATAATTCACCCTTGCTTCTCTCTCTCTCTCTCCCTCCCCCCCGGCCCTGTCAAGTGTCCTTTATTTCTTTCGTTGCATTCATGTACTCTTAAAAATTTTGATTTATAATTACAACCAAAAAAAAAAAACCAAAGGTGATTCGTATTTAATTCACTCCGGCTATTTACTATTTTTCTATTTTCATAATACTAGAACTTACAAGGGGGAAAACGGGGAAATAAAGAACCATCTCTTTCTTAAACAACTTTCCCACGTTAACCAGATCGAAAAGCATCTCCTCCCTCCCTCTCTTCCTCTCTCTCTCTTCTGCCTCTAAATTACCCACTAATGGAAATAGACAGCGCAAGCACTCCAAAAAGATAGCTAATAACTCAAATTTACCTTTTTCTACCATGTAATCGCTCATCATTCCCATCATGACTCACGCGAGTCATCTCTATCCACGTCCTGCGTCTTCGTCTATTTCCATCTTTCTCCTTCCTTTTGCTTTTTACAATTTATTTTAAATAAATAAAAAAAGTTGATGACTAAATGTCACCAATTGTGGGCCCATAGGAGGTCGAAATAAGGAAAGAAATAAGGGTGGGAAGAGGAGGGTAATTTGGGGAAGGGAGTGGAGAAATAATCCACGAGAGCCGTAGAGCAGGGGGAGGGGAGAGAGGAGAGAGAGGAGGGGGGGTTTGGTATCAGAAAAGGAAATGGAATAATAGGAGTAAAAGGAAACTCTTTCCAGAAAAGTCCAATGAATCCAAGAGTACGGGAAGCGGGCCACATTTGCCTCTTTCGTTCTCCAAACGACCAATGGCCTTCCTACGCTGTACCTCGTATTTATGACCCTTTCTCGCTACGTCACTCTCCCCCCTCTGCGCGTGCTCTCCACCCCTTTCCTGTTCATTTCCCTCCTTGGTCCCTTTTACCCTTCTCTCCCCTCCCCACTCATGCTCCATTTCCGGACTCTTTTCCGTCCCCCCCCCCCCCGCGCTTTCCAACTCATCATTATACTTTCACCAATTAAGCATCCCACGTTTTTTTTATCTTCATTCCAATTTAGTTTTTATTTTGTGTAATGATTATTTATGTAATTTCCGCTTTATCCCTTGGTCCAACATAAGAACATATCTTTACTTTAGGATGAGAGATTTTTTTTTGGCAAAATGATTAACACTATAATAAAATTATTAGTTTACATCACAAGGTTAGTTATTTATAAAAAAAAAAGAGAGAGAAAAACGGTACAAAAACCTATGGTCAGTTACTCATATTATTATTGTTCATCCTAACATGAGCTGGTCTTCCTTCATTTTAATTACTCGTATACAATTACTAATTTTATGTCTTGCCACTCAACTAAAGTAAATGGATACACTATATAAAATTTAAAAGCAAATTAAATGACACTAATCAGGATTTGATAGAGATACCAAAGTAGAAGAAGCATGCGTAGAAACGGGAGGCGGACGAGCGTGGGTCGAAGCCCGTGTATGAGAATGTCGAAGGCAACTCGAAACCATGGGGCGAAAGATCGAGAGATAGATTCGGACATCATTAGAGATATCGTCATGGTTGACATCATCGGCGTTATAGAAAATTATGGACAGCACAAAGAAAAATAGTAACTAATAAATATTTATTTTTAAAAAAAAAAGAAGAGGAGAAAAAAAGTGGAGGAAGAGGTGGGGGCTGTCAAAAAACACACCCAGAGAAGGCCACGTCAGGGCGCACCCCAGACAAAATTGCCATCAAGTCCAGCCTCGCAAAAACAAGGAACGTGCTTATCCTCATATATTCTCTCTCTCTCTCATCGCGCCAATGAGTGGGGGTCGCCGCTACGATCTTTCAAAGAAAACCAACCTTCCCATAATGGAAGTGAGACGAGGCTCTCCTTCACAGGCATGTTTTCCTGAACGGGAAACAGTACCCCAACCGAGTGGGGCCCCCACTCCCTCTCATTCAATAATCAAGCCCAGGCCCACCACTAAAGCTGTGTTACCGCCAGGCCCACTCGCTTTTATTATTCTCAGCCTCTAGGCCCTCTGTCTAACCCAACTGTTGATGTCCCATTAATTATTTTTATTATTTATTAAAAAAAGCAGAAAAAGAAAACTTATCGGCTTTTTTTTGACAAATTTAGCAGTTGCAGGAGGATTCTCCCACGAGGGTTTCTTCAAGTCATGATGATACATTTTGGTTGAGTTATTAGGTCTCGGGGTTTCTATTAGCTAATTTAATGGGAGGGGTCCTCTCTCTGTGTTGCCATTCATGAATGATCCATTCCAGTGGGGCACTCAATTATTAATTTTTTTCACTCGTCTCCGCCAAAATATCTGGGTGGTTGCAGCCTCATTTAGCACCACACTTCCGCTGCCCTAATAAAATCCCCTTTCTGTCCAAACACGGATTTTAATTTCCTCCTTATCAAGCACTGTTGCTTCATTAATTACCTAACTACTTCTATACATGGCATCCGTGTCAGTCTTCGCTCGGATCAATTTCGGGAGCCTTTTCTCGTTTAAATTATTCGCAGAAAATATATAATTTACGAAAGCTGCCGTCAAATGTAAATTATGTTTAAAAAGCTCGAGAGCGTATTTACGCCAGTCTGTTGGGATTGATTGAAGCAAAATAACGCCACGAGGTACAAGGAATAACTAAAGAACCTCTCGCCCCGGGGGGGGAGGATACGAGAGGAGAAAGAAAAAGGAAGGGACAGGGATGGGCGAGGGGAGGGCATATGTGCTTAATAAAACAAGTAACAAAGTTTGCGTGGGAATGGGCAAAAAGAACATATTCAAAGCGTAACATGATGTTTCATTGACAATATGGAGAATTGGAATATCAAGGAACACCAAAAAAATACGTGTGTTACTTCCCTTATGTAGCAAAGAGCCCATTCGTGATCAATTATATATTATTTGGCAGTTTTAGTAACCCCGACCCCGACCTACCAGGGAATCCCATGATATGATTTATCATTCGCCTTTTTTTAATTTCATCCAACATTTTCTCTTTATTGGCATTTCATAATTTCATGTCTGATGACACCGTCAAAACCCAGTCTCATAGTATAAAACGTTGTGATGTTGGCGGGAAAAAAGGAGCCACATGAAGGAATTCAGATCTGGTCCGGGGAATAAATGGGCAGGGTCAAATCCACAGTAAATACGTGGACAAGGGGGGAGTGGTGAGGTGGGGCCCAAAAGCCGATGCGAGGGGAGAAACATCAGACGGTGTCCGAGGCGCTTCGGAGGAACTGTGATCAAACCCAGGTTGTTGACCTGGCGAGTGGCGAGAAGCCGTGAATCATGTGAATTGAGATGGTGTGGACTGAGGCATCAGTCCAGTCACAGTGATGTACTGCAATTATTATTATTTTTTTACGGAAGATACAAAGGATAGCATTTGCATACGTGGAGCCCTATCAGACTCGTGTTATGGCATCAATAAGCTGGTACGGAAACAAACACGTGGAGGCTGGTCAGGGGGGTGGACATAATATCATACTAATACTTGCCATGTCTAGCCCCCCTCATGCTTTGCCTTTAATTATATAAAGGTGCCCATTACCTAGTAAGTCATCGAAACATGGGCATATCTATGATTCTTTAGTGCTTCCTCCTAAACAAAGTTTAATTCGTAAATTATATCACCTTTGCTGTTTAATATAAAAATTAATTAATTAATTTGAGTAGATTAAAAAAATAAATTAAGTTAGTTATTTATAATAAATAAATATTATTTTTTCTAAAATATCTTTACTAACCAAGTTTATTAGTTGGAATTATTATTATTAGAAGGACTATCTTAAAAAAATAAATAAATATGAGAGATAAAATAAATTAAAGTTTTATATTTAGGATCGAAATAGAAATTAAATAAGATTTTATATTAAAGATATGAGGTGATATATGTTATCTTTTTCCTTAAAACAATATACCACCAGATTTTTCTGTTCAGTTAAATCCATCGCCTCCGTTAATTCTATACAGTGCCCATCCAGATAGACGCTACGTAACACCATCAAAGCCAGGCTGTTTTGACCCACAGGTTCTGCCGAAAAATAACTTCACAACTACCGTTACTAAAAAAAAAGTTACTTTATAAAATATTATAATTTAGAAATTTCGGGAGTAATATCATCTTTAGCCCTTAAAATTTGATATAGTTTTAGTTTTGATTTCTAAAATTTAAAACCAATGATTTTGATCCTGAAATTTTAAACAAGTGGTTCTGTTCACTAAAATTTGATTTCATTTTGATTCATGTAGAGATTCTTGGTTATTAAAACAGTATTTTTGGTCTCTGAAATAATGACTAAAACTAAAATGAGATTCAGTTTCATAAATCAAAATTATTAGATTTAAATTTTAGAGATTAAAATTAAAATAAAATCAAGTTTTAAGGAACAGGAAGATTGTATGAATACAAAATTTTAAATTAATTTAGATCGCATCACGTAGCTTAATGTTGTAATGTGGGGCGCACTAATTTGAAGAGATGGGAGGAATCCTTAAAACGGTGAGTTGGTGACAACAATGAAGGTTTAGGAGTAAGTCAGAAGTACAATGAGCTGATAGACACGAGATGCAGCAATGAAACGGGTGCGCCGGAGTAATATCTCTCATTGACTTTGTGGGGCGTCGAGATGGAAAGAGACAGAGTCCACTCCACATCAATATGCCTACAGCTGCCGTTCCTAGATGACTCCTGCTGGGGAGCCGCAGTTCAACAAGTAAAATAAGGCTCCAAGTAGCCCCCCAAAGGCACAAGTTGGCCAACTTGATCAAGATTTCCACTTTATACTATGCGCTCTCTTCCTTCCATTGGATTTTTTTATTGCAAGACAAAATTGAGAATGTAATAAATATGTCAAGATACACATATTATTTTATCACCGGGGTAAAATAAAAAATTATCAACTGTCGCCATGGAATTAAGAAAAGACACCATACGAAACACTTTTTCTTTTTCGGGAAGAAAAAAGATAGACATACTACTTCCAATTTTAAATATAAGAGTTAATTGATTAATTTAAGTAGATTAAAAAAATAAATTAAGTTAGTTATTTGTAATAATAGATGTTGTCTTTCCTAAAATATCTTTACTAATCAAATTTATTAGTTAGAACTGTCACTATTAGAAGGACTATCTTGAAAAGTAAATAAATAAATATAAAAAACAAAGTAGATTGAAATTCTGTAAGTAAAACTAAAAATAAAAATTAAACAATATTTTATATTAAACACATGAAGTAGTATATAATAGAACAAGGGAAGGAAGTATTTATTTACATTATGAAAACGTTTAATCGGAGCGGCAGGCTCTCACGATGGGCCGGAGAACAACTTGCTCCAAACCAACCTCTTTTTCGGGGAAATAAAAAAAGAGCGCCGATTTTATACACAGAGACATGAATAAAAAAACATAGATCCCCAGCAGGGCCCGTCAAAATTGGTAAAACACTGACCGGTGATAAAGTTTCAAGTTCTAACTAATGATCGTCACAATATCTAAGGATGTTTGGAATAATCAGAAAATATTTTTAAAAAATATTTTTACATAATTCAAGATAAAACTCCTCTCATAACTTTATTGATTATTTCCCCCCTTTTACTTTTAACAAAATAAGCGGATGCAAGAACTTTTTTTTTAAAAAAAAAGAAACCAGAACTTACAATACAAAGGGTTGATTTTATTCAATGTTTTTGAATTATTATTGGGACTTTTTTCGCGTGTAAAATGCATGAAACGCATTAGTTTTAGTTTGCTGGGTTAGAGGAAGAGGAGCATGAAAAGAAGGGAGGGGAAGCCAAAACACAATTTTGGAGCTAAAGCCATACTGTCACATGGGGGCCTTATTGGAATGACGTTCTTACGCTGTTTTTGTAACATATGACTGGGCTTCTCTTTATTTGGGACTCAGTTTTGAATTTTGATTAAGATGTGGGTTCCTTACTGCTTGCTCCTACAAACATTTACTCCCAATTACACCCTATCAATAAGAATAGATAAGACGCGGGTCTTTTTGCCTATTTCCTCAAAAACTAGATTGGCCAGCCTCGTGAATTACATTATATAAGGATAAATAAGCAAAACTTTTCACGATCCTTAAACAACGTAGCTTCTTATAAATTTTATATTTTGTGTGTGTCCTCTGATATGTTGATTATTCTTTTTTAAAATATAAGAGAGGGCCAATCCCAACTGAGGAAAATAAAACACTAAACCGAACCTGGACAAAACATAAAAGCGTCTGCCACCTTTGCTGGACGTTCTTTGACTGAAGATGGCCCAAAATCCGCAATCGTCGGAGAGAAGCTTCAGTATGCAGTCTGATGGGCCATAGCGTTCAAGAAACATGGCCTTATACATGGGCCTAACCCATCATTTCACTGTAGTCGTGATATTCCGATTTCCGATGGCTCCACGTAGATTCCTTTGCAGGTTGTCTATCCGTTCTGGATGTTACATCTCGGCAACACAGCCAGGAATTTACTGGCGCCGCTTGGATATATCCGTTCGATATTTTTCACTCTAAAAGCAAGAAATCGCGGTCTCCATCCGCGGATCGCCTTGCCCAGCAAATATCTGCTGGGTGTTAGCTGCTCATCGAAAAGCCCCTTCTCCCCAGTTCGAGTTCCGAGTCCAGAATTGGGAGCACTAAACGCTGTCAATGGACTCTGTTATACACCTCGACACTCTGCTGCTGCCTGGTCCTGGCTTCTCTTCCAACCACCACCGGCCCTGCGTCTTCCGTTTTTCACCTCCCACCTGGAACAGTTACGGTGCCTCCTCCATTAATGTTCCCTGCTTCCACCGCTTCCGTCGAGTTCTGAGGATTCGTGGATCACTGGTGGCCGCTTCCAGCTCTCTCGCGACTAATTCAGTCCCGGTATATCTTTCCTGTACTCTGTGTCGCTTGAATTATACTCAATTCCTTTTGCCTTGTGTATATTGATAAATGAGAAGACTTATTCTTTCCATTAAAATCGATGTGTGCCAAGAAAAAAAAGAACAGAGAAAGAGAAGGTGTGAGTTATAATTAATTAATTAATTAATTATTATGTGTAGTTAAATTTAGTCTCATTTGGCCCAAAAAAACAAAAGCAGTATGTCACAACATAGTCGACCTGGTTCCTGAATTTACGGATCAATTTTACGCACGAGTTTAAGTATGGGTGATTTGTTTTTATAGGCTGTCCAGAGTTCAAAAATGGGAAACTGAATCTTAAACCTTTGAACCTGACTCGTTTTGGCATTTTCAAACATTGTTCCAACAGCTATGGCACATATATTTTGTTAGTTATTTGGCTATCTTATTCAGTGATGTGCGGCTTCTTTAAACTAAAGGGAGTAGTACTAGAGGCGGGGAGGAAAAATAAAAATGGTTGAAAGTTTGCACCGAGCTACTAATTCTACTTCCCGGGGTCCAGGGACTAGACCTTTTGCTCGCAAAAAACATTGAGTAATTTCACATCCCTATGCTTCTTCTTCTTCTTTTTTCATGGCCCTATCTGTCTTCTTCGGTGCATCCACTTTATAAGTGACGGAGAACAAAGGCAATTAAAAGAAAATCTTTTTAGCTGGCAGTTTCAAACAGAGAGAAGCCTCTTATTGTGAGGTAGAAAAAACCAAGGCCAAATTAATATTTTCTGCTTTCCTGATAATGCTAGAGGTTCACTACTGTTACTCCGTTATAAAGTCCGCTTATGAAAATTGTGTTCGTTGTGCTAACTGAATTTTGGCGTGGCATGCAGTCTAGGAGTGGTGTTTATACTGTTGGTGACTTTATGACAAAGAAGGAGAACTTGCATGTCGTAAAGCCAACAACATCTGTAGAGGAAGGTAATTTTTATGTTTATGTTCATGTCTTATCCCGCAAATTTCTTCCTGGTGTGGGGAAAGAGGTTATAATTTAAATTTCTAACATGTTATCTACTTTGCAACAGCTCTGGAAACTCTTGTTGAACACAGAATAACTGGTTTTCCTGTCATAGATGATGATTGGAATTTAGTGAGTCCTCTCTACCCATTTTCATTAATCAATTTAAATTTTGCCAATGTAATCTGTGTCCTTACACTGATGAAGAGAACTCTTGGGCAATTTTACAACTTTATTTTTTTCTCTCTCTAAAATATTCAGAGACATTAATATCCATTTAAATGCTTGGTAATCATTTATGCTGCATAAGCTCTCCGTACTTTACATAGCCAGGCTTACATGTGATTAGTTCAACAAATTATCGGCAGGTTAGTTGTCATGAAATGATTTCTGAATATTCTCTTTTCCTCTGCAGGTTGGTGTTGTTTCAGATTATGACCTGTTAGCATTGGACTCTATATCAGGTAAATTGATTCGGTAAACATGAAAAATGAGTTGTTGGCATTTGTGATGTTTATTTTTATTAATAAGCCGTCTTTGCTCAAATAAGATGTAATGCTCATTTCAGGCCATGGACGAATAGATAACAGCATGTTTCCTGAAGTTGACAGTACTTGGAAAGTATGTGAAAAATCCTCCCCGCGGGTAGTTGAATTTCAGTTCCATTTGTATGTTCTGCAGTTGTCAATTTTAGTTCCATTTGATGAGATGCTTAAGAAGGGCTTATCAATTCTTGAAATTGCCGCGTTTCACCAGCACTACATATGCATATAACTGGGCATTCCATACCTGCTTTGCTTTCTAAACAATTTCAAATATGAATATTGCAGTTGTCCACCATGTTTCAGGGAGGTGTTTGTAAAGCTTATACCTGGTGTAATTTTCAATGATGCATATAATCTGTGTATATTGTTCTCTTTCAGCTCCGACACTCCATAGTTGTCCATTCTGGTTGAATTCCTAGTCCTTACCTCTCACTGCATGTCCTCCTTTCGCCCTTTCTATATGTTGATGCTATCACGGGATGTGGGGGTATTCATGAATCATGATAGATATCTTCCTCCTTTTCTTACCTTCCTTTGTACCATACTTCAAGACTCATTTAAATAACTCCTTTTCTTTTTCCCACAGTAACACTCTGAGATCACATATTGATGAAAATGCATTCCAGCCATTCCTTACAATGCTGTTGCCCAATGTGGTTGAAAGACAAGAGCAACTTTTGAAATTGATCTGAAATCATCTCAATTTACTTGAGATAAAAGATGGGCAGAAAGGGAAATTAACATTGGCATAACCATGATTACGCTAAACTGGATTCATTGCTGCTTGTAGGATTTTAAATACCTAGATGGTTCATGATTTATTTAATTTATGAAAGATGGATGTTGTTAATATTATAACGACTTGCAGACTTTCAATGAGCTTCAGAAACTGCTTAGCAAGACCAACGGGCAGGTGATTGGTGAATTAATGACCCCCACTCCTATGGTTGTTCGGGAGACCACCAATCTTGAGGATGCTGCAAGGTCCTTTATTGTGCTCCCTTTAGTTCAACATACCTCATCCCTCCTCCACTTCTTTTTTCTCGTAGGATTTACTTTGGTTAATCAAAGATGACACCTTTGAAATTTATATTCTCTACCATCAGATTATTGCTGGAGACCAAATTTCGACGACTTCCAGTTGTAGATGCTAAGGGAAGGCTGGTAAGGGACTCCTAAATTCCGTTTTCTTTCTTATTTTCTCGGTCTTCATGTTAATTTGGGTCTCTAAGGCGCCATTGTTAATGATATGAAGGTCGGCATTATCACAAGAGGAAATGTGGTCAGAGCCGCTCTTCGAATTAGAGGGGAGATCGAAAAGAAAGCATGACACGATTTAGAAGACCATTCATATGATTTATTGTTTGAATTGGTGGACGATACTAGCTTTGAATAGGATTAAAATTTTGGCATATGCATGCATACGTGCATATCAGTTATAGTGTTGCTTTGCTATTACAGGAATGTCAATCGTCATTTAATTATTTAATGACCAACTCTCCCTTGTAAAATTACCCCTATATATTCTGAAACTCAGTCTGATGTTTGGCATAAAACTGAAAACCGACGCAATAAAGTGATGAGCATGACGTGAGTGAATCTTTACTAGACCCTGCAACAGTTGATTTGCAAACAATTTCCCTGCCATTAATGTACGAATGTCAACTATCAATATGTTCCTATGAAGATATTTTTAGAGTTAATATTATTTTTAATTTTTGAAATTTGATGTCAGTTTAATTTTGTTTCCTGAATTTTGAGGCATTTTATTTTGGTCTGTCTAAAGTTTTTTTTCCCCCCTGAAACACTATTTTTGGTTCTTGAAACCTTGTTTTCAATTTAGAGAAGTTTAAATTTTGAGAATTAAATATAGTATTAATCTTATTTTTAAACACGTTGCGCTGAAGTGTCCAACATATTTGGGCCATCTATATGACTTAATCTGAGCCGGTTTCCCCTTGTTCGAACTCCAATGCGATAGTTTACAAAGAATGAGATTCTAAAACAGTAGTTTTGGAACAAGGATCGAAACCTAAGACAACAGTGAAATACGAGTAGAGGAAGTTCTTTTTGTTTTTTTTTCTAATCAGAAGTATTTTTTTACACAGTTGGATACTAAATGTGAATATTTTTCTTAACGAATATTTAAACTTTAATTCATAATGTCGTGAGAAACTAGCTTTTCCGTTGAACGTCATTCTTGTTGGTGGAATCGTGGAGGTATTCTTTTAAATATGACTGAGGGTTCACATTTTGTGAATAAAAAAAAATCAATAATGAGAGAAATACGGTGTGGTGAGTCATAAAAAGCTTATTTTCATTGTCATTTGGATCCTTCTTCCCCGTCCACATTCCTTGATTCGGGGAAACACAGTGCAGGAGCTTCTGAATGTCTTCTTCACTTTAATTTTGCAGCTAAAGGCCTGTGACCACATGCAGCATGTTTTTGTTTTTTTTTGGTGATAACATGTGATATATCTTTGCCTTGGAATAAATCTTTCCCTGCCTTGTTTGATTCAGCCTCTTAAGAGAATCTTTTTTTTTTTTTCCCCCCCTGCTGGGAGGCCGACCTTTTAAATAGATTAAAGAGACAACTACTACTTCTGACCGGAAGCCACCCCTCAGATAAGAACAGGGTTTAAAAAGTTATCTCAGTCTCCGCTAATCATGGATTAGTCACAGATCTTTGCGAACTTAAAAGTATGGGGTACAGCTCAGATCCGAATCAGAAAATCGCTGCAAGATATATTATTGGTTAGTTGGCCAATTGTACAGAGAGGATCCGGAGGCAAATATTAAGGAAATAAAGGTGCATCGCAGCTAGTAATGAGTAATGGCTTTTAATGAAGCTAGTTTTTTAATGCAGCGGCAACGCTCCAGTGCTCCGTTAATGGGTGCGTTAGCAATTAGCAGTAACCGTCATAAACAGTACCACTGACAAATTGTTGGAAGTGTTAATTTCTTTTATTTTGTTACGTAGATTACTCAAGTCATCATCAAGCATATTTCTTCTAACAAGGATTTAAATCTTGATTTGTTTTCCCTTCTATTAAATCTAACTCTCTTTTTTTTTCCCTTTTGCCAACCTAGCCCGAAACCCATTGAAAGTGTTAATTACCAACACATAATCTAAATAGTAGTATAATACTGATATATGACCAGAACAATAACAGTGATCATAGTATTAGGAGAGGATTAAAGGTCACCGAACTTGATATTATGAATGAAGTGACCTTTATAAGCAAGGGAAATGTAGTTTTGGCTTGGCACGGAGAAGCAAGGATAATTTATTCTTATGGTTAATGGTGAGATGCAAGTTGAATTAGGAGGAGAAGGGCGACAAAACCGATGAGGCGACCCCATCAGCGTCGTTATCCTCCCCAAAGAAAAACAGAAGCAGAAGCAGCGACCACTGGCACTGTGAATCTACAGCGCAACGAGAAAAACAAACACCTAACTCTCTCGGTCTTATCGCTTCTCTTTTAGTAGTTATCACTTTAGTGGGTAACATGGCTCCTTCTCCCCCTCTTGTAGGCCACTCCTGTCCCCTCTTCTCAACCCGCGAATCCTAATTTCCAAACTCACACATTCAGCCACAACAAATCTTCACACATCAAGAGACAAGAAGCTGCTAACATCTTCAACAACGAAAACCATCGTCGAAATAGAAGAAGGCTAATTAATTACTAATTAGTTAATTTACATTTAACAACTCTTCTAACGACACCAAAATTTCTTCGGCATGGAAGAAAACGCTAGCCAGGACCAGGAGGTGATGAGGAGGGCTTCATCAGCCATCGGCCCTCTGTCTTCATGCTGAATGTTAGCCTCTCTCCCGCTGGAGAAGCAAGGCAAGCACTGAGCTGCAGAATAGGTTACTGCTTCTAGTCTGCTTCCCATCTCACTCGTAGTCGCAGTCCGAATTCTCGGGTTCTGGCATCTTGTTAAGATCAACCCCCTCCAAAAACCCCCCGGAGCCCGCTCCGGAGACTGCGCTGCGTGAGATGAGCTCCGGCGCCACCGAGGCATGGTGGTGATGGAGGAGAGCGGCCTGAAGCGCATCGACTCTGGCACCAACCTCCGTCGCCTTCTTCCGAATCGAAGCCGCCGACATGTCGCAGTCGCATCCGCCAACCCCGCCGTCTTCCAGAAGGTCCGGGAAATTAAGCCGGGCCGATGGTCCCCTGAGATAGAAAACGGCGGTGTCGTAAGCCCGCGCCGCCGCGACGGGAGTGGAGTAGGAACCGAGCCAAATCCTAGAGCGTTTATTGGGCTCTCGAATCTCGGCGACCCACTTGCCCCACTTCCTCATCCTAATCCCTTTGTACCTTCTCTCGCCTGCAAGTTCGACGGTCCCCCTTTTCCTGGTTGGCGTCTCTCTGCCCCTCACTCCACCACCTTCCGCTGATTCACCATCCATCCCTCTCTCTCGACGAGTTTGATCAAAAGGGAGAGAGAGTGCGTGAATCGTCATGAGGAACGAGGAATATAGAGAGAGTGAGATGAGAGACGAAGAGGGAAAAGAGTGATGCCTTTTGGAGACACCCTCGCGGTCGCGGGACTCCTCCACTGGCCTTGTCATCTACTTATGCCTCCACGTCCCTTTCCTGAAACCCAAATCCAAAGCGGAAAAAAAAAAAAACAATAACCAGTTCTAAATTACAAAACCATTTCACCGACATAATCTCTTATTATTATTTTTTTAATCTTTTTATGTATTTTAAAGCTGATGTGGCCATTTATTCATCAATTGTGACCCGATATACACCTTGGGAGAGAATTCCTCCGAGAATTTTCAATTTTATTCATCTCTCATATACTTTCATATAATTGAAAAATATGTGACATATTTATTATTTTAAATTAAATTTAATTAGTATTTTGAACAAACGGAGGCATTAAAGAATTAAAATTGAGCACAATCTACTTAACTCTTATAAAAGTATTTTAATAAAGGAAATTGGTAAAGGATTGCAATGAAATTTCTACAATTAAATTGAATGAATGTTTTAAAATATCAAAATAATTAAAGCTCCAAGACCCGGTTGTGTGGGCTGGCATATGTTTTATTTCCTCGTGCTTTACCGAACTACTAACCTGGGGATTTTTTTTTGGCACCAAAAACGAATACGTGTAGCAGTAATCTTTTAGGATTACAATACGACGTAACATCTGGCATGTGGGGGTGAGGGTTGGTTGCTGTCTATTGCGGGTTAGTGAAATGGAATTGAAAGCCTGATTGGAAAAAAAAAAAAGAAGCATAAACTTTAAAATTTTAATTTGTTTCTCATAATTAGTTCAATATGTATTTTTAAAATAATTAAAGTGTGGCGAGACTGAAGAGGTAGGTCGGTGGTCGGTGGATGGATACCGTTGGGAATTGACTTTTCCTCTACGCAATACCGAAAGGCATATCCATGGGGGTATTCTGGGAATTTTAAAAAAATGTAGTAGTATCCTACAAAATTAAAGTTGGGGCGCCCCACCAATCATATTAAGGGGCGGCTTTTTAAAATAATTGTTACAACCATTTTATTCTGTTAATTATTTATCAACATAATTATTAAGGGTAATTTCGTGTAGCTATTGGTTGGCGCTTCTCAACGCGTCACTCAACTGGATTATGACATTACAAAATGTTTTTTTTAAATAAAGATTTATTTGTGATTTTTTTATCTATAAGTTAGCTTATTAAATTTTCATATAAATATATAATTTTATCCTATATTCGTTATTGAGTCAAAAAAAATTTTGATAGAAGATTTGTATATTAAATAAAATTAAAAAATTGTCAACTTCCAGTATAAAATTAACGCAACTTAAATTTTTTTAATTTTAATAAAACATGTTAAAAATAATTTATAAATAGAAACATACTTGCCTCCAATCCCGAAATTATATTTGGTATGTCTATATAGTTTACTTCTATCAAATTCTAAAACCAGCGTGGTATACTAATCTAAAGAAAAATCGGTACTAAATATAATAACTTATTGAGAAGTAAGTTTCTTTTCCATGCCTATCAAAAAAAATTTTGAGAAGTAAATTTTGTTCTTCAATATAAATTTTTAATTCACTTTATCTTTTATATTTGTTATTTTTTCAATATGGCAACTACTTTGATACAGTTATATTAAAAAAATCATATAAATTATTTTTTACAGATAATTGACTTAATTAATTTTTTTAACAAATTTACATGATTTTGTTTCTAGATTTAGGACTGGATAGAATAATAACCCAAAAGAAAAAAGAAAAAAGAAAAATTCGAATTCATAAATAAAATGATAGCAATTGTCTAATTGAAACAAGGAGCTAAGAAGGATGAAAAATAATCAAGCAATCAGGGATAATGCTCACACTATTGCATGACAGCTCCAAAAATAATATTTTTAAAATATGCCCACGCCTTTTTGCCTTTGGTGTGTCTAATTCATTTCCCAGTGTATTAATAGTCCAAGGATTTTTTTTTTTAATATTTGCGCTCCAAACACAATAATGTTTTCTATCCTCGCCGAGGCTACTTTTGAGAACAGAGCCAGGAAATAGAGAAAAGGGCTAACTTTCCTCTGGCCTTTCTGCTTTGCCATAAAATAAACGTAAAAGCAAGGTCGTAGCTTTAGGCAAATTGGTTGTAACGCTTTAAGCAAGCTTTATGTGCGTAACACGATATTATAAAAAAGGGCAACATTAGAATCAATCATTGATGAGCATGGTGCTTTGTTAACAAGACTTGCAAGAAACACTCCCAACGCAGGCCAGAGAAAATTTGTTGAAAATGTTAACCAATAAATTCTCCGTCTTTTTGATAGGTTAGGTTCAAATGACAACGATTCTTTCTCTCCTCAATGACACTTTTTTCAAAGCTAACTAAGCTTAAAATCGGGGGAGTTGATGAATTTAAAAATTAACGTGTTTCAATACACATGCATGAGATGATTGGACCGCTATTTATCTTTGATAGTTGTCGTCTCCTAAAGACGATTCCGGCCTTAATCTAAATGAAAGAAAGAAAGTAATTCTGCGTCCAAATTTATATATTTATTAAAGATTAGGTGTACTTATCTTCTCGGTAAGTTAAGTCAACGTTAGGAAACAAGATGTGTCTGAAAATATTAGCGCCGAAGTCATCGGATCCAGTGACCCAATAGCACGGAAGAGGGATAACTTGTTTGTACGATGGAGACACTGGGGAGATAATTGCAAGGAAAGATTCGTATGATTGTGGAAAAAGAGCAAAGTCAAAGCTGGGAGAACAGTGGAAGAGAGGGAATTCAATGGCCTTTTATTGCGATTGACTTTTGGTTGTTCACTATTATCGGATGCTCCTCAATTCGCTTTCCAAGTGATCCTGTAAAGCAATGCCTTCCTCGGTTTTAAATGTTTGGTGCACAAAATTCAGACGATAGTTCAGGAAAACAGAACAGTGTTATCTGACTTTGACTCATAAAAGTTTGGGACTCTGTTGGTTGGCTATGGAGCTCTGACTTGGAAATTGAAGAAAGAGGAAAGCACAAAGAAAGCAGAGCAAAGAACAGAGTGATTTCAGGGTGTTTGGGAACGGAAACACTAAAAAGAGGGTTTTTTTTTTTTCTTTTTTTAAACCTCAATTGAGACAATTTTTTTATATATTTATTTTGATACCCGTAAAATTATTTTTAAAAGGCTAGTCAAACACCTCCTTCTGTTCACAACACGAACTTGGGGAGGTTCAAATCACTTTAAATTTTGCTTGCTGCTTATATCCTGTGAGGAATGAAGCGTATTCAGATTTTGAACCATTTTTAATGAAAAGGGTTATCAAGTATTACAATTGGGAAGAATTATATTGGTAAATGCATCATTAAATTTTAGGACAATTATTATAAAGTTCCAAATAAAAAACATAGTCATTGAAAAGTTCCAGTGACAACAAAACAAGTTATAATAACAAATTCGAAAGCAATAAATAACAACTTCTTACTTGTTATTAAGACTTATTGATGATTATTTTCTTTCAATCTCCCTTGAATTTTTTTTAAACCCCGGTTCTTCAAAAGTTCTCTCATCCTTGTAGTTTTATATATTAGAAGCTCATGTGCGCTTTTCTTAACATTTTGCATGCTTTGCCTAGAAAATCAATAAACACTGTACATACTCTAATTAAGTTTCACAATGGTGGAAGGGTGGAGTTGAGTTGCAGCAGTCGCACGAACTGATGAGGGTGGGGATGCTGTTGGGAAACTCTTGTGGGTGACCCTCACTTTGTCGCCTGGGCAAAAGATGACTCGAGCATCATGATGCTCCAAACAGGTCAAGCTGAATGACGAGGGAAATGTTTCAGAGTTGTATTACTGCTTTCTAAACAGAAATTTTTAAGAGTTAATACTATCTCTGATCCTTAATATAAGACTTTATTTGACTTTTATTTTGATCATAAATAAAAGATCCTAATTTACTTTGTCTTTTATATTTACCTATTTTTTTCTAAGATAGTCTTTTAATAATGATAATTCTAGATAACAAACTTGATTAGCAAGGATATTTTAGAAAATATAATACATATTCATTACAAACAACTAACTTAATTAAGTTCTTTAATCTTTCCAAATTAGTCAATTGAGCCTTATAATTAAGACCGGAGGTAGTACTTATTTAACAGCAATGACTAACAGATTTGACAGCAGAAAGATTAAGGACCTAATTTTTTGGGAGGGGGCCTCAAGGATCTAATTCAAAATCAGTGAAAACCACAACTCCAAATTAGTTTTGCCTTAATTAGCATAAAATATAAAACGTGTCAAATCCAGGAAAAAACAATTAGCCAAGTACAACAGTTGACAGTTGAGGTGAGAACTTGTATGAAAAATAAATATACACATACTACAATACAGTATGGACGTGAGGATTCTAAACCAAGGGCACTAAAGCGGAGAACACAACTTTTATCGTTCTGTACTTCATAATGGAAATAAGGATTCGGAAAGCGCTGGGACCGACAAACGACGTAAAAACAAAAAATGGAAGTCAGGTACATGCATAGCATCGATCCACCCACTCTTCAATTGGCAGGCAAATTTCGAGGGACAGCAACTCAAAATGACTGATCAAGATCCGTGTCTCTTGTCCTTTTCGTCCTTTTATTTTCATTTTATTTTTGATCGTTCCTGCAGCAAGCATCTTACTTCGGCTTCTTCCGCATACCCATCCGTGATTTTGCATATCTAGATTTCTCATTAAGCAAAACAGAACACTGGGGATAATTTGAAAGGGTAATATACAAGACAAACGCATTTTCCTTTACTGCTTTTATTTTTCTCATTTTCTGTCTCCAGTGAATGAAAGAAAATTGAGCATTAAAAAGAGGAGTGAACAAAGGATACGCCAACCGCATTCCCTCCCCAGCTGCTGAGGAGTAAAGAACGGTGCCTTGAAGACTGTTTAGAGCTCCAGTTGAACTGGCAACATCCTGCACACAAGCATGCAATGAGGAATAACAAAGCTAGCACCCAAAGCGAAATCAAGATCCAAAAGAAAAAGCATTCAGATCTTCGCACAACGGTCTACATGTTCATTTGGATCAACCCCCGGATTTGTTAGCTGAATAAAAAGTTTCATGGATTACTTCTAAAAACAAACTCACGCTAGTCTAAATATAATGCATTGAAATGGGTGACAGACATTATGCAGGATACTAGATTCATTCTTAATCTAGATTGGGAGGTCCTAGTCAAGCATAGTTTTAGGGAGAACCTTATTTTAGCGGATCAATTAGCGAAAGCTTCTCATAAATTAGATGGAAATTTTTGTATCTTTGATCAATCTCCACCTATGCTCCATGGGGTGGATCTTGATCAAGAGAAGAAACTTTGTACTTGTTGCTTGTTACTAGTAATGCGATTCAGTTTCTATTAAAAAAAAAAAAAAAAAGGGTGACAGACCTCGCAACAGTTTTCATGTCATCGTCATTGCACTCATTTTATACTTGTTTATTTAATTGTCAACTGAATATTAAAAAGGGAGCAACAGAGGAATTCATTGTTAATAGAAATCTGGCAAAAAAGAACAAACTGAGCTGTAAGAGGGTCCCTATGAATGCATTGCAGGAGTCCATGTCGTGCTACAAGAAAAGACAACAAAATAAATACCTGAAAATCAACAAATGCAACTGGAGCTCCATATGTGCTCTGCATCTTCAGTTTCAAAAAACCAGGACATCTGACAAATAAACAAAATAACCAAACTCAAATTCAACTGGTTTCCAAATATAATGCTACAGAAGATGAATACTGACCTGGAAAATACTTGCATTAGTTCTTGTTCGGTACAAGATGGCCCCAGGTTAGCCACAAATAAAGTTGGGCATGGGGTCACATTTTGCGGAATGCGAGCGGAGTTATTCTGTCGGATAAAAGACAAATATTACATGAAGTGAGATGCAACAGTTGCATATTAAATAGAGTTCAAATTTCACGGGATGTAAAGAAGAAACAAATAAAATGATAATACACAATAATTCAAAGATGGGAACCTAAATCAAAACATATATGGTATATCTACACCATTAATGGAAATCCTTAGAAGCGTCCAGGTACAGCTCATGGATATAACTCATTCTAAGGGGCCCAAGATATGATGCAAAGCAATGTACTCTTCATGGATACATGATGTAAATAGCTTGAACCTTGAAGGACATAACTCAGGAGGCTCAAAATATGGCGTTAAGTAATGTACTCTTGAACAGCCTAATAAATAGCACTAAAGGAACACGAGTATATACGACCAGTACCAGCGTTGGCTGTTGAAAACAGCTATTTCAACAAAGAGATTCACTTCCACCATGAAGGTTTTTAAAGTTTGATTGTAGAGGCTTACAAATAGATTGGATAAAATACAAGAAATTTCCTCCCATCCATATAAAACATAAGATTCTGCAGATTGGAAAGCTCTTCTCATTAGCTCATTAGCTAATTAGAAGGCATAAAAATGAACAGTGATATAGAGCCAAAATCATAAGAATGGGATCCATTTGTTTTTTGAAAAAGAAGGAAGGAGTTGTCAGTATACTTTAACAACACAAGGAAAGGGAGGTTAAGTTATTTTTTTGGGAAAAATGGAAAAAGAAGGAAACAAGCCCTGATTCAAAAGAGAGGAAGGGATGTCTAAATCCAACCAACTATAGAAGAAGACAGTGAATATTTGATTCTGAGTTGTATTGAAATCGAAGTCAATCTAAAGAAGAGCCAACGACCACCCTCTGAATGGAAAGTCGAAACTACATAACAGCTGCGCATCTCATCTCCTATGAAAATTCTAGTGCTTAGTAGTCAACCGAAGAAGTGGACAACTACCAATATTTACCCAGTAAGAAAATTGTGTAAATCTAACACCTCTAAAAGACCAGAAAGCTAACTTTTGTTAAGAAGAAGAAACAAATGCAGCACAATGAAACCAGAGAAATAGTTGTTTCCCCTATAACATGGTCACGGGCAGACATCGAAGGGCTAAAAAGGAGGAGGACCTTTTATGCTTCAAACATCAAAACAAAATAAATGCAATCTCACTTTAAATAAGTTTTCTCCAACAGCAGCAAAAACACACACAGATTTCATTGCTTGTTGATCACCATATGCAATTAAGGCACACTATAGTCAAAAGCACTATGTACTGGTTTCGTACTTCCGTTGAATACTGAAGATATAACCATTTGTAACATAATCTAAATCAAAAAATTATGACAAGGTACGGAAAAAGACATGATCAATTACAAACTTGACATTACAGCTCTAACAAATTACAAATTGAGAAAAGCAAAAGAAGGAAGAAAATTTGAAAGAGAAAACTCACCAAATTTGCCGCCGCACTGTCATTAAAAGCTTTACCATCAACATAACGTTGGCTAAATAATAGAAAACAAACAAACAATAATCCAATTAGCTCTAACATACAAAGGCAACAACTTCAAAAGGCAAATCCAATGGTCTGACTCCAAATATAGTGCATTTAGTAATTCTTTTATAAAAGAAATAGAGCTCTCCCAAGTAACTTAAAAGTTAAAAAAAGATGTGCTTTATATTAAGACACATCACTTCCGCATAAAAAATATTTGTGCTTAAGTAGTGCATATGACCTTTGTGCAGATGGATAACCATACGTGTTTGTGTTGTAAGCAGAATTACCCATTCCAGGCATGTGTATGCTGCCAACACCTGCTAGTGCCCAAGCGTGCAAAACATGTGCAGAGTGAGCTCATAGATAAAGTGTCCTTGGTGTGATCAATAATTAACTGGTCTCCAAGTAAGAGATTAGATATTGAGCTGAACATAAAAATGCCAGGATAGTGAACTGGAAAATGTCAAACAAGTAGCATATGTTGAGAGCACCCTATACCCTAAAACAACCAAGTAAAACCAGCTCACCAGAATCAGGAGTTGCCCTTGAAAAAGAAGATCCTCTAGCCTTCTTATCTGAGCCAACTATTTCATCATCTGCTTGCGGTAGTCAATCAGAGCCCAAAAAATTCAGTTGGAACTTGGAAGCACTTGAAACATAGAATACACAGATAAAATAATCCAGTGAAGGCTGAAAATGACTAGAAAAAAACCTATTCTTGTGCGCTTAGACCTAGAGTTGGATTTTGCTAAATCTATATATAAAGTTGACCCCTCTTCAAGGTCAAAGACCATCCCCTGCAAATCAAGCAAACTCAAGAGATGTTAACACCCAAATGAAATTATTTGTTTCTCCTCTTACATTGAAAATCAACTGACTGGCATGTTCTATAAGCTACCAAGCATATCTCCTAAATTAAAAACATGTCTGGTGTAATAATACCCTTACATTTAATGCATGCATTGCCATGAGTGCAGACTGCTGATTAGTGAATACAGCAAAAGCAAAAGCCTGTCAACACTCAACGTAAAAAGAATATATCAGAACAGAGAAATTTAAGAATAAAATACTCTACAATAACATGTGTTAGAACAAGATAAAAGGGTTATTGAAGTTAATTTTATTTGGGTTGTGAAGATTGAAGAAAGGTGTGAGCACCCCATTTGACAAGATAGACCAGATTGAGATGATCATAATTGTAAGATGAACAATCCAGCAACCAGAAATCTATTTCCTTTAATCAAATCGTCTTACATGCATTAGCATCATAAATCAAGCTCAAAGATCATTGTATCCAATGAACTTCGCCATTACAATGCTGCATGGTGTTAATCTCTTTATGGCGTCATACGTCATGGCTATAAGAAAGACAGAGAAACAGGTAGAACCAAAACGATCAGTTAACCAGGTTCAGACAGCGCCCTTGCATAGAGAATTTCATAGCACCACACACGAACTAAAATCCTGGGTGATGCAAAATGCAGATACATTTGACTAGGGTTTTAACTTGGGGCTCAAGATGTGCCATTTGAGATTTTAAAAATTGATTTGGTACTTCTGAAACTAGCCATTCCGGTTTCGGATCCGTTCGTAGGATTTTAATTATTAGCAGCACTTAAGTTGCTTTTTACCTGTTTTTCTAGCCTATCCAAAAGCTACTTGATATGTTGCATCGATACATTCAACTTTCAATCATAAATTATATGGAAGTTATTGAACTACCGAGGTTCTTATTCCGGTCCTACATCAAGAAGAATGGAAGATATATCTAAACTTGCATAAATATTCAAGGCCACAAAAGATACACAATACCTGTGACGACTCAGTCGGGCTACGAAGATGTGATGACTCGTAACCGGGAAACTCTCGAAATAAATTGTAGATTTCGCGAGGCTTCACATCCTCGGGAAGGCCGGCGATGAAGAGTGTCCGAACCTCGTCAGCGGAATACTGAAGAGGATTCGAAGGGCCGTAAGGAGCAAACAGGGGCTGCTGGTACGACCCATACTGCGAAGGCAGATGGTGGGGGCCGGGAGGAGCCGCACCAGGAGGCGGTGGCACCACCGCAAGCGACGAGGGATGAGGATGTTGATAATATGGAAAAGTATGATGAGTCGAGGATTGGGATTGCGTGTAGAAGGCAGCCATGTCGTCCATGGGGCTCGATTGGAGCTCTGAATATGAGGATGGATCCCTCCAGGACTTGGCGAGCTATTGATTTGGTGCGCCAAAAAGAAACAAGCACAGCAGGATTTTTCCCTCTCGCCCCAAAGTCCAAACTAAATCTAATTTTCATCCCGACAAAAACAAACATCTAACTATTTAAATATATACATTTTTAAAAAAAATTTTTGACCTGAACATTTTTAAAAATTAAAGATATACAAAAAGGTTTTTAAACTTTCACACTGAAAAAAATGACCAACATGAAACTTGACTAACTTATTTAAATTAATTTTTCAATTAATATTTGTTAGACTAATTATTCATCCCGTTATTAATATAAAAGCTACTTAATTAATATGAATATATTAAAAAATTTAAATTAATTAATTAATTAGTACAACAAATATAACATGATCTCTTTAAAATGTTTTTGTATGGTATTAAAATATGTATGAGTTTATAAGCTAAATAAATTAACTAAAAAAAAGATAAATATGAGAAATAAAATAAAACATATTAAGATACTCCTCCAGTCCTTAATATAAGACCCATTTAACTAATTTGATTAGATTAAGGAAGTTAGGTAAGTTAGTTAATTATAAAAAATGTGACATATTTTTCCTAAAACACCATAATCATTTTTCTTAATACCCCCTCTCCCTCTTTTACTTGATTATGGTTGAGGGAGTATTTATATGGGTAATTTAGAGAAAACTGATAAATATGAGAAATAGGTCTTATATTTAGGACTAAAATCAACTCATTAATTGGATCCTATACTAAAGACCGGAGGAGTAATATGTTTAGGATCAAATATAACCCCCAACAAATTCAAATTTTAAAAAACACACTTATTGAGAAGGATGAATACCATTTGCTCTCTAAATTTTAAAAGAACTATTCTCAAACTCAAAATGACTCTTGATAGAAAAAAAATTTAATCCCAAGAAAAGAATATAGTATAAATCTGTATTTAAAACCATGAATGTAAATTTTCTCACACACAATATAATAGTACCTTTGGTTTTTAATATGTAGTTGGAATTTTATTTTAGTTTTAAATATAAAACCATAATATATTTTATTTCCCATATTTATTTATTTATTTTTAAAGTATTTTTTCTAATAATGATAGTTCTAATCAATATATTTGATTAGCAAAGATATTTTTAAAAAAACAACACATATTTATTATAAATAATTAACACAACTAATTTTTTTAATTTATTCAAACTAGTCAACTAGCTTTTATATTAAAAACCGAAAACAGTATAAATATTTCAATAAGTAAATTATACTATAAATTATAAATAACGCAAATCTCGCATATTGAACGATATGAGTAGTTTGCCATAAAAGCAACGGTATACATTTACAGATACAACTATACAAGTACATACTATACACAATTTACAACTAAATTACATATATTTTGTGTTTTTATAACATTTTCCAAACACACCTTCAGTGAACATAATACACTCCACCTAATATTATTTATAAGACACTTACAACATGCATCATACAGACAAATTTTTTTTTTTAAACTACATTAATTTTCTATTAAAGTATAATAGCTTTCCAACCCTATTCTCATTTTATATATATACCTTTTAAAAAAAATAATTATCTTCAGCAAAATAATACATTTATGCTAAAAATATAACAAGTGACTTTTAGATGAGAGGGGCAAAAAAAAGACAATCTTCCTCTAGGACCAGAGCAGTACATACATATATTTACACAGTAACTTATGCTTAATCCATTCTAAACGTCGAAACTATCAAATTTTGCACCTTCATCCTTATCATTTTATTTGATTTTGCCCTTTATGCAACAATCTTAACTTCTTTAAACTAAGCGAATCTTGTTCGCCAGATAAAACTTGAAAAATAAATTGACCTGTTCATATATCAATAGTAATTGACCATTGATTCGGTCCAACTATATTGATGACGAGGCACATGAAACTCAACAGCACGCACATAGAGATTTATATTTCCCAGATATAATTTCATATAAAATTAACATTTTTCTTCGGGAACCGCAACAACTAATGTCCTTGTGAAGACGAGCTAGGGATAAACTAGTTCTTGTTGCAGCACAAAATAACTAGAACCTAACCACTTTGATAAGATTTTTACGAAAACAATGTCACTATTATCATTACATGTTCTCATTCAGGTGGAACACGCAGATTGGAAAACCAAAAAAAAGAAACCAGCTTATAAAAATGGCATCGCCATGACTTAAGGCGGGAACTCTTTCCCGAGGCAGAGCTTCCAACGTTAACGAAGCGAGGTGCCTGTGGAAGGAAATGGAGGCACGATAAAAGTTTTCTTGCAGAGGTCAAGAAAGTAAACATAAGCATTAAGCACCATGCTATGATGGAATCATGCCTATGCGACTTAAATCCAACTGGCTTACTGTTTCATGCATACGAATATAGAGGAATACCTCCAGTTCCAGTTCCACACAGAGAGAGAGAGAGAGAGCAGTCATATTACTCTTCACAGTAAAGTATCTATTGTCATAGCAATGTAGCAACAAACATGAGGCTCAGCAGGTTTCTGCTGACGAAATTATCAACAAGCATCATTGGTTGACTTTAACATTGTTGTGTATCAATATTATATCCAGACCTGAGTAAGCACAATCAGTTAAAAACCATAGGGTCTGCATATTATGGCAGCCAGCAATCACGTAACAGTTTTAACTTAGAACAAGAGACAGCAACCAGTATCTACCATAGCGCAAATAATTCTTCAACCGTGACCAGTTATCAGCTAGACAAGAGGTGGGTATTGCTTTGCCTGCTGTCGCACCCTTCGCCTATACTCCACCGCATCCTGCATGAAGCATTATGATATAGATTCAGACTAACACGTAAATGAATGTCAATGCCTCACCACACTTTACCCGGCTAAACCACCCCGTCATATCAGTTGCTCCGCATTATCTCAAAATATTACAAGATTTCATATAGACATTGTAGAATCTTCCCAGATAAGTACCTGGATAAAGAGATGATAGCCTTCTGTCTGGGCAGGATCAGCAGGATTTGGCTGGTCAAGTAAGTCTTGGATTCCCACAAGAATTTGCTTTACAGTTATGGCTGGTCTCCAGCCCTACATTGAACAGTTATTATAAGAATTTGTTCGCAAAGTAAAGTATAAATCAAACTACATTAACTATACTCATTTAGCCCCGTGTTTATCAGGAGATCTACACTTACACTGTCCTCATTAAGTATAGACAAGCAAACAGTTCCAGATGGGTAGACATTAGGGTGGAAGAAACCTTGTGGGAATTTACATTTTGGTGGTTTGCTAGGGTAATCTTCACTGAATTGCAATGTCACAGGAAAATAACCACCTTCCCAATCCGTCTGCAGCAAATTCAAAGATACAATTTCCATTAAGATAAACAATGAGGTGTCTGTTATTTCAGCAATATGTGTATTCATTTGCAAAAGTATGTTCCGCTATGTTAAATAAAACTTCAAAACTACAATGTTTGATTACTTTCAAAGACTCATGAACTCGTTAAATCCAAAAGAGTGACAGCATCCCCTTTCCCCTTGGTCTTGTGAGTTTATGCACATATATGATAATGCAGAATTTTCTTTTTGGTTGTTTTTCCCCCCCCAAAATTTATCAGCAGTCTTCTCTTATCTTCTCTGCAAACTTCTTCAAGGGCTAAGATGAATCACTCATGGTCCAAGACCTCTGCTTCAATATCATATGCGCAATCAGAAATATAGTTCTCATATAATAAAGCAGAAGATTGCATAAATCTTGCATTGAAGCATCATCCAAGAACTCATGCATTTCAACACTGCAGTAGTATCACATATAAAGAAAAAGGAGCATATTATCAAAATCTGTCACAATTAGAGCATGCCAACTGTATTCAAGATCTGCAAACAGATATGTGCATTAAATCCACTCTCTCGTTCGCTAAGAAATCAATACCAAAACTAATCCTCCCCTATCCTAGAAAAGAAGCATGATGATGATAATGATCAAAGAATGGTGCTTCCATTGCAACAACAACTTTGGGCCTTGATAATAGACTTTTGAAAGCAATTTCCTACATAACAAAGCTTCAATGATCAATCAATCCATTTAATCTTCTTTCTTGCACTTCATTCTTACTATTCTTCGAATAACTCAACTGCAAAACTGTCCCAGTTATATGCCAAGAGATAAGCAGATAGATAGCCCAGGAAGCATTGGCGTCAAAAGCCCAATGTGCAAAGCTCGACACGTTGGTACTACCAAGCAGGATACCTTTGGTTGATATACAAAACACTATGCAACTACAAGAGATATTTTCATATTTAAACTAATAGACACATGGATAACCATAGCTGTTGAAATCAGACAATTTCAAATTTGGAACACACAAGTCCCAGAAAAAAATACAGATAAGAGATCCAAAACATGTAGCGAGTGAAATCACTGCTTGAATTGTCAGAATCATGCGAGTTGTGCTGGTAAGCACAATTCACATTGATCCAGCAATTCCAGCAGCCAGGTTCACGTGGGTTGCAAACAGAGGTTAGGTCATCAATGACCCAACATGACTCAGAGAGGAAAGAAAGCAAGAAACTTTTTTTTTAAAAAAAAAAAGAAACTAATGGAATCGAATCAACAAAAGGCTTCATCTATGATATAGAAAAACTTGTGAGGACAGAAAACTCCGTTCAGTAAAGGGACAGAGGAACATGTTTTACATGCTGCATGTAGCCAGAAAACGCAGAGTTTATATGCATATTTGTGTGAGTATTAGGTTATGTAATTTGTACCTCATCCAGTAAATACTTGAATAACAACGAGGAAAACTTTAGAGTTGATCTTCAGGCTAAAAGAACTAAGAATAGGAATGAAAAAACATGTTAAATTCCAATTCATCTAGGTCAAACCATGTAGGACCACAAGGATAGCATAACCTCCTGACAAGTTTTAAACACAACTAAATGCTCGGAGATCAAACTTGAGACCACTAGTTAAGCTAGAAGCTAGCACATCTCCCTGTCAGTTGTGCTACGTGTGAATCGCCTCAAAGGACTCAATAACATTGGCAGATTCAAGAGTGAAATGTTTTCCTTATACCTCTACCTTCTTTATGGTGCATATCATTTATATGATATAATTCAAGCTATACTTCATAACATATCTACATCTTACAATTCAATAAAATTGCCAAATAAAAAATTAGTTTCCTGATTCACGATATGAATTGAGATTTCAACAAGGATATATATTCAATTCTAGACTGCTATGTCATCATTGATTCCATTAATAGGATTTAGACAAGCATCTGATATGACATATCAGCCCTGAGGCAAATACAAGTCTTAAAGTTTCTTTCTCTTATACTTGTATCATGGCATGTCAACCAATTTGGTATTCTTGCTAACAACCCATTCCTGCCAAAAGTGCCAACAACAGTTCTCTAGCTTTATTAGAATGTCACCCTTCCATGCCCAGTTTTACTCAATTCTCCTCGGCTGTTGGGAGTTTATAAGGGTGATGTATTCACTAGCATTAATAAACGACCGGATCGCAGAACAATGGTACAGCAAGATTGTAAAGCCTCGAGAATCTGATCTCATAGATCAGAAAATAATACCAGGGATAAGTGAATTAAATTTCAAATAAAAAGATGGAAAGGAGAACATACCCCAGCCTTGCCAGGAATAGTACAATGCCACATCATCAAATTCACCGTACCATCTGGCAGCGTCTCCGGCTTCGCAACAAAACCCTAAAACACAGAAAACAGCAGCATCGATTCAAATCCCGCAGACGCATAGGAGAACCGTGTAAGAAAATGACCGAATCGGCACTGAAAAGAAACAGAAGCAGGGAGGGAGAGAGGGAGGGATAGTACATACATGAGGATGGTTCTTACGCCATGCCTTTCTTTCCTCAGCAAGGCGTCCACGAGCAATACCCGACATCTCTCTCTCCTCGTTAGCTCTCAAACACTGCGTCCCTCGATAATGCTCCGAAGAAGTGACGCGGAGTCTCCGGCTCCTATGTTTTGAATATATTAATATACGGTGCAGAGAGCAGAGGACTGTCCTGCGGCTCTGCCTTGCGGTATCGATGTCGAACTTTCTATGCCGCGTTCGAATCTCATCAACGTACGGTCGGGATTTGATTTTGAGCATCGCACCGCCTTGTCTTCTCTCTATTTTTTTTTGGAATAAAAAAAGTCAATGTTCTTCCATCGGTTTTTTTATTTCAGAGTATCCTCCAATAAAAGACTAATCACTTAAAGTACTGTCAAGCGCTGTAGTAGAAATCCTTTCCAACAATATTTATTCCATACATACTGTTTCAAGAATCAAACCCAAGACATGATATTTAAAGTGCCTAAATCTTTTTTACTTGGACTAATATTTGTTGGTTCTTCTGTCGTTTTCCAACAACGCGTGAGAATCACGCTGCTGTCATTGGGCCCGCATCACGTGACTCATCCCTCCCTCCATCACCAGACGAGCCGACCAAATTCATGGGCTTTCTTGGGCCTTCGATCATAGAAGCCCAAAACAACATAGAAGTATAAATATTATTCAAACTTGTGTTTTTTTGTTACCAAAAAAAAAACTAGTGTTTTTTTTGGTACAATAATAAATTATTTAACAATATAGTGTCTCATGATCTACACAAAGCACAGTCCACAATTCAAATTTAGAATGGAGGCAGAGCGGTGATGTGAAGGTGGTGACGAGGATCAGTTATAATAATATAGAATGATTTGGCATGATAAAGATTTGGGAACTTTGAAACGGTGAGGCCAGGTTATGATATGGCATGATGTTGTTGTACTTCTAAAAAAGACATTCAACGTTTGAGACTCACATGTAATGTCGAGGGAAAAAGTGGTATCGGCGGATTTTTCATCATGAACATTTGTATCAATATCCCCTCACTGCAACTAGACCTCCCAGTCCTTATTTTGTCTCTTTGAGATTGAAGAAAAAGAAGAGTGGCTCCAACAGATATCCCCTTTTATAGAAAAGGAGGCGAAGACTTATGGCAGATAAATGAACATCGGATTCTTACAGAAATCCAGACAAATGTGTTTGTTGGATTTCTAGCCGTGGGCAAATCTACTATGAGAGCGCCTACAAAAGTGAATTACAAGCAATGTTAGTTGGTGCGTACGCACGGACAGTGAATTTCTTTTTAAACAAGCCTAATATAGTTGTGTATATTGTAATGAAAACAACTCCTGCTACTGCCAAAATGATGGACTGTACCTAGGACAAATATACCCCATATGGAAACAACATAACTTAAAATTTACATAGGAAAAACTCAAAACTGTGTACATGGCGCTTTCACTTGGGAATTAAGCACTAAACCGTAGTCGGCATGCATGTATACGGAGAGCCGCTAAGGAAACAGTTATTATGGTGAGATGGATGGTTTAAGATTAACTCAGTTGTTGGAATAATATAATTCCTTGGATCGATGTGCTGATCTCTCGTCAAAACAGTCAAAGAAATTCGAGCTGATCTCATCTGTCATGATTAATTAGTCGGAAATAGTCGACAATGGAACAGTAAACTAATTAATCAGCACGTAGTGGACGAGATAAGTACATTTTGCCAATTTTTAAAGTGACTTGAGGATGGTTTTTAAAAATGATCGTGTGGGTGACGATGTTGAGTAACTCTCTCCAACAACACTTACCAAACCCAATCAAAGCTGGTTTAATAATTTACCCGATAGATCATTTTGACAATTCTGTTGCTTTTTGTTTCCTAGCTGGTTAAACGATCAAAGTACATTATTCCCGTTTCTTACTTTAAAAGCTATCATTAAGCCCACCAAGGTCCCACTTGGTTAAGCCACCGACCCTGGACGTCTGATCTAGTTTTTATGGCCTTTAATCACACATGCAAGGTAATTTAATTTAGTAAATTTCCCACCTTTGATAGATTATCTAAATACTCTTTCTCATTCACGGATAGATGTCACGCAATAACCATCATCATGTGAGTTCTGAAGATAAGTTGTCAGGTGGAGAAGAGTGCTTGGTGGGTCATTTTCTGAAGTTGCTAAAACAGTTTCGTGTGGGCATCTAATAAAGCAATCTCTCTCACACAGTGCATGACACTTGCGCGATGGCTGATCTCAAATGTAATAATGCTGATAACTGACAAGGGCTCTCGAGCTAGCCCAGAAAAAGAACACTGAAACCTATATGGAGTTAATTGAGACATGAATACGAGGCTTGGATGATCCAACGCACTTGATGGTGCCTCTAGCTTCACAGCCAAAAAGCAAGTGTTAACAGGACCACAGCTATTAAAGCTGCCTTAATTCTTATCTTGACCTCCCACTTTTTATTGATCATGGTTGGAGGTTGCAGCTTTACAGCCTTAATTTTTCAACTTCAATGATGAGAAAAGGAAAACCCCTTGATTTTTTTTACCTATAGGACTTCAATCTTAGTATTGCGTGCATTCGACTTATTATTGGCTAGCTTAGCATCAGGGGTAGCTTAAAATTTTGATTTTTCTAATAATAACGACCGGATATAAGACTGATCTTCGACACTCACTTGGTGAATATGTGTACGCGTTTTTCGTTGGCTTACCGATCATGGGGGGAGGAAAAGTATAGAGACCGGTGAGGGGGCATGTGAGAAGAGGCCCACTTGGCGCATAAAAGTCCAATAAAGCATAAAAAGAAGATCGTTGTCTACCAAATGTCTGCATTCCTGGGGTAAGTTTTAGTTTTTAATTTTCAGTGAAATTTGAAAAGAAATATTGATTATTATCTTCTCTTTATGTAATAATTACTCCATACATCTTTTCTGATAAAATTTTTTTGACAATTTGTCGCATTAACGTGATTTAATTTTAACTTATGAAGGTCATCTGCATTTCACCACATCTTTACTTACTCAGCTAATCATGGGCAATTATAAAGCTTGAGACTGAGTTGGGAGTATTTATGGGTTTTGACTTTTGATGATGATAATAAAGCTTAAAATTTACCAAGTGATATCTGACTATTTGCCGGTCAAGGAAAAAAAAAAAAACAAAGACATGTGTCTATTTATTTGACAGTAGATGACAATAAATAAGATTAAATGCAAAATGCGTATTACAGCAAGTAACGACGCTGAACTCTAATTAAGTGGAGTTGGGAGTAGCTAAGAGCTAACATTGGATGATCAAGACGCGAGAGAAGCGAAACAAATGTGGAGGAGCTTCTCAAACGCTTAACAGGTTCTTTTCTTTCCTTCTTTCCTTGTTTCCCTTCTTTACTTTTTTTGGTTGTCTTCTCAGTTTGACGAGAGATATTGACTATTCATTGCCCACTCCATTCAATGAGGGCTATCATAATTGCTTAAAGATGAATAATAAAATCATCATATATCATATAATATTCCAAAAGGAGGATCCAGCTCTACTGTACATCCGACCAACTACAATGATTTATCTTTTTTATTTTTTTTCCTTCAAAACATTTACGACTTTAAGGGATCAATCCACATTCATCACATATCTTATATAGGCAAGATTATTCTGCCTAAAAAAAATAGAAGCATGCTTTTTTTTTTTTTGGGCCCGCAAAGGCAAGATACAGTTCTATCATCTAAAATGCTTGTATTTTTGTTTACTATTTATAATTAAATATACCCATTTATTAAAAAAAATCAATCGACTGAGTGTAAAACTACTATAATTTATTCTTTTTGCTACTTTCATGTCCTCTGGGGCTGGCGTAACATGCTGGGGAGAAAAAGGGCACAACGAGGTAAAACCCAAAAGTTCCTGCCCACTTTCTGTAGTAATCCTCTTTGACATTTCAACTTTCAATCATATCAGAACGATTCAGATGCGGTGAATAAGCATCACAGGTCGCCGGCTTGGGTCTTGCAAATTATAAGTTGTTTACGTTCAAAAAACCACCACTCCCATTGTTGTTTGCGACTTTCATTACAGTTTGAGCCGACGCAATTCGTTCACCTGTTTGAACTTAGAAGAGCTACATGGGGCTCAGAGCTGACACTTAACAGTCACCTTCCTTTTATTTACGTACGGTGTTTGGGTATGGGTTTGAATTTCTCCGTTTTTAATTTTTAATTATTTTTTGAACAAAATACCCCTTAGAAAAATGAGAGAGGCTATGGTAGATAAAAGGGAGTGATATGAAAGCCAAAAGGAAAGGCACAAAATAGAGACCACGTGGCATGAGGGATGTGGTTCTGGCATGGGTGTGACTGAAAGGGACGTGCTAGCTCTCACCCAAGGGGACAAAACAATGGTGGGGGCATTAACAAATTTGTTTTGGCTTCGTTAATCTAATACTGGTCCCAAGTCTAATCTCATATATCCCCCCTGTTGGGAGTTAAGGTTCTCTATTGTCTGTCGGTGTGGTGGATCGCTAATCCAATACACATACCCGTTAAAAAACGCATAACACGTATTTTATTTTTATTTTAAAGAAAAATATGCGTATTAAACCATCATTCTGAGATGCTCAGGTGATGTGTGATGAATGCATGCTTCCATAAATTTTGATAAGAAATGATGACGACGACGACCGCGATAAATTTTTCAAAAGTACAAATATTTGAACGAATAAAATAATTTACAAGCAGCAAAAAAATAATACTACCTTCGGCCTTAATTATAAAAACTAGTTGGCTAATTTGATGAGACTAAAAAAAGAAGTTAAGTTATATTTATAATAAACATGTGTTGTTTTTTTTAAATATCCTTATTAATCAAATATATTGGTTAGAACTAATTTTATTAAAAAATTACCTTAACAAAAATAAATAAATATAAAATTAAAACATTATAATTAAGATAAAATAAAATTTAAATGAGATCTCATTAAAAACCAAAGATAGCATAAAATTTGGAATGCGCTAACGGGGCATCCTAATTCCTAAGCAGAAACCAAACGCGGCCCCTTGGTCTATGCGGTGGGGTCCAGACGGGGTTACTTGGCGCTTGTGCAATCCAAGAGGAGACTTTGGAAGAATCCAATGATAGAGAGAGTTAGGTGGAGAAAGGGAAGTTAAATTAAAATATAAACAATTGTTATACACCCTTTGCTTTCTTCACCGCCCTCTTCGGCCCCTTTGGAGCAATAGCGTATGACCGATTATAAAACCCAAAACCCTGCATCAAAATTTAAGTCATTGCTCTACTTACATTTCACACGATTAAGACCCAAGAAATTTATGCTATATTTATTATCGGGTTAAGATATACCCAACTTTCCAAAATATTTTTTTAAGTATATTTAATATTTTAAAATATATTGTAATGCATCTAGTATTTTAAAATACTTTTTAATTATGTTTAGCACATTGAAATATCTTTTTTACCTCACTAAAAAATATTTATGAATACTGAACACACCTAAAAAAATATTTTAAGGTGTTGGACGTATTAAAAAGTATTTTACAATACTAGATATACTTTAAAAAATATTTTAAAATATTAAATATACTGTAAAATATTAGCATTTGGCAAAATATTTCGAGTACTGATGCAACTTAACCTTCCCCCGGTCTTTGATATAAGACTTTATTTGATTTTTTATTTTTGTTCTAAATATAAGATCCTAGTCTACTTTATCTATCATATTTATTTATTTTTCTCAAGATAATCTTTCTAATAATGATAGTTCTAATCAATATATTTGATTAGTAAAAATATTTTAAGAAATGCAATACCTATTTATAATAAATAATTAACTTAATTTATTTTTTAATATATTTAAATTAGTTAACTAATTTTTATATTTAAATCCGGTAATATATTACTGTGTACTTTTTTGGGCTAACCGTTTCCCCCGTTGAGAAAAACTCTGCTGTGGCACTGCAGAAACGCGAAATGGTGGCTGTACTGAAACAGTTGGTGGTAAAGCAATGGCTGGCAGGGCATGCAAGTCTGACAGTGTCCCTGTTCCCAGAAGGCCAGAGTCAGCGCTGTGTCATCTTTCCGGCATGCTCCCCAGATGCTCTGCCATGGAATCCAAACCTCCAAGTCCAAGCCCAAACCAAAACAAAATATGCTTGGAAATTTCCATAAATCTTTTATAGACGCCATCGAATGTACGTTGGCCTTTTCTAACATCTATGCCCATGCAGATGCCCTTTTCGAAGGCTGCCACTTACCAGAAAAAAGTCCGCACATATAAACAAATAACTTTGCTCACATAGACAATCTAAATTATTATTATGAACATTTATTAAAACGGCATAATAACAAATAGTATTAAATAATTAATTTATGGTTTACTGGTGAAGTGACTTTATATATAATAGTACATACGTAGAAGGCTAAATAATTTGTGTGAGGGATTGAAAGGAAAGAAATAATGAAAGAGGAAATGTAAATAGGAAAAAAGCAATGGGGAGAAATGGCCAGGGGACACGTGAGCGAGGGCCCCACCACCAAGGCTGAGGCATCATTGCCCTTTTTCTACGTTTCATCTCACTGTGAAGATGGCTGATGCCCATCACTTTCCCCGCTTCCCCTGTCCTTTCTTTCCCAGTTTGCCCCCAAACTGTTTTTTCTCCCAAAATTTCAAACGAAAAAGGAAAAATACTGCATTTCAGGTAAAAAAGTAATCCAACGCAACCTCGTTTCCCCTCCATTTTTTATGGTCAAAGATAGCATCATAAATCAGCCACCCATTTTTCCTTTCATACGGTTCATGAAAATACCATCTGAGCCTAGATGTTCCTTTGTCAGGTCTTTCATCATTTTGTCATCAAACATTTGCTCACCATGTAATCACATATAACAGTCATTTTATTTTGATCTAGAAACAGTAAACTTTATTTTTTTTCCAAATTATATATGATAGAAAAAATATTAATTATAATGAAGTAAGCATGTATTTGTTGCAGGGGCCTTTTAAACCAACAAGATTAAGCAATTTTCATTAAATTTTAAAACACGAGATTGTGGGTTTGATTCTTTCATAGAGGTAACGAGTATGTAAATTTCTTTGAGTAAGAGAATTTTTGCGTGAAAACATCTGATATAAAATATATGATCTACTATGTCCATTTTCTTCCCTCCGTTTTCAATATATTGGTGTGGATTATTTATTTTTTTAGCGTACAAGAGGATATTATTGACAATTCACGGGAGGAAAAAAGGTGTTACTGATAAGATCAATTGATGCCCAGACCCTTTTGCATAAACTTTACGAGCGGTAAATTCTTTCGTGGCTAGAGTTTGCTGAAAACAAAGGTTCACTGAGGCCAAGCATTGGATATCTTACTTGGGAGCAAATTAAGAAGGAAACTTCAAAAGATGCTGCACGTAATTTTTTTTTTCTTTGGGCAAAAGAAAACTGTATGTTCAAGGTTATGGATGCCCTGTTCAACAAGATTGCATCAAGAGAAAACTCGACGAGTATATTGCGTCAGTTAAAATTTTCGTTAGGAAAAAGAAAAAGATACTCCGTATTAACAGTTAATCAGTCAACGACAAGGTCTGGGCAATGCGCAGCATTGAATACGCGCTACGTCCAAAAAGCCCAGAAACAAATCACAATGTGTAGCCTTATAGTAGAAAAAGGACGCGTATTCTGCTCTTCAGATCGGGACATATACTGCCAATATATATATATATATATATATGCTGGTTATTTTCATATTTGTCTCTCTGGACTTGGAGGCTTTCCATGGTTCTTAAAAGACAAAAAAGAAAAAGAAAAAATATTATAAAAGGAGACAAAGGGGACTGACAAGAGGGCGGACAGTTGGACGCTGAAACTTGCGACGAGGAATCAGAGCAAAATAAATAAGAGAGAGAGATTTTGTGAGAGTAAAGCGAGGAGGGCTGTTGTTATGCAGGGGCAATACCGGAAAATGAGTGATGGTAGAAGAGGCTGTTGTGCGTAGAGACTGGAGAGCAGAGAGCATCGTTCAAAGGCTGGGGGTATCAGAGCTGTGGAAGAGGTGAAGAACAAGGAAAGTGACAGTGGTGGTGGTTGTTGCAGTTAATGTTATCATCCCTGCAGAGTGCAGCTACCTCTTCTTTTCTGGACTTCCCGCCTTCAAAGTCCTCATAAGTCGCGCTTTCTTTTTCCCCTTTCTATTATCTTCCAACAACCACCTCTCGCTCTGTTAAATCCACCTTCATTCTCTCTTCTTCCTCTTTCGGCTCCCGTATTCATTTTCTTAACTCTAATCCTAACCGATCAGAAGCTTGGGTTAATTTCTCCGGATTCTTAATTAAGTGCTTCTATCAAGTTCTTGTATACGTCCATTTCCCCTCACCTGTCTCTGTCCCTCCCCCCCAACCGATGGAAACATCCGAGAATTGTTCTGTCAAGGTTGCTCTGCACATTCGTCCTCTCATTGCTGATGAACGCCAGCAAGGTTGTAGAGAATGTGTTAGCGTCACTCCAGGAAAGCCCCAGGTACTCAGCTCTTCCCTATCTTCAAGAACTGAGATTCTTGGACTTTGAGCTGCTTCCTTTTGCACGTTTCTTGAATACGTATATTTTTCCAATCAATTTCTTATTTTTTTTACGGTGAAATATTTTTCCTATCAATTTCTTGACAGCTAGATTTTGCCTGTATTTTCTCATCCCACGGAGGATTGGTTAATGAATAGTTTAATCGTTTTTTTACGGGATTGGCTATATCTCCCGAGTCCTGAGAGATTCGTTTTTTATTTAACGCCTCATGACATGAGTTTTCCTAACAGTAATTGAGACCAAAGGCACAGAAACCTGTTTTCTTTCGTCCGAGTTTTATTAATTTATGCTTTGTAACTTGCAAGCAACTCTTTTGTGATTACTCAATTTTTATATTTTCTCTACGCTCCATCCAAAACATCATATGTCCAGTTTCAAAGTTCCAGCCTCAGTGTTTACCCAGAAAAGCAGCCCGAGTGTTATCAATGCATTTCTTACCTTCTTCTTTGCGCGAGCATATGCTTCACGATGAGTATATCTTCTTAACGTAGTTATACAATTCGGGTTTGGTGTTTCAACAAATCCATTGACTTGTAAGCTTAGGAAGAGCTGGGTGAGTGATCAATTTCCTCACCAAATATTGACATTTTAAAAGTTCTTCAGGTCCACAAAACCAAGACATTTCCTCATTATCTGTTGTGTGGTCTTCTCCCACGTGGTGCCTTATTTGTTGCTTCTAGCGTTATTTTCTAGCTAAACTTTAAATAGAAGGATGGGGTTAAGATTTTTCAATTCTTATTAATCCATAGCCTTCAGCAGATTTTTGGGTTCTTATACGATAAGGTTTTGGTATTAGCTGCAAGAGCGCCCCAGTATAACTAGACATCTCCTTACAAATAAAAACCAAGAATATAAGCTTGTCTGTTTATGGAGTCATAGAAAGTTTTAGGAAAAAGAGAAGTACGAAGCTCTCTTGTTTTTTTTTATCATTGATGTATTAATATGGACTTCATCTTCGAAAGAATAAAGCCATATTGACACCACATTTGCTTTCATTATATCCCAGTTAGAAATTGAAAAGGTTATTCAAGATGCTATACAAATGTGAGCTTAATAGTCTGCAGCATGCTCTTTATGGTCTTAGATCTCGAGGATCTGATCACAGTTTAGTGCTGACCCAGGTTCAAATAGGGTCACATTCATTTACATTCGATCATGTTTATGGAAATGGTGGATCACCTTCGTCTGCTATGTTCGAAGAATGCATTACTCCATTGGTTGATGGTTTGTTTCAAGGATACAATGCTACTGTTCTTGCTTATGGTCAGGTAATGTCAATCGTGCATGTCTTCTATTCAAAGTTGAAAAAGATTGTGTTATTTATTAATTATTATTTTTTGATGTATGTATATGCCACAGACGGGATCTGGGAAAACTTACACGATGGGAACTGGCTATAGTGACAATTGCCGAACTGGAATAATTCCTCAAGTTATGGATGCCTTGTTCAACAAGATTGAGACATCAAAGCATCAAACAGAATTTCAGTTGCATGTCTCATTCATTGAGGTGCATCCACATGCATGTAGAAATTAAATATTCAAGATATATTGACTTGCATGCATAAAACATGAGCAGATCACAGTTAACTCGTCTATAGCAAAAGCTCATTTCCAAAAATTCTCATATTTATGCAACTAATTTTTTAGTATTTTTTATTCTGAAGATTCTGAAGGAGGAGGTGAGAGATTTGTTGGATACGTCATCCGTGGCCAAACCTGAAATCTCTAATGGTCATTCTGGAAAACTATCTGTCCCTGGGAGGTCATCAATACAGATTCGTGAAACATCAAATGGAGTGATAACACTAGCAGGTTCAACTGAAGTTTCTGTTAGTACTTTACAGGCAATGGCTGCTTGCTTGGAGCAGGGTTCATTAAGCAGGGCAACAGGAAGTACAAATATGAACAACCAGTCCAGGTAATTCATGATCCTCCACCCTTTGTTGTCTGACTAAAAGGGTGCTCGGTCAATTGTCAATGATATTGCTTTTGCATATTGTTGATTGTGATTGAATTTGGAATTTTTTTTTTTTTGTTATTATTACTCTTATATTCAAGTAGAGATTGAAGTTTTATTTTCTTTATTATTTCTTTTGTATTATTGACTAAAGTAAAAAATTTGAACCGTGGAAAGAGTTTGCTTAATGAATTACTGTAGATTGAATCTTAATATACAAGTGACTCGTGGTTTTACTTCTGTTTGAATCAGCCGGTCGCATGCCATCTTCACCATTACATTGGAACAGATGCACAGGCTTCATTCAAATTCTCCTGGCAGTGACACTTCCGATGAGGACATGGGTGAAGAATATCTTTGTGCAAAGCTCCATTTGGTGGATCTAGCGGGATCTGAACGAGCTAAAAGAACAGGATCTGATGGTCTTCGATTAAAAGAAGGTGGGTCATATACCATGTAAATTTTCGTTTCAATATTATGAGCCACGCCATTTTAGTAATAGTAACAATGATGGTAAGGTTAGTGACATTAGCTATATTTATTTGTTGCCAGGTATCCACATTAATAGAGGTCTTCTTGCACTTGGTAATGTCATTAGTGCACTGGGAGATGAAAAAAAGCGAAAAGAGGGTGTACACGTCCCTTACCGGGATAGCAAACTCACTCGACTTTTGCAGGTTAGATTAACATCATGCTGTTTGAGGATTTCTACACACTCACCCACCCATACCCACATATTTCCCTAGTATAACTTACCAGTATTAGCAATTAAGTGGTTGTGCTTTAAAAATTATTGTTATTGGATAAAGAACTCGAACGCGTTACATAGCATTAAATAATTAAAATCGATTTTTGATATGGGTGATAAGCAACTGACATGTGAGGTGGGAAAAGGTCAAGATTGATGTTGGTAGGGGACTTGGCTTTCATATTTAAGATGTGGATTGTGAATTCTACGCTGGTTTCTTTATGTCAATCTCTTATGTGTATTCTAATCTGGAGCAATTGCTGGTCTTCTCGTTTTTACCTTTTTGGGTGCAGGATTCACTTGGTGGAAACAGCAAAACTGTCATGATAGGTAGTTCTGAAATTTGATTCCTATGTACAAATCGCTGTGTTTAAGCATCTTTATGTGCCCCTGCTTTACAATCATTGAATGTTCCTTTGTTTAGTGCATTCTGTTTCAGTCGAGGCAGCGTATTGCAGAGAATGTGCACACGATCACTATAATCTTTTTTGGGATAAAAGCTTAGTTATTAAACCTGTATTGCCTCACAATTGGCACGCTTTTTTCAGCTTGTATCAGTCCTGCCGATATCAATGCCGAGGAAAGTCTTAACACTCTTAAATATGCAAATCGTGCACGCAATATTCAGAACAAGCCTGTTGTAAGTTTTCATGGCCTTTTACTTTCAAGTGCATTCTCTGCCTTTGGCCGATTTTGGAAACTTGATATGGTCAAAATTCCTGATTCTGATATATTGCAACATTTTGTTGTTTCCTTTGCAGGTCAATAGAGATTTACTATCCAATGAGATGCAGCAACTTCGTCAGCAGTTAAAATGCTTACAGGCTGAACTTTGTGCTCGTGGTGGATGTCCTACTAATGAAGTGCGGGTATATATCTGATCCTGAGGAAGCTTATAAACAGAGAAAAAACCCAAAATAAACAACACAGAATGGGAACACTTAAGATTAATACTACTCCGGTCCTTAATATAAGACCTTGTTTGACTTTTATTTTGGTCCTAAATATAAGACCCCAATCTACTTTATCTCTCATATTTATGCATTTTTTTCCAAGATAGTCCTTCTAATAATTGTAATTCTAGCCAATATAGCTTATTAGTAAGGATATTTTAGAAAAGACAACACCTATTTATTACAAATAACTAACTTAATTTCTTTCCTTAATCTTCTCAAATTAGTCAACTGGGTCTTATAATTAGGACCGGAGGTAGTAATACTTTTACTGCATAAAAGATGACTACAACATGATATATGACAAACAAAAGATACAATACACTCAGACACAACTCTCACAAGATACAACACACAGGATACCAATCTTTCGAGAGGATTGGCTCTCTCCTACCGAAGGCCTCAGCCACACTTCTCAAAATTCTTCTCTGCCCCCTTACTTAACCAGAAGGGAAGATTTATAGATCCAAAAATGACTTTCACAGCCCTTATCTCAGACTTTGACTATAGCAGTCCTATAGCTACTCTACTCTCAACTTCTTTCTTCAAAATAGCAAGTCAAACTTCTGCCCTACAAAAAGTAATTTTCCCTTTTCACGTATCTTCCTAGGTCTCTAAAAGTGGTCCTAACAATATCATTGCTGAAGTTTTCACTGCGAATGAACATTAGATTAATTGAGTTGGAACTTTGGCATCTGGCTTCATGTTATTGTTGCACAGGTTCTTAAGGAAAGGGTTGCTTGGCTTGAGGCAACTAATGAGGATCTCTGTCGGGAACTTCATGAGTACCGCAGTAGATGTGCAACTGACACGCAAGTATGTGCATATAAAGAGCTTCAGATGCCCGCTTGTTTCCTTTTCTTCTGTTGATAATGGATCAATTTAAATTTCAATACTTGGAATAGTTTTGCATGTCATCATTGGATATTTATGGTTATGGTTAAACCCATGTTAATTTCACTTTAAGGATAGAATTACAATTGAATTGGTACTTGTATTTCTTTTTCTTTGCTCAGGATGGGGATATTTGTCCTGTGATTGATGGACTTGATAGTGGCCTTCAGAGCCTAGACTCGTCTGACCACCAAATGGCTGAAAGCATATCAGGTGGATATTAATTTATTTGTGATTTTTAATGAAAAATAGGAATATTGTTTATTATGCTTTATAAAAGAGGGGAAGGGGACAGGTGCAGAAGAGGAACGAGATGATTTGCTTCCTCCATATCTCTAGAAGAATATATGAACTTTTCTTACGTAAACGAGATTTCACTACATTCTTTGTGAAAGGTGCTTTTGTATCAAATCAATATATTTTCTTGTGTAAGGGAACCTGCACACAGTGATGCGGAATTAAGCATTACTTGGGGGTTTTATTGTTGTATCATGTGTTTGAATAATGTTGCAGTCTGTTGGTTTTGTTTTGCTGCATGGCTCTTATAATGTTTGAATAACGTTGGGCCATTGTGTCTTATTTTGCAGAGGAAAATTCTATAGAATCAGATGAAGCAACGAAAGAGTTGGAGCACGCACTCTTGCAAAATACTATGGATAAAGAGATGAATGAGTTAAATAAGCGCTTGGAGCAGAAAGAGGTTTCATCTATAAGACTTTTACTTATGCATCTAATCTAACGGCTGATCATAAAGGTCCCAAGAGTAAAATCATGATGCGTCTTGATAATCATTTTCAACATTTTGGTGTTTGTGAATTCCCAATTCATCTCGGCCGCTTAAATTGGTTGGTGCAAGCCAAATAATGACTTTTCATTTCTGATGTGCTGCCTTGTGCAAAAGCACATTGAAGTTGAAGGGTAGACAAAGTGCAAGCCGTCCTCAGCTCTGCTGAAATTTAATTTAATCATTAAGAACGGTTGCTACAATGGTTGAACCTTAGGTTACTTAGTTGTGGTACCTCTAATAATTTTCCAAGGAGCCTGTTACCACAAAAGATTTGGCTTTTTATTTGCAAGTGCTCTCAACAGATTTAGTTTATGCAGTAAATATCGCATCCAGTGGCGCAGATGTGGACCTGTGGTGAAAATTTCCATGTTCTATCATTGCTAAATTAATATATCTTTACATGTGTGTCTTTTTTCTCTCTCAAAAGGGGTTTTGTACAAAATAGATCAAGCACCAGCAAGGTCATATTCTTTGAGAAACACGATTGTAGAAAGGAAAAATTAAAATTAAATGATCCTGGAATGATTTAGCCGGTTATTTGAATGAATGCCAATCTACTGTTCTTTATCTGAATTACTTGATTCCCTTATGTTTATGGTAGATTTTGATATGAATTGCGCATGCGCACTAAGATTACAGCACTAACCAACATTATTTCTGTTAATGCATGCTGAACTTTTGGTGACTTCTGTTAACAGACACTGTTCACTTCTTTTCTGATATGATTCAAATAATGAGCAGGAATTGTAACTCCAACTGAACATCTATATCTATCCTTTTCATGTTTTGCAGTCTGAGATGAAACTCATTGGGGGAATCGAGGTGGAAACTCTCAGACAGCACTTTGGAAGAAAAATTATGGAACTCGAGGAAGAGAAGAGACAAGTGCAGGTTTCATTGGAAAGAAATTTAAAATATCTTTTGAACTGAACATAAAGTTTATGTTTCCATACTACCAGTAGCTACTGATTATGGTTTGAAAATGAGCAGAAAGAAAGGGACCATTTGTTAGCTGAGGTAGAAAATCGTGCCACTAATTCGGATGGACAAGCACATAAAAATCAAGATATTCGTGCCCAAAGATTGAAGTCACTGGAATCACAGGTGATAATTTTCCTTAACTTGATGCAATTCTGAAGTGAAGATTGAAATCACTGGAATCACAAATTACTGCCGTTGGTCAATATATTGATTTTTATAAATATTGAACTGCAGATTTTAGATCTAAAGAAGAAACAAGAAAGCCAGGTTCAGCTTTTAAAGCAAAAGGAAAAAAGTGAAGAAGCTGCAAAAAGGCTGCAAGCTGAAATACAATATATTAAGGCTCAAAAGGTTACTTTCTTTTCTTTGGTTTTTTTTCCCCCCACCCACTTAACTAACTATGGTTCTTGTTTTGGATCTCATTCACATCCTTTTACAATGCAGGTTCAGTTGCAGCACAAAATGAAGCAAGAGGCCGAGCAATTTCGACAGTGGAAGGCCTCTCGTGAGAAGGAATTGCTTCAGGTTGTTTGCTTTCTCATATAAATATATTATGCTTCAATTTTCGCATATTCTACTTTGAAATTTTATGCTGCCAATTGTGATTGTCTAACGATTTCAAGCTGTTTTGTTGACATTGACATGTTAATGTATATGCCTTTCAAAGGCCTTGTGCTGAGCCACTTTTTTTCTTTTCAAACGTTCTCTTTGCATTAAGTCATCGAGTCTAAGGTTTCTTTTAGAAGCCCTAGGCATTTATTTGAAACTCTGGTTGACAACATATGGTCATAGAAACAATAGCTTGAATTTAATAATGCTATGGGAGTAATGAAGATTTTGGGTTAATGGTTGCTTCGCTCATACAATTAAGGTATTAAAAACTAGACTCGGCCATTGGACTAGTCAAGGCATTGATTCCCGAATCAATGGTTAAACTATGGTCGAACTACTCATAATTAAATTAATATATGTTTAATTTTAAATATATACCAAGCTGCCAACTATTTTGAATTAAAAAAATTATTTTAAAAAAAAGCAACAATGAAATTTTAGAAAAATAAAGACTAAGAGTAAAAATAAAATTTGAAAATTTTGGTAACTATTTTATAATTTAAAAAATAAAAGTGAGATAATTATGATCTGTAATATATTTATGATGCATATGCTAATTTTAAAATTTATGAGTTTGTATCTTCCTTCTCCGATGCTTATCTTGTCCTGATTGACGTTTGGTTCACTGGTGGTAGTTCAGTCCATTCTTTTGTCGGGTTATTGAAATGTTCGGTCCATTTCTTAAAACCATGCGCACAACTGCAATTTTAAATCTTTGTTTTACTCCTGAGCAGCTGAAAAAAGAGGGGAGGAGGAATGAATATGAAAGGCATAAACTTGCGGCTCTAAACCAGCGCCAAAGAATGGTAAGTTGAAAATCTGATATTTTGCTGTTTATGGTGTCTGCCTCCTGTTTTGTGTTCCTTGACATTTCTTGATTACTTAAGAGTGTACAATATAAATTAGATGTTAGCTGCTACATTGTTCCTTTTATGTTTTCCAGAAAGGATTTCTCTTGTATAATAACCACATATAGGCTATGCCTCTTTTGCTGCTCTTATGAGCAACAAAATTATGTTAATGGGTAAAGGGGGCTAAAATGTGCGAGTTAGGTAATGTTGCAACTATTCAGCAAAGAGGGGGGAAAAGAAAACATTACTCTGAACTTGATGGCACGGACTATAAACTGAAGATTGGAGATTCTGAATAGATGAGTTTACATGTGCCCATGAGAATGAATGCATGAAAAGTGAAACACACTGACTGCTGTTAGCTCATCACTCATTAGTCTATACTTGCAGGTTCTTCAGAGGAAGACAGAGGAAGCGGCAATGGCTACAAAAAGGCTAAAAGAATTGTTGGAAGCTCGCAAATCTTCTCCCCGTGACAATTCAGGTAGCATTGTTTACTATTATTTTGTTTAAATGGATAGATATTCTTTATTATTAATTATTTGCTCTATATTTCAGTTAATTCTAATGGACATCTGCTGCCTGGGCAGGTAATTATCGGTCATTTTGTTCTATATAACTAAACAATTTATATGCTTAATGGCCTAAAAATTAGTGTCCCAACCAACCGAAGAGCGGGACTGTTTTATGTCAGATTAGCTACCTTTTGAACCGCACAACCGAAGTCATGTTATCCTCATGCTTCCTTATGTTTTAAACCATTATGTTTGATTAAAAATAAATTTGAGTTGACCAGTTATAACCTGATTTTATATGTAGACGAATGAAAAATCTTTCCAGAGGTGGCTCGATCATGAGCTTGAAGTCATGGTCAATATGCATGAAGTTCGTGCTGAATATGATAAGCAAAACCATGTGTACGTGTTTAATCCTTATTTCTTTCTCCAATTCTCTTTTTCTGGGGTGAAAACTTTCACATTCACGGATGTACTCTCTCTCTCTCTCTCACTCTCTCACTATTGATTGAAAAATATTAATTTAGACGATCTGCATTGGAAGAAGAGCTGGCTTTACTGAAACAAGTAGATCAGTTGCCAGATGGACCAAGTATCCCTAAAGGAAAGGACAGATATTCCAGGTACGTATATCGGATTCCATGCTTGTGTTTATGTGGATGTCTTTCTGCTGGTATTTTTGAGCAATTCAAGAAATCTTTAACTTGCCCTTTTTCCTTGATCCCCCCTTTGGCAGACTGTTATCCATGTCACCAGATGTGAGAACGGCAAGAATAGCTTCTCTTGAGAACATGCTCAGCATGTCTTCAGTTGCTTCAAAAAGCATGGCTTCACAACTTAGTGATGCAGAAGAAAGGGAACGTACATTAAACAATCGTGGACGTTGGAACCAATGCCGCTCAATCGGAGATGCTAAGAACATGCTTCAGTATTTGTTTAATGCAGCAGTGGAAGCCAGGTGCTCACACATCTTATGAGAATCTTAATAAAATTCTCCAGTGTTTTATTTAAGGAAAATCTTCGCAGTCCATGAAAGACGTGTATTGAATGAAGTGGTCAATGGACTTGCTTGCCACATGGGTTTCGCTACTAAATCTTCTCTTCTAACTTGCTTTTGAAATGCCAGTTGTGTTTAATTGTAGAGACTCAGCTCTTCCCTATTACAAGTAACAATAGTGCTTATAATCCTTAACAGGTGCCAATTGTGGGAAAAGAACATGGAACTTAAGGACATGAAAGAGCAACTAAATGAGCTTGTAATGCTACTACAGCAAAGCGAAATACAGCGAAAAGACCTCCTGAAGGAGCAAAAAATGAGGGAACAAACCGTTGCCATTGCATTGAGTACATCTGCATCGGTGAGAATTTCATTTTTCATTGGGTCGTTGTTGGGTTTTTAATTTTTGATTTCTTTTGAAAAATAAATTTATTTTTTAAAAGTGACGTTTATTAATTTATCTTTGTTTTGGGTTCTGCATATGCTAAAATAAAAAGTTATTTGCAATAAAAAATTAAATTAAATTAAATTAAATACAGACAGTCAAATTAATTTAAACGGTCTGGATTGATGATGAGCACACGAAGACCTGGATTGTGCTTCAGAATTTATTTCATCCATTTATATGTTTTGTGACCGGAACTAACAGGCAAATTCGCGATCGCTGAAACACTTCGCTGATGAATTGAGTGGTCCATTGTCTCCCATGTCATTTCATGCGCCAAAGCAGCTCAAATTCACCTCTGGAATTGTTAATGGCTCAGTCAGAGGGTCAGCTGCATTTCTAGATGAAACTCGAAAGGTAAATATCCCCCTTCATACTCTTCTTTACATAATGATCGTATTTCTTTTTCCAGTTAAATAGTAATGTTTTATATTCAGATGATACCCATTGGACAGTTGTCAACAAAGAAGCTAGCAGCCGTAGGACACGCTGGAAAACTTTGGAGGTGGAAGAGAAGTCACCATCAATGGTTGCTGCAGTTCAAATGGAAGTGGCAGAAGCCATGGAAACTCTCAGAATGGATCAAGCACAGTGATGAGACAATCATGCGGTCGAGGCCTCGAGCACTTCATTCAATTGATGTAACGTCTTGAATTAAGGAAAAATTCTCGTGACGTTATCACCACATTGACTGCCATGTATTAAAACACATGGTTTGGCGACAGTCCAATTAGTAGCAGGTAATCCTTGAATAATGGATTTGTTTTGTTTGTTTATCACAACAGCATATTATGTTTATGATCACAAAGTAGTTAATTAAAAGAGAGTTTAAGACAGCCCAGCTCTGCCAAAAAAGCTGTATTGGGCGAGAGAGGCTTTTCCTAGTTAATACAAAATAATCCGACCGAATTCGATTCTGTGACTAATGGAAGTCCAGTAGCCTTATTTCTCCATCAAGTTGCGTTTTATTCCTGGTAAGAACATACATCACCATCCTATGATGTTTCTCCAAAAGATGTCTTGTACTGATATGAGAATTCTTCATCAAAAGATCGCCGATAAATCTTTTACATTGAGTGACAGCCTTGATTTCTAAAAGCGTGCAGCTCTTTAGTGGATGCTCCCTTTTGCCGAAATTATATGCACAGGATTGGTTCTTACAATCTGCTTTCCGTTTGCAGGCATGTTGCATGTTGGGAATGAGTTTCTTGTCTTCCTCCTTGTCTCGAGTGCTTTTGCCAAGATGTAGTTCGCTTGTTGGAGGAAATTCTTCCATGGTGTTATGTGCAGGTTGTAACCGCATATAAAGGCAACTTGGTGTCATGGACAAAGTCGCAGGAAAGTAATATTTTGAGAAGGTTGAAACTTGAAAGAATGGTGCGCCACACTGGATATATGGAGGAAGCTATGATTGGTGATGATGCAGCTTCTCTTTGGATCTCCTGCTGTGCGATGGTTTTGCTGTGCCGGAGATTCAAAGCGTACAAGGGGGGAAAAATATTTTCCTCTTTAGGGGACCGTAGGTACTTGGATGTGTTCTGTACATATGTACAAACTCTCCAAATTGCTCCGAACTAAATTGTCTATTTTGTAGTTGTCTTCACCGTATCAATGATTTGTTTGACAACTGTGCAGCTATTCTTCACTACTATAATACTTGGATCAAAGCATCAGAAAACATCAATGTTGTGTACTTACGTATTCATGGAATATTCTAACAAAATTGGTCGAATACATGGAACTACCGGCCTCGCACCAAGCGATTCCTGCATCGACTAAAAAAGCGTAACGTATGGTATTTGCGTGTACTTGCGTATTCATGAAGACTCTTACACAACTGGTCGAATAAACTCGGACTGCTAAAATACTCTTCAGATCTTCTCGTGCAACGCTCCTTCATCTCCCCACAATCAGAGTTTACAGTCTCTTGCCTTTACCTCCCCAACATGACTACATCCAATCCTTTAAGTTCTTGACAGCAGCTATTAAATCCTAGCAGTTGTATCTTCCATCGTTACACTGTCCTTTATCTCCTGTATCATCTTCAAGACTTGCCACATTGCCGGCCTCTGCTCAGGCGACGTTGCACTGCAAATACTAGCGACTTCCGTGAGCATTCCAAGCCCATTATGTTCAGCACCGTCATCATCCCTCATTGCTCTAACCCAATGTTGCATATCCGCGGGCACAAGGAAAGGATGTTGAGAAGGATGTTTACCCGTAAGAAGCTCCAACAGAAGCACCCCAAAGGCATATACATCAGACTTGGGAGTGGCTCGGCGGCTAGAGTTGCGAGTCTCTGGTGCTTTATAAGCTGCCGAGTCAGGGTCTTCAGTTGATGAAAACTCCGCAAGGAGGGCCAAGCCGTAGTCTGTGACACAAGCTTCAAAGTCCACGCCAAGAAGGACATTAGTCGACTTCAGGTTGCCGTGGATTAATCTCGAGGCTTGATGTATATAGGCGAGTCCATGGGCTACATCTTCGGCAATCTTTAAGCATGACGTCCAGTGAAGAGGCTTCGCTCTCGTTGATTTCGAACCTGCAGAGATAGTGGTATTCTAGTCAGGAAATTATCATCATACATCAAAGCGCATATCTAATACGCATACATGCGCTATGCAATGTCTAAAATCGTCCCAAAAAAATTTCACTCAAAAAAAAAATCGTCCCAAAAAAATAGAACGGACAAACGAGTGACCCGCTGTTAATTTTTGAGCAGGTAATCGAATCACAAGAGATCATTGAATGCAGCCTAGTCAGATTGTCTGCACGCAGTCAAACTGAATAGCCTGACCCTCCTATTTAAGCGAGCGTTTTAAATATTCCAACCCTTGGACCCAAAAAGAACACATTAAATAGTCCAATCCCGTGATTGTCGGCAATGGGGAAGATCGATGCGTAGAAAGGGATACGCCGGAGATGCCCCAGCCAGAAGGCAGAGCAATGAAAAAGAAAAGGGGAAAATATTCTCCAGATCGGCAGCCGGAAAAAGTATCTGAATCATAGATCGGATTCCACTTTTCACATCCACCAAACACTACATCTGGGAGATCCAATTCGCACATTGAACACCACCATTCACCCAAAGCAGCAAAACACGTCACACTGAATTTCTAAATCCACACATAGGCCCCATGAGTTACACAACTTTTGCACCACTAACTCTGACTATCTAACACCAGCGATTAGCTAATTCTGCTGAACTAAAGTACTAGAACTACAGAATGAGTGAGTTAAAGAGCATCATTGTTGTAGATTGGACTTACCATGTATCAGGTTAAAGAGGCTGCCATTAGGTTGATAATCATAGATCACCAGCCTCTCGCCCTTTGCCTGGAAATAAGCTCTAACCGGCACCAAATTTGGGTGCCGGAGCTCGCCCACCATTTCCATGTGATGCTCGAATTCTTGGCTGCTAGTTATTGCTGTTTTAATAGCATCCAGCCTCTTCACTGTCATTATGAGATGGCCATCCAACACAGCCTTGTATGTGGTTCCTATGTTTCCCCTACCCAGCAACTCCGCCGAAGCTCTCATCAGCTGCTCTATTGTACACAACTGTGGCTCCTCACTGCAGAACACCAAATTCCCACTCTTATGTGCTTCTTTTATTTTCTCTATCTTTTTTGCCTTCTCACTCCATTCCCTATTTTGCTCTGTCTCTGTTTCGACAGCTAAAGATGGAGGAGGAGGCGCATTTACATCTTTGGTTTCCAAGGACTCCTGTACTTTCATGGTCTCTGGTCTTCTGGAATTGCTTCGTTTCCTAAGCAATGCAATCGCGAACAGGATGGATGCAATGAGCACCGAGAACCCAATGGTAAATCCTAGAATCAAGGCAGTGTCCTTATGCTTCTTTTTAGTAGATGAATTTGAAGGAACGACCATGATTCCCTGCGATTCCGCGCTTTGCCCAAGTGGCGCCGCGGAGGTGGAGGCATTGGAGGGACTGAAGAAGGGAGGCCGAGAATTACATGCTATGTGGATGATCTCCCCACAGAGACCCTGGTTCCCGGAGAACGACGCCGGCGGTAAACGACTGAGTGTAGGCGTCATCGGAACCGGCCCAGTCAAATTGTTTCCGGACACATTGAGGATTCGAAGCGAGGACTGGTTCAAGGGGGGAAGGGTTCCGTTAAACCCGTTGAAATCGAGGCGAAGAGAAATCAAGCGGTCCAGGAGAGTTAACCCGGCGGGAACAGAGCCGGTGAGGTTGTTGTGGGAGAGAGAAAGAGTGAGAAGGCGATGGAGGAAGAGAATGGAAGGCGGGAAAGAACCAGAGAAGGAATTATGGTCGAGAAAGAGGGATTTGAGGTTGACAAGAAAGGAGAGGTCGGGGATGGGACCAGAGAGGGAGTTGTTGCGAAGACTGAGAACTCGAAGCTGGTCGAGACGAGACAAGGTGTCGGGGGGGAAGACGCCACGGAGACCGAAGTTCTGAAGGACGAAGCGAACGACTCTGCCATGGGCGCATTTGACGCCCTGCCATTGACAGTAGTCATAGCGCTCGTTGAGGGCGTAAAGGAGCTTGTTGTCTCGGTCAGCCTTGGATTTGAAGGAGAGGAGGTAAACGGCGTCGGAAGGGAGGAGCAAGTCGATGGTGGGGGAGGCGGCGCGGGAAGAGGAGGACAGAAGGGGCAGGAAGAAGAGGACAAGGAAGGGTGTGTGGGAAGGAGGCATGGCTAGAAGAGCTTGTGACTTGTGAGCGGAATCTTCATACAGACGAAGACGGAGAAGGGGTACGCTGATTCGTTTAGGCCTGCGGAATGAGGATATAAGAAAACGACCTTCTCATTTCTCACTTGCCGCTTGCCACTGTGTGCCTCCTGTGTCCCGCCCCGTGGGGTCTGTATTTTTAATTCTAAATCCTCGTCAGGCGATCACATGGTAATTTTTTTTTTTTTTTGATAACATCACATGGTAATTTTTGATCAAACTACAAAGAAACAATTCTCACCTGACAAAAACAAATCAGTTCGAAAAAAGTGAGGGAAAATTATAATTAGATCTCATCCATGGGAATTAGGTACAAAATGATCCCTTAAAATTATCAAATTATTTTGAAGTCTCAAGAAACCTTATTATAATAAACTTTATTTATTTAACTACCAAATTATTCTTATTTTTAAAAAACAATTTGTATTAATAATTAAAAAAATAGTTGTTGACAACTTAAGATGTAAGGATTAATAACTATTATGACAGGTATTGACAATTCATCTGAGAAAATATGTTGTGAATATCTGCTGTGATAGCTGTTAATCCTTACATCTGAAATTGTCAATAACTGCTCTTTCAGTTATCAATACAAACTTTAAAAAAAAAATTTGGTAATTAAATAACCGAATTTTCTTGCAATAAAATCCTTGGCGCTTTCAAAATAACTTAATAATTTTGATAGATTTTTTTTATTTAATTTTCTTGAGTGGAACTGTATTGTAATTTTCTCAAAAAGTTATGACTAGCTAAAGTCTCCCATATAAGTAAGAAATCGCGAGATCATCTCATGTGTGTGTAATCTCTCTGACTAAAAAAATATGTTTTGAAAAAGGTTTTGCTAATAGGCAATTTTTTATTTTTGTTGGGAAAAGAAGAAATGGGAAGCCGGAGGGCGTAGAGTGGGAAGCAGCTGGGCTGGGTGAGGATGGCAGAGAGGCACGTGAATGATGGGGAAATGCCTCTTTTGTTTTTGTTGGGAAGCGCCTTTGCTTCTTGACAGCCACAAATCAAAACGCCCCTCCCCTCCTCCCATTCCCATCCTCCCCAATTTGTTGCCTTCCCCTCTCCTTGTCTTTAATCCCAGCTAGTTTCTCCTATTCTCACATTTATGACTCCTCTTTTATGTCCTTTTCATTACTCATTTCTCACCAAATATTACCATCATTTCTTAATTCTTAATATAAAAGTTAGTTTGATATTCAATTTAATTCTAAATATGTGATTCCAATTCACTTTATCTCTCATATTTATTTATTTTTTTTTCAAAAAAATCATTGTATTTGCACATGTTAAAAATTTCATTAAATAGTTGTTCTAACTAATATACATGATTAATAATAGGACTCTAGAAAAGACAATATATATTGGTTACAAATAACTAATTTAACAAACTATTTTAATTTACTCAAATTAGTTAACTAAATTTTATATTAACCACCAGTAATATTTTGTTGTAAATAAGCCACGAAATTGGTCGATTCTTCATGGCAGTTGTTTTCCCAAAAATATTTTCTACCTTAATCAACACAATAACTGGCTAATAAATTTATTTAAAAATTATCTCTTTCTTCACCTGATACCAAGTAATTTAACCAACTCGTGTCAAGTTGAACTCAATCTCCCTCCGAGTAAACTCAGACAAGAATGGAACACAATTTAAATCTTAGGTTGAATCCAATTTTCAAAAGACGAAATACGAACAAAAACAAACTAAAAACATTGCTTGGCGCAGGCAGAAGATCTACACGTGAATAATGCCTGCGCATGAATAGGGCAACGGTAATGAACAGTGGAGTGCATGAATCCGTTATTTTGTGGACTCATTAACAATGCAATTTTGATGAAATTAAAGTATGTGAGAGTGAATGCCAAGTGTTTGAATGAAAAGAATAATAGTTGACGTCATTCTGCGTCCCAATAAACACGTTATGTATGCTTCCCTCAATGTCCCCCCATTCATCATGACCTCCACCCCTTTCAACACCCGAGTCTTCTATATTTGACCCATCACATCTTTAATTCGGTGCGAGCCAACTTTCAGTTTACCCAAAAAAAGTTATTCTAAGATGGGTTTACCATGCGGTGAGGAGTTTTAAAAGTTTGGGCATAAATAAATAAAAGACGTAGGAGATTGAACAAAAGAAAGAGCCATTTTATTGTGGGGGCAAGAGACAAAACAAAGTCCCTAACTTTAATCATTCGTTAATGTGAAAAAGACTGCGCAGGTGAAAGACAAGATGAAAAACGGTGCTGTGAAAAGGGGGTGCCCTTCCAGTAACCTCAAAATTATAGTACAACATGATCTCTTCTCAGCCGATCTTAAAATAATCATGCTGACCAATTTTGGGAATCTATGCTTTTGGGGAACGTGCGTGGCTTCAAGTGGCCTCTACTATTCAGGGGCTGATGAACGATGAGATGCGTGCAAATGTTGATTCCAGAGAGCACTTTAATTTTCGCCCCTTCTTTTTCCAAAGGAAATTACGTGGCTTCTATAATTGGACCATTTGTCTCATGGAAGGTCCCTCCACATACCTCCTTTTCCTCTCCTCTCCCAGAATTTCAAATGCGCATCACTCCGGCACAGGAGAAACGGATCTATTTAAGGATAAAGGCATGTTAATAAAGCCATCAACCATGCAAATTAAGGAAGCCTTTCTAATCAGAGAGGCCCGCTCTGGTGCTGCCCGTATTAGTGTTAACCAAAAAGAAAAAGGCAAGACTTGGGGTACCTTTTAAGCCTAAATTCGTACCCAGTCTGAGCCGCTACGTAACGGATTGGGCCTTATGGATCAAGGACCTTGTTTGTTTTGTTAATCAAGATAAGCCATATTTAATAGGGACGAAAAGATAAACCTGTTTAATGCATTAGCCCAATGATACTTAATGTTGGGCCCACATGTTTTGTAGCCTCATGACTCATACGCATAATAGTACTCATTGACTAGGTCCATGAGGTGGTGGTTCTACGCAACGCATTTGCTGTGGGCGTATTATTTTTTTGATGAAACATTAGGGTATCCACTGGCGGATCCGGTGACTAATCCTTTCACTGGCTTGTAGGCACCTCAATGGGTGGAGCAGCTGGCCCAGGGTTTTAAAGTTTTTCCATGCCCAAAGCAAAGATCGAACCCTCAACACTTGGTTAAGGGAGGATGAGCCCCACCGCTCAACCACACCCGTGGGCGTATTATTGGTTCGAAGTGAAGTCGTCTTAGTTTGTAACCAACAGGATGCTGATGACACAAAGGACAATAAAATGTAGATGGGAAATGGGAATCTGAGCAGGTACGTGGTCTTGTTCGGAGGCAGCTATGGCACTTCCAATATTCTAAGGTGGGGGTTACGTGGGAAATAGGACAGAAAACGAGAAGGAAAAGCGACTCCTGGCTTGTCATTAGTTATTCAGTCGCTCGCTGCAGCTATCCTCTCCCTCAACCACCCCCCGAGGTCTGCACTCTCCTCCTTTCATAATTAACTAATCTTTTATATGCGTATCACCAATTAATCATTGTCAAATTAGTACCAACCGTGTCCGATGTTGACAAATTATAAAAACCCATTTAAAACCTGATATATATCTTTTCTTAATATATATGCTCGCTCCCGACACAATCGTTTTTTATCAGTTTCTAGTCTTGATTAAAAGCAGGGTCATTGTGAGGTCATCCTCCAGGCCTCCAATTGTCTCGCTTCACCATTGCTTCAATTCTCTCTAACACTTGTTTAAAATCAAAGCCTTCTTTTCTGCTTCCCTCTCACAGTCTCTCTCCAGCTCCTCTCTGCTTCAAAGCACAGAGATTCTGTTCTAAGCCCCACAACACGACCATGAAGAACCCAAGCACTAACAACACGAAGCTCATCCTGCTCCACCCTTACATCCAAAAACAAGGAAGCTCCAATCGCCTGTGGCTTCTGGCTTTCATATCCCTCCTCACGGTCGCCTTCCTCCTCACCCTCATTTACACTCGAGAGTCGATCTCTCCCGCCCCTGCAACGCCCTCCATCATCACCGCCTCTGTTTCTGGGATCAACAACGCCGCCCCCTTGCCGCCCACCGTCATCAACACGCTCCTCCATTTCGCCTCCAAATCCAACGACACCTACCACATGCCCTACTCCGACCTCAAGCCCATCTCCGACATCCTTCGAAAATGCTCCTCGCCTTGTAATCTCCTCGTCTTCGGTCTCACCCCCGAGACTCTGTTATGGAAAGCCCTGAATCACAATGGCAGGACCGTGTTCATCGACGAGAACCGTTACTACGCTGCGTACATTGAAGAGAAGCATCCGGAAATCGATGCGTATGACGTGCAGTACACGACAAAGAGGCGGGACATGAAGGAGCTCATAGCTTCGGCGAAAGAGCAGGTGAGGAACGAGTGTAGGCCGGTGCAGAATCTGCTGTTTTCCGAATGTAAGCTGGGAATCAATGACCTTCCGAATCACGTTTACGACGTGGAATGGGATGTGATATTGGTGGACGGGCCACGGGGGAACTGGCCGGACGCGCCGGGAAGGATGTCGGCGATATTCACCGCCGGCGTGCTGGCAAGAAGCAAGAAGGGAGGCAACCCCAAGACGCACGTGTTCGTGCACGATTTTCAGGGGAAGTGGAGAAGTTTTGCGGGAGGGAGTTTCTGTGCCAGGAAAATCTGGTGGAGGCTACCGGCAATTTGGGCCATTACGTTTTGGAAAGGATGGATGAGAATAGCTTCCAGTATTGCAAGCATCAGACATCGTCGTCGTCCTAGTCGTGATCCATCACCTTCTTTTTCAGCTTTCTTTCTTGGTTGGTTACGTTCAAGTCCACATTACCGTCACGAATACCGCTAAACAAACATAGTCATCACAAACGCCTCTGTCTCGTTATTTATGATCCTTCTCATTTTGCTCCATGTTCTTGGCTAGCGCTGTAAAAAGACTTCCTTTTCTTCCATTTCATTCTGTGCCCCTGTATGGACACTGTAATTTATTTTATTTTCCCATGAATCCTAATTAACTTCACCAAATTCCAAAAGCTGACTTCATGGTTACTTTCGATTATTATAGCCAACAAAAAGGAGATAGTGAAGCTGGTCAAGTGGTTTGATGGGGGGAGTGGGAAGCAAAAAAGACCTGTAAAATAATCGCACAGCAAAACAACTGGAAAACAAAGACCAAATGAAGTAATATTTAATTGGCAGGCTCTTCACGAGAAAACAAGCAATAGTGTCTACAATAATATTAGGAGGTTGAGCAGCCATTATTCTATTAGTGCAGGTAGGTTCCTTCTCCACTTGAAATTATGCATTAGGTGGTGCATTAGTTATGTGATCACAAACTATACTACGGCCTGGCTTTTAAATTCAACGTCACTTCCCCGAGAAGTTGTTTACCATAATCTCCCAGACAGAATAATTTTTTCCTTTTTTTTTTCTCTGGTTTAATTTACTTGCTTCTTCCTTTTCTTTTCTTTTTTTTTTTAAATATTTTTAACCTAACTCTCTTAGACAAACTATGATATTATGGTTCAGCTTTACCTGCCAATGGTGGTTACATGAATAGAGAGAAAGCTTCGAAGTCAACTTCATATTTCTTTTCTTGACTTGGCTATCTCTGCTGCATCAAGTTGTTTCCCACGTGAACGTACTAGTGGATTAATAGGTGGCTTGAAAGCTACTGCTGCTAGCTACCCTTTATGTATCAAAATATGTATACCTCTCTGGATTTACATGTGATATAGTAGATTTTGTATTAAATATATCGAGTGATCTGAACCCTTGATACGCCGTTTTATTTTTAAAATTTAAGCTAGCCTCAGATAACTAGTATAATATATACATATATATATTAATGAAATTACATATGCACCTTATTTCGTGTAATATGTAAACCATTACAATTTTTGATGCACATTGTGTTAGAAATAAATTGGTTGTTTCACAATAAAAATAAGCATTTACTTAAAATTACTTTTAATATCATATCAAGGATAAAAGCATAATCCCACCTCATGTCGAAATTAAACTTGATGAGGGGAGATTCTTAAAAATGCATATTTAAATATTAAGAAAGTTGAATGTAATTTTTCTTAAATAGGAGAAATATTGAGTGTAAATTAACAAAGATATTAGCATATGGTTTATCCTCAATATAATTAATACGAAGTAGACGCAAATTATCAAAACTTTTTTGTCTAAAAAATTTTAAATAAAGCAATGTGATTTTTTTGACTTGGCATGGGAACAAAGTAACCTCTTTTCTTGACAGCGTCTAATAAATTACTCAAAATCAGGAGCTTTCTTTTCTTGAACGATAGATAATTCTTTTTTTTTTCCTTATCACAAAGTCAAAAACCAAACCAACAGATTAAAAAAACCACACGCCCAGGGTAAAGAAAATGATAAGACGAAATGGGGACATTGCTGGAATAAGATTTTTAATATAAGAGTTAGTTGATTAATTTAAGTAAATTAAAAAAATTAGTAAATTTAGTTATTTATAAATATGTGTTATCTTTTCTTAAATATCTCTACTAATCATGTATATTAGGTAGAATTATTATTTGATGAAATCTCTAACATAGTAATTTGTGCATCTATTACAAGGATTACCTTAAATAAAAAAAAATAAATATAAAAAACAAAATAATTCGAACTAGCATTGACTAATGATTAGTTGGTTGGCATGATTCTTCGACCTCATCTGACTACAAGGTCAAATGGTTTAAAAAAAAAAACCCAACTTATGTTTTAATTTTTATAAAATAATTGCTCGATGACATAACTAAGTATCAAAACGCAATAGAAAATTGGCTAAAAAGAAAAGATCTCTTTGGACGGGCCGGAGAAGGAATCGAGTCTCATAATTGCTGTTTTATTATGGATTTATGACTCAGAATCATCACGTTCGTCGTCGTGATGTCTATCTTCGTCAAAGGTGGTCCCCGGTCAAGCTTTTCTCCAAGAAGATGATGGCACTGGCAATCAGGCGCTGAATCACAAATATTGTAAGAGAAGTCGACTTTCGATATCACCACAGCTCCACCGGGCCTCCCTCGCAACAGAGAGAGAGAGAGAGATAATCCCAGCGACGGATGGCCACCGACTTTAGTAGCATCCCCATTATTGGTAAACTCCTCATCCAGTTCCGGAATCTTCTCGTACTAGGAATCTGATTATCCTCAAATTTGACACCCTTCGGTTCTTTTCTTCCCTTGAACTCTACATGTTTCATTAACACGTTATATAATTGATTTTGCAAGTGAATCCGAATGCTTGCCAGTCACAATTGTAAATATTACCTCAAGTATTTTATGCTCATAGTTCATGAGCACAGGAGTGTTGAGTAAAATTTGCAAGAGTCAAGAGGAGGGCCTCGTTGTGTGCTTTGTTTCCTGTGTTAATGTTTCATTTTTGAACGCAGATATTAGCGCCCTTATAGCCAAGTCCGATGATCCAAATATTGCTGAGGACCCTGCAGTCTCTGAGGTTGTTCGACAATTGGATCAGGCTTGTAGAGAGGCAGGTTTCTTCTACGTGGTACTTTCCCATCGATTCTCTGTATCTTTTGACTTCTGTTTCTATCACTCTCTCCCTTGCTTTATTATTATGGCTGGAGAAAGAACAGCACAATTTTTTCTGGAGCTTGGGAAGAATCATTACATTCTGTAATTCTACAATCTGTTTATTTTCCCTTGTTTTCTGGGATTTATGTAATTACTTCCTTCTCTCCCTATTAACTTGACGGAGAGCTCTATGGACTAAAGTATAATTGGTGGAATGCTTGAATCATCAATTTATGTTTTTTCCACCCTCATTAATCAATGGAGAGATCAAGGATTACCTAAACTTATGTTAAAGAGTAAACCATTTATTAGGATAATTCTAAAAAATGATTGCAATTTGAGATGAACTGAAGAAGTTAAACCGTCTTTAACAACTTTCTTAACATCAGTAAGGTAGTTAGTTCACTATGACTGGAGGTTGTTTTCTACTCAGTGGGTCCACCAGCACCTCTATCAGCATATCCGATATTATTACTTTCTTACAGGTTGTGTTTTTCTTTGGCAATAATGTTTATGTCACTTGTGATGGTTAGTAACTAAAATCAGCAGAGATTGAAATTTAAAAGTAATTGCGAGACCATGGTAATATATTTTCTGTATGATTCGAAGCAAGACTATGGCCATTTAAGTGGTTGATGTCTTCAATTCTTCTTCCTTGATCAGAAAGGTCATGGTATTCCTGCTACTCTTCTGAAAGAGGCTAAGGACTTAACACGTAGATTCTTTCAACTTCCATACGAAGAAAAGATGAAGATCAAAATGACTGCGGGCACTGGTTTCAGGTTTGTTTCATTGCATAGATTCCCCTGCATCACAAATTATTATGCGTAGATCACTTGTGCGTTTTCCACATCAGATTTAACCATCCAACTTCTGAATTGAATACAGAGGATATCAGAGCATCGGAGAAAACATAACTAAAGGCGTACCTGATATGCATGAAGCTATAGATGTAGGTCTTAATTTTTTTTCCTTTCAACACAGTAATTATTCTTGTTTTAATGCTTTCTTACTGGCTAGCTAGTGCTTTCGTGACAAAACTACATACATTGAAGACAACCATCTGCCCTTCATTCAAACTCTTCCCTCGGTGATCCAATTTATTTAGTACACTAGAAATGTCAAACTCAACTTGACGATGCGTACTGTATTTTTTTTGACCTTGCGATGTGTAATGTATGGAAACCTCTCATAATTTGTTTTGTTATTTTATTCTTGGATTGGAGACTAGCATAACGGGCTTAATAAGTTAATCAACAACTCCTCTTTCTGGAACAGTGCTATAGGGAAGTGACCGAAGGCATGTATGGAACGCTTGGCAAACCCATGGAAGGATGCAACCTGTGGTATGTGGAATCAGGGTCTGTTTTCTTTAATTGATGCCAATATTCCACCCGCCCCTCCCACAATTTTGGCCGAGTATTATGCTCGTGAGAGTAAATATAAATATCCTTGCTTGATTCACTTTGTTTCGGTCAATGGTGTAGGCCACGAAATCCTTCAAACTTCAAAGCTCTTATGGAGGAGTATATTAGTCTCTGCACAGGCGCGCGCTTTCGTCTCCCTCACTTCTGTTGCTCATACTTTATATGATTAGGCTTCTATGGTTGAAACTTTCTTCTTCCTTTTTTTTTGGCCTTTTGTGGATCCTTGGTACCAGCAGAGCTTGCAAGAAAAATTATGAGGGGAATTGCCTTAGCACTAGGTGGATCACCAGATGAATTTGAAGGTCAGCGAGCTGGGGATCCTTTTTGGGTCATGAGACTTATTGGTTATCCAGGTGTATCCACTGCAAATGGAAAAGCTGATGTCAAAAATGACACTGGATGGTAATGAAATATTGCAGTTCTTTCTCGGGGTTTGCCCTTTTATTTCCATGACTGAGCCTTCCATCACTGATGTCTTTCCCATTTTGTTCTTCTTAATTCTCCAAAACTAATACAGCGGAGCTCACACTGATTATGGTAAATCTTGCTGAGCTTAAAATTGTTAGAAACCTAGAATGTTTGGCAAATCATTCTCAATCCTCTTGGTATGTTGCTTGACAGGTTTATTGACATTGCTTAATCAGGATGACGATATAAATGCACTCCAGGTATGAACTTCACTCAGATCAGTGCTGTAAGGGCACAGCGATGGATATTATATTCATTTCCTGGGATTCTTCAGGAAATCAATCATTCACCTTAAGTTCATATTGTTGAAGGTAAGGAACGTGTCCGGGGAATGGATATCAGCACCTGCGGTTCCTGGATCATTTGTGTGCAACATCGGTGACATGCTTAAGGTATACAATTGTTGAACTTAGTTTTTTCATTCATTAAGGCAATCCCTTACTTTCTGGGATTGTATGAGTAACGTGTTTAGCAATGCAGATATATTCCAACGGTTTGTACGAGTCAACTCTGCATCGGGTGATAAACAACTCAGAAAGATACAGAGTCAGCGTAGTATATTTTTACGAGGTGATAAGCATTTTTTTTTTGGCGAGCTTATCCCTGACCTGCTTGCTGTTTTTGATTGTTTGGTTGCTAATAGTAACAAGGGTGTGATTGTGTCGCACATGTGAGGGAACAGACAAACTTCGATACGGCAGTGGAGCCTTTGGATACCATTAAAACGAGGGCGAATGGTCCCAACAAGTTTAAGAGAGCCGTGTATGGCGAGCATCTAGTTAGCAAAGTCACCACCAACTTCGTGGATATCTAGATCTTGTTATCGAGCTAGTTCCCAATGCCCATTTTGTTTATTTATGACTCACGTGTCCCTTATCCATTGACTTCCTCGTTCTCAAAATTTACGTTTACATGCTAGCAATTAGTAGTTTACAATAGCTAGCCCACCCAAAAAAATAAGGAACTTGTCACGACGAACAAACCAGATTACTCGAGCATCTCCGCGGAAAACTTCAGACTCGGCCGAGCATTTTCGTATCAAATGTGGCATCGTTTTAGTACATATAATTAAATTAAATATTTTTCTGCCTTTGTGTTTATAGTTATAAGATGACCGTTCAAGATGTGAAACGCAAATCTCAGAGAGAATAATTTAAAGATAGATGAGGTCGGTCAATTCCTCGAGGCCACCACAGCAGTGGTGTGAACAACGAAGGTAAAAATGGCACAAAACTTAAATTAAGGGGTTGTATTTGAACAGGAACTAGATGAGTCCAAAAGAAACGTTTGACCTGGACTGCAAGAAGGCATGTGAGTGGAGGAGAAAAGAAACAAAAAGGAGGATATTATTAAATGGATGATTGAGGAAGCCAGTTGCGTGGGGTGCGAATAAGGAAGTGGATGATAATGATGATGAAGAAGGGAGGGTCCAATGGGCACGACAAAGTTGACGTTAAGGCAAAGGCAAAGTGAGGAAAACTACAAATTTGGGAACGAGGGAGGACCCTTCTAGTGCCCCCAACATGTCAATCAATTCCACACCCACCCTTTTTGACTTTTGGCATCCTTTTTCCCGAACAAACATTTTTCTCCTATTTTCTACACCACCCTTCACTGTTCTGCGTTTCACCAAATGCTCGCCCACGCCTCAAACGGTCCAAAGTCCAAACACTATTTCCACTGAAGAACCCGTTTTATTTTAAATCCCTCGAAGCTTTCATTCACTAATCGAGCCGTCCCCAACTGGCAACTGCCACCCTCTGTTCCTTTCTTATGGTCAACCGTCCTCTACACGACATGTCATGTCCCTGCATTTCTGTCCAGTTCCTTGACTCGGTCCCTTTCCTTGCTCTTTTATTTCCCCTCTCTCTCTCTCTTTTTACTGTTTCAAATTTCAATGCAGACATTGGAAATTCAGACAACCGAGAAATAAAAATAAAGAAAGGGAGGGACGGAGGGAGGGCAATCGGACATCGTGACGGTATCCAGATGATAAAAGTTGAGAGAGAGGAGGAGCATCCAAGGTAAATCACCAATAAGGCAAAGGAGAAAAAAAGAAAGCAACCAAATAAAAAATTCGAACACCACCTCCACTTTCTCTCTTTCTTTCCATCATGTTGAAACCCGTTACCAAATCCACCATCTTCGCGTTTCTTTTTTTTGTTTGTTTTAATATATAATAATGGATAATGGATGCACAGGGTCTCAGTCTTCAAGAGAGTGAACAGGAAAGATAAAAGGAATCCAATATTGTACAGGGAAAGGGAGCAAGTAACCCGCTAATCATCTCCTTCGAGATTGATAAAGCATCCTTTGAAATGTTGACCATGAAAACTCAGATGTCTTGAAGAGCTCTGCTTCTGCCAATCCTTTCCGTCAAATTGATTACAAGCTAAGAGGATTCCAGTATGAGATTTGTTGAATCGGTGGCAGAGAGCGAGTGATTATGATCGCCTTCATAGGTGACTACTAGCATTGATGGATCGTCCAGAGCTCGCTCTACGTGTTTGCGCGCCGGACACCCTCTAACGCTACTGCACTTGTAGTATCCCCTGTGGTTGTTCCACAAGCAACTTTATCAGTATGAGAGATCTGGTATCAACTCGGAATAGAGTATAAAGGATAAAGACCATTCTGGGTCTTCTAAAATAAGCGAATCAGCGAAAAAGGAAACTAATAAAATAAATTCCAGTCCTTTCTAGAATCTGAATTTCCAATACAGAGGTCAAACACTAAACTTAATTTTAAATTGAAATCGGAGCTCTATGACATGAGCTAATAGCTTGGAAGAGTTTATGTACCTAGGATGAGGGGATCCTTTAATGGGTTTCTGTCCGTACTTCCTCCATGAATAATCATCAGGTGGAATATCAGCCATCTTCAAGCTTATTGCCGGCACCCTCACTACCCTTTTCAACCTCATTTTTCTGCTACAAAGCATCAAGTGAAAACAGAACATTTAACAGAAACATCTCAAAGATTTTGACTTTTCAATTTCTTAAGGAAAATGGAACGAGTTTGGAGAAAGACCCATCGCCTACCTCTTTTTAGAACAATGGCAACGACTGGAAGAACTGCCGCACCTGCCAGAACCCAGGTTCTCGGAGCTACACTTTCTCTTCAACGAGGAAGAAGAAAGAGGAGGCTTTCCCGCTGAGGAGACCTGAGACAGATTCGTGATCTGAAAAGCGGTCGCCGGCGACGACGAGGATGGTTGTTTACTATCAGTATCGCCAGTAAGAGACGACATAAACGACGTCGCGGCAGAGGAATACGAGAAATTAATGGTCTTAAACGAGTCCTTCCTCTCAATCACCCCACTTTTGGGGATCAGGGGATGCTGCTCGCCCAGAGTTTGGTGTTGAAGAAGGGCAGGCGGGATCTGCTGCAACGGCGTCGCATAATATACTTTGGGTTCAGGAGGCTGTCGCTCAGGGTTTTGATTAACGCTAGGAGGAGGAGGAGGCGGCACCAAAGGGGCTCTTCTAAATCGAGCATGACCGGTTCTGGTTCGACCCAGAAGAGAAATCACCTTCTTGAACTTGGAAACGGCGACGTCTGCTACGGCTTTACAGTCCATCTCAATTTCCACGGGAGACTTTGAAGCGGAAGAAGAAGAAGACTGGAATTGTTGCTGACTCTGAGAAAGCAACCTGATGAGCTTCTCCACGCTCTCCAGGCCAGATGCAGCTTCTTGAACAACATTATCATCCATTTTGGCCACGAAACTGTCGTTCCTGTAACCCATCACGAGCTCTACGGCCATGCTCACAGAACCATGAAAGAGGAAGGGCGGAGCAAAGGAGATGAACCGAAGCAAGAAAAAACGAAATGGTTATGATAAAGCGAGAAACCTGGTCAAATAGATTGGATCGGCCTAGGACTAGCAAATAAAAAAACAAAGAAGGTTAAGAAAAAAAAAAAAAAAGGGAAGAAAGGCGGAGTGGGTGATATGGGGACCAAGGTGACCGAACTGTGACGCTAGTGGTTCAAGGCTCATAGGCCACTGTTACCGTCAAATGTAGGTGGGAATAAGATGAAGGAAGGTGTTTTGGGGAAGTTGGGAGGGAAATGTTTGGAAAGCAAAGTGGCGGATATTGACCTTTTCTGTGGAGTGGGACCCAGACGAATTATTATTCTTATGGATCTGAGGGACGATGTGGGGGGCATTAAAAATAAGGTCAAACTAATGTTGGAGCCGTCCGATCGATACCCCCCGCGTTTGAAAGTGGACACGAATCTATTGGTTGCTTCCGTATGCTTTAGTTGACTTGCATTGACACCTTCCCCAGCGTTCTTACTACTCTCTGCTCGCAGTTTCTTTTTTTTTAAAAAAAAAAATATATCTCTCTTTCCTCTCTCTGTTCGTATCCTCGTTTGTCAAATTGCCTATCTGATTTCTCACTGGTCCTTTTTAATGGCCAAATTTCCCCAATCAGACGGTCACCTCCTCAAATTCGTCAATCTTGGATACTACGTCGATTCTAATTATAAGAACTAGTTAATTAATTTGAAAAGATTAAAAGAATAAGTTGAGTTAGTTATTTATCCTAAATAAGTATTATCTTTTCTAAAATATCCTTGCTAATGAAGTGTATTAACTATAACTATAATTATTACAAGAACTATCTTGAAAAAATATTAAGTAAATATGAGAAACAAAGTGGATTAGGGTCTTATATTTAGGACTAAAATAAAAGTAAAAGGGTCTTATATTAAGACTGGAAGTAGTTTTTTTTTTTTGTTAAGCTATAAATTTATTTCAAAAGCATTTACCCAAGATAGTTTGAGCATTCAAAAAAAATTTTGGAACAAATTTATTCTGAAAATTTAAAATCATAACAATATTATCTCATACCATTAAAAATATTAACAATTAATATTACTATTTTAATGATTAACATTAGTTTTATGATGGCATGGGTAATATTATCATGATTCTAAATTTTCAAGATAAATTTGCTTTAAAAATACTTACAAATATCTATAGCTCCTGAGTAAAAAATTTTAAAATAAATTTATATCTTAACTGTATTTCTCTTTCTAAATACCGGTGAGAGTAATACCCTAGATTATTTTTTTCCTTGTTTGTGGATGAAGATACACGTAGTTCCCGAAGTTGTTCTTCGCAACCATTTAATATTAAGTTAAACTACATTGGCATTAGCTGTGGTTTTGTTTTGGGTTTCTTAACCCCATTTTTTCCCTGCATTATCTTTTTTCCTAATATCTTCATCCCCTAAAAATTTACACTCGTCACTCGTATTCGGGTCTCTTATTAATCTCTAATTAGAGTTAATCCATTTCCGCATATGTGTCTGACTTTTTTTTTTTGGTATAATGTCTACTATAGTTTGTCGGGCTTTCAATTGTGTCTAGGACTAAGCTACACCTTGCGTCATAAAATATTTTTTAAATTACATTAATTTTTTTGTGTGTATTTATCTCTCTACAATATTTTTCAATAATACTCAATATCCTAAAATAATGTTTCGTGAATTCAGGGTTAGAAATGTTTTTCAGTAATACTTAATATCCTAAATTTTAAAGTATTCATTTTCACTAAAAACTTTAAAATCAAAATTGCACTGAGAATTACTTTAAAAATAGTTTTTTTTCCCAGCACTTTAATGATAGGTTTTAGGGTGTTGAATTTATTAAAAATTAATTTAAATTACTAAATGTTATTTAAAAAGTAGTTAAAGGCGCTTGACGTAATGTAATAATCCTTACATCTAGTGCTCCATTGAGTCTCAATTCTCAAATATAAAACACTGGACGGGAGGTTTCTTTAGCCTAAACGAAAATACACGTAGGATTGCGTCTATGCATTAATTAATCTTTTTTCAGCAGCACTAACTGCGAATCTTCAATCATGAAGAATACTCGTGGGGGGAGAGATCAGTCATTTAATAGGAGGGAAATGGGGAAAATTATGTTTTAAGACAAACTTAATTAGAACAAATTAATTTTAACAGTTTTTTATGTGTAAATTAGTTAACAGTGTCATTTGACCCCAAAAAAAAAAAAGAGTTAACGGTATCGTATATTTGAAACCAGATCAGGTCGTGCATGATTCGATAGCCTGGACTTCTCCATGAGCATGTCCTTTACACACACACGCACACGCGCACACAGGCACATATATATAAGAAATTAAGTTTTGGGGTTTTTTTTTTTTTGTGAGTCATCAATCATTTGTGGTAAGTGGGTGTTTATGAGAAAAAAGGTGATGGGGGAAAAGCAGTTAGGCACGTTGACAGGACGAAGAAAGCTACTAATACCAAACTAATTTAGTAGTAATAGTAATCATGATCACTAAAAAATATTAAGGGTTCTAGAGGTGCAGGATCCACTCGGGGGAGCAAATTAATTGCGTACACCAGCACTAATGATATACAGCTTTTTTTTGTTGTTGTAATACTTGATTTGCATCCTATTCACAAATATCCTAATAATTGACTAATCTAATTTGACATCCGATTTCACCCAGTGTGATAAAGGCCGAAAGTCTTCCCAATAGTTTTTTGTTTTTTTCAAGGGTTGAACTTTCAATCTTAGGCTCAAGTACCTACTTTTAACTATTGCTACCGGCGCTAGTGGGTACTAATAATATATACTACTTATCACCTTAACTATAAATTTTTTTATAACCTATAAAAAAATCTTATAATTATGATCGGAAATAATATCTTTCATAGCTGGCTACGTAAATAATGAGGAAAGCCATTATATGGTAAAGTCTACCATATTTTTTTACAGTGAATGCCACGTCTTTGACGCGGGAATGATGATTATTTGCTCATACGACTTGGCGATGCGAAGAAAAGCCAAAATGGGTGTAAAAGAGGATAATGGATATCTGTTTTTCACTGGGCAATAAAAGGAATTGAATAAATTAAAAGGATTGAATTTCGCGGTGCGGGGAATGGAAATCACATGCGGGCGGGAGGAAAGAGGACTAGGACCAGGAGAGATGCTCCCAAAAGTCAACAGACGCAAACATTGACGTTTAAGCCTTGAGGCCTCCGCCTCACTCATCGCATGACACAAACGCAATCAGATACGTGTCAAACTTCTCTTCCCGCCCCTTCCCACCCACAATTCTCTCTCACTGTATATATAAATAAATACGATGGCCCAAATATACGCACGCATAATTAATTAACACCCCCCTGCTTTTAAATATGGGATTTAGTTCGTAAGATTATTTTAATTATATTTGTAAGACTTCAGTCGCTCCTATCTGTCTCCTTAACTAACTTCCTCTCAGTACTAGAAAACAATCCTGGCATTTATTATGGGTATAATTATTTTCTTATTTTTTTCCTCCTCGTTCTATGCCTATCTCCACCCTTGATTGAAAATTCAACGATTAATACTTAATATTTCATACTGGCCACGTCATATTTTATGGTTGGGATTTTTTGTTTTCAAACACGACTGTGAATATCTCAGGGATCAGCGTGCGAGTGTAACACGCGTGGTTGGTTGTTCAGAGGGACAGTTCACATCTTACCATTCTTTTCGATTGGATTCATTCTGCATCTCCTCAACGCCTTCATGGGGACGCGTCCTTATCAGGTCGACCCTCTCCATTTCTCCCTTCACATTTTGCATCGAATTATTTTTTTTCCCCCAATTCCCCTGTCAATTATTTTTAATTTGAGCACAGTGATCGTCCATGCCTAGTCGGCAATCACAGCCCCCAACCAATTACTATGAGCGAGTCCAGGAAAAAGAAGGGAAGGGAATAAACACGTATCGTTGTTTATAAAAATAGACCAATAACCACAAAAACTGAAAAAACAAAAGGGATTCGGTGCTATTTTCTTCAGCAGGTCCAGCTGATTGCTATGCAGTGTTGACCATGATGAACCGTGTCACTGTTACTGATTGATGATCACTAATTATTGAGGAAAAAAACAATATTGGAATGCAAATCGTCAGAGGCTCCACGAACAGGCGGCGTTCAACGTGGTGGACGGTGGTTGGGTTCAAGCGCAGAATCTCACTGTCCAACTCGTGGTTTATCAACAATCTTCCTATCTCTCCTGCTATTTTATATGATACCTCATATTCATTCCTTTTTCTTTTTTTTTTAAATCTGCATATGGTAAATAATCCGTAAAATAAGGTCATAGCTCATAAATCCAAGTTCATATTACATGAAAATCCTAACTCTTCGTCTTGATTGCCAGTACATCAACAAATAGTCAGCACAATTTCCACACATATAGTCTTCTCTCAATGTTGAGACTTTTTTCTTGGGAGAATTATAATGAGGATAAAAAAAATAATTACAAAAAAGTCCCAATAATAACCTAAGCAGTCTGTAATGATAAGTTTCATAGTAGAAAATGACAATTTCTAGGATTTCTTTTATAATTTTTTTTTTTTTAGAATCTCATTGTAATTCTTTCTTCTTTTTCCTTTTTCCCCACGTTGGTCAGATTGTTTTTAACTTTTTGTTGGCAATGTTAAAAAATAGTTATTTCGAGCTACATATGGGAACAGACTGATCCAATTGACCAAGCAATCAAGGCCCATGGCCCATTTTCTCTTTTCCTACTCTCCTCTACGAAAGAAAGGCCAATTGTGGGCCGGGAGTTATGTTTGTTACCCATTATCATTTGCTATCGGCTAAAGGGGGCGTCCGGATGTTGAAATATGATGGATACTGTACAAGCAAGGAATTATTTCAGAAAACCTAAAATGATCTCGCGTTCGTTTTACGATATCGATTACAAATAGACGACGGCCTGAAATTCGAAAAGAAAAATGAGTCTTGTGTTATTAAAATTAATTAGAAAATAATAAGAAAAATGGAGTTTAATACAACTCGAATATGCCATGTCAGAA